AGAAGAGGCAGGATCAAGCTCAGGACACCTGTAATATGCAGAGCAGCCTTATTGTATGAAGAGAGAGTGCTTATGTAGAGAAAGGCAAGGAGCACCGATACAGAGAGAGGCTTGGAGTGTGTGCCTGGAGCATCCTCGCCAGACAGACCCTGCCAAAAATGGAAAATGGTGGGCATGATGTCTGGATTCTGTAGTACTTCATTGCCACTGAATACGGCGCGCACCTGGGCACGCAGTGACTCGACATCTATCTCGACGTCGCTGTACATGGACCGCGGGCTAGAAATGACAATCTCGGCGGGCTGCTCCCCGCCGTCCACTTGCGGAGCATCATCCTGCTGGTCCGACTGTAGACCTTCAATCGTCTTGTCGACGTCTCTGAATATCCGTGTCATTGTCTCTTCGCCCAGGGCAAAGGCGAAGAGGGTGCCGAAAAGCTGCTCCTGCCCCGCATCGTCACGTCTGCTCTGGGACTGGCCGCCAAAGATACCCGTGCTGGCCAGGGCTTGCTCGAGGGCATTCCAGCCGCCATGCTCGACTCGCTTTGCAAAGAATCGCCTGTTACCGGCATGCTCGTTCAGTGCGTCGGACAGGACATCGAGGGTGGCCTTGATGACCTCGAAGAAGTCGATGCGGTCGGTGGGGGACAGCTCGGCGGGCTTGTAGAAGCCGGATAGAGAGCGGAGGGTGACGAGGAGGGTCTCGAAGCCACGGACATGGCGAAAGGCATCCTTTGTGTGGGTGTGGTTATTGGACTCGATGAGCAGCTGGCGCATGCGGCGGAGGGCGTTGCTCTGGGCGTGGAGGACGTCCGGGGGCGGTGGGGTGGTCTCGGAGGCTCTCGTAAGTTCATCGGCAAGGCTGCGGAGTTCGGCTATCTGATTGTTCATGGGCGGGAGTCTGGAGGCGGCCGTCGACGACCTGTGCGGCCGGGTGGTGGCCATGTTCAGTCGAGGCCGCTAGGAAGCAACTTGGTGGGCGGAGGGAATAGCGGGGCGGCAAGTACAGTCATGTCTCCCGGGCCCCCTGTGCGCACTTTCAGCGGCGTGGCAGATTGGCTGCGAGGTCGAGTGTTGGGAATTGGCGTTGGCGGAATAGGCCGATGCTTCGCGTAGGGTCGGGTGGTGTTGCTCAAACAGACGGTGGAGCTTGGACTCGGCGTGTGAGCTACCCCAGGCAGCCGTCGCGAGGTGGAGCCGGGGGGGTGGAGGATGCAACTCAAGTTGCGGCAACACAGACGAGCGCCCCAGGATGCTACTTACTCTCGATGGCAGATAGCGCAGTGTCTAGCTGCCACACCCTCATGCAAACATGCTATAATGCTAAGACTGCGGGTTTAATATGGTGGGGAACGCTGAATGGCCGCCGTCGCTCGCGGGGTGCTCTGCTGACAACCGGACCCTGAACTGAAGAGCGAGGATTGCGACGCTGGGCCGAGTAGTGTAGTGTAAGCACGCCGCCGCGTCGACTGCCCTTCGCGGAGCCGCAGCCAGCCCAACCTGGGCCTGCCAGGTCAGACCGCCTCATTCTGTACACATGGACATGCTATACTGAGAGATACGCAGCCAGACCGGATGACGGTGTGCTGAGGACACTTGCTGCCCTCGAGCAACCACGGTCCAGCTGTGCCTCGTAGCCGTCTTGATACGACACGTCCCCAGGCTGATACGCGAGCGCGTGCATCCTGTCCCAATTGGGCCTAGCGCAGACCCAGCCTCACTGGCGGTGCTCAAGCTCCAGGTCAGGTGCGTCATGTATCGGGCGGCCCATGCACCGAGGCCGTCCTGATAAGAGAGCGCATCGCCATAGCTACCCCCAGCTCATCCCCCATCCCTCCTCCACACACCTCCCCCCATTCTCTCTCTCCCTTTGCCTGTCCATCACTAGAGCCTTGTGGCCCATCCCCCTTCATCCCCCAGTCTTCAGTACATCTCGCTGTGCGAGCACATTCACCATCATGAGGTACAGCCTGGTCTTTGCGCTCCCGGCCTTGGCCGCCGCGTCACCCACCTTCTCGACAGAGACCATCCACAAGGATGCCGCGCCAGTTCTGTCGTCAACTTCCGCCAAGGAGGTTCCCAACAGCTACATGGTCGTCTTCAAGAAGCACGTCAAAGATGCCTCCAAGCACCATGACTGGGTCCAGAGCGTCCACTCCAAGAACTCGCAGGAGCGCATGGAGCTGCGAAAGCGCTCCACTGAGCTCCCCATCTCCAACGAGGTCTTCGAGGGCCTCAAGCACACATACGAGATGCCCGGCATGAAGGGTTACTCTGGTCACTTTGACCAAGAGACCATCGAGGAGATCCGAAAGCACCCCGATGTAAGTGACATTCCATCTCATCTCTCGGCCCAGGCAGCAGCCCCCGGCTCAAATCGGCTGCGTGGCGCGTAGCCAAGGCAACTTGTGCAATCCGTCGCATTCGCACGTGACAGCATCTGTGCTCAATGTACCTGCATAAGACTTGGCGCTAACTCTCCCTGACAGGTTGACTACATCGAGCGCGACTCTGAGGTCCGCGTCCTCGGCTCCGATGAGCCTGAGATCGAGAAGAACTCCCCCTGGGGTCTGGCCCGTATCTCGCACCGCAACGCCCTGAGCTTCGGCACCTACAACAAGTACCTGTACGCTGCCGACGGTGGTGAGGGTGTTGACGTTTACGTCATCGATACCGGCACAAACGTTGAGCACGTCGACTTCGAGGGCCGCGCCAAATGGGGAAAGACCATTCCTCATGGCGATGCCGACGAGGACGGCAACGGCCACGGCACCCACTGCTCTGGTACCGTTGCCGGCAAGAAGTATGGTGTTGCCAAGAAGGCTCACGTATACGCCATCAAGGTCCTCCGCTCCAACGGCTCGGGCACCATGTCCGATGTCGTCAAGGGCGTCGAGTACGCCGCTCAGGCTCACTCTGAGGCCGTCTCTGCCGCTAAGAACGGCAAGAAGAAGGGCTTCAAGGGCAGCGCTGCCAACATGAGCTTGGGAGGTGGCAAGTCCACCACCCTCGACATGGCCGTCAACGCTGCTGTCGACGCTGGTATCCACTTCGCTGTGGCTGCCGGTAACGACAACGCCGACTCCTGCAACTACTCCCCTGCTGCAGCTGAGAATGCTGTCACTGTCGGTGCCTCAACCCTCAACGATGAGCGTGCCTACTTTTCCAACTACGGAAAGTGCAACGACATCTTTGCCCCAGGTCTTAACATTCTTTCTACCTGGATTGGCTCTAAGCACGCCACCAACACCATCTCTGGTACCTCGATGGCTTCTCCTCACATTGCTGGTCTCCTGGCCTACATGCTGTCTCTCCAGCCCACCAAGGACTCGGCTTACGCTGTTGCCGACATCACACCCAAGAAGCTCAAGGCCAACCTGATTGCCATCGCCACCGTCGGTGCTCTTTCTGACGTGCCCAGCAACACTGCCAACGTCCTCGCCTGGAACGGTGGTGGCTCCTCCAACTACTCCGAGATTGTTGAGAAGGGCGGCTACACTGTCAAGAAGATTGCCGAGAAGGAGGACGAGTCTGAGTCCGACATCCCTTCCCTCTCTGAGCTCAAGGCCGACTTCGAGAAGGCCAAGGAGTCCGCCGGCCGCCACGCTCACCAAGTCGGAAGCAAGCTCCAACATCTCGAGTCCGAGATTGAGGACTTCATTGCCGAGGAGATGGAGGCCATGTTCGAGAAGGTCAAGGAGCGCGTCGCCAGCCACTAAATGGTAACGGTTTAATTGCAATGATCCTATGTGATCTACTGTTATATGGTACGGAATGATTCAGGATCTGGCGTCGGGTTTTTGGCATAGGGTATATGGTTTCTCATTTCATTAGGCACAATTTGATGCGCTGTACGCTACTTGGGACACGGATTCGGATACGAAACGCAAGGTGAGATAGAGCAAGATATCTAGCATGAATCTCATCATCTCCATTGAAGAATACTTGTTTTGAATTGCCCCTTTGTTGACGTGATTTGTCTACGATATGATGCCTTCAAGTCTTCTAGCCCCCTGTGATTTGGCGTGTCTGGGTCACGTGACTATGTCACTGAACTAATTGTTAGTGGCAATGGTGGTTCGTGCTAATGGATCTATAAAAAAATTACCTCAATCAAAGGCACCTGTAACAAATAGCAGTTAGTCATAGAAGCATGCATCTGTTCAAACACCTGCAAGCGAAAGAAAGATAACATTAAAGAAAAAAAATCTAGAAAATGGCGTACGATGAGTAATTCCTTGTGATGCATGGAGCAGTTACCCTCATCTGGACATGCACAATGCTCTCGTCAAAGCCACTCATGCTATATAACACTTGAATACTTAACCTAGGACCCATTGATCTCAACATGTTCTTAGTCACGCCTATGAGATAACTATAGCAGGAAGAAGCAGACCAAAAGAGAATAAAGCCGTTGAAGACGAACTACTGTAACTTATATCTGGTAAATTCTAGCTCCAAGACGAAACGATATAGCACAAGATTTTTTTATTTATTTGTTTATTTGTTTATTTATTTTTTACTGCACGATTTAGCGCTTGTATGTAGCTAAGGGTGGAAGGTAGTAAAAAAAGAAAAAAGAAAGCCTAGATGATGATGAGGTAAGTTGGACACGCGATGGGATTGCTAGCTACTTAGCTGCAATACTATTTTACACTTATCGTACTCTTCTCTGCTGCTACACATTGAGTTGGGTGTCGCGTTATCACATGAGCTGTGCAAAGGAGTCGATGTAAAATCCTTGTTTTGGACATTCACACTCTTTTTAGCGTTCAGTCTTAAGATTGCTGAGAGTGTATGTGCAACGCAACGAGGTGAATGTCATCCTCGACCTTTGATGTTTTGCGTGTCTGCTCACCAAGTTGTCCAAAACAAAAGGAGCGCTACTAGAGCAACAGGATGTTTACCGACTACGACAACAAAAGCTCTCTTTCTCTCTCTCTTGCTCTCTTTCTCTTTACTCCACTCACATCCGTAGAAAAAAAAACAGTGTAATTCTTATTGTCCATTGATTTTCATGTGCAACTATATTGAACATAGAGTGTAGAATGAGGAGAAGAAGAGAATAAAAAAGAACAGGGAACAACAAGAAGAAAAAGAAAAAGAAACCAGGCAAATGCTAAGCCTAGCTCGCTGAACCGCTGACGAACCACATGATATTGAACAACGCCATGCTGGATAAAATAATGCCATCCATACCTTAAAGCTCCCGGTTACTGTGAATTTATGCAACATGTATCCCTTTGTAGGGACATCACCATGTCCGAGACATGTGTCTTTTCAGTCTATCGGTTCCTCGGTCGACCTGCGTGTGGATACGAGCAGCTTCCTGTTGCTCTCTCTCCTCCTTTGCACATGCACGTAGTAATGCTGCATATATTTGGGTTCAACAGGCTGTTACCAAGCATTGCTAGGAGAGGCCATCGTGTCGTCATGTGTGATATTATCCTTATTCATACAAGTCTTCTACGCTAGGTCCACGTTGAATTTCCAGTTGCCTACATGTCAATTAGCAGCAGTCCAGTAACAATCGCAAGACCTTGCAAGTCTATAACACTTACCAAGCTTAAGGTTCTCGGCGGTATCATTCAGCAGGATGATACGACGCTTCGTACAGTACGAAGTCTTGTCGAGGATATCGACCTTCAAGTCTTTCAACTGGTCGATTGGCTTCTCGAACATCTCGCTGAGATTTTCGACAGCCATCTCCAAGTCTTTCTGGTTGTCTTCGAAGATTTCCGTCAGGTTGTTTCGCGCAAGATAGTAAGCGAATGCATAGGTCCACTTGAGTACCTGACGGCATTGTTGCAATGCTTGCGAGGCTTGGTCTAAGAATTGGACCTCAATCCATGACATGCCGGAAGAGTTCTGAAGTTGTTGCATCTTCTTCTCAGTCTTGAGGTAAAGATCCTTGTCCAGCTTCGCCGACTGCTCGTGGTTTGCAAAGCGGTTGTAGTAGTGGAGGTATCGCTCGAGCGACTGTCGAGATTTGGCCTGCGCATCGCGTGCCTCGGATCCGCTCTTCTCTTCGAATCGATTGCAGTTGTACCAGCTGGTGCCATGCTCTGACCATTTGCCCATGCACATCCAACAAAACTCGTTGCGACACTTTCGGCAAGTCATGTGGTTGCAACCGCCATTCTTCTCAATGGTGGAGTTGCAGTTTGGACATTCCTTGGTGTTGGCCGATATCCAGTTGGCAGTCTCTGAATCGTCCTCGCACTTCTTGACCCATTTCTTGACCAAAGCACAGGGTGCCGGTTGGTGGTTGTTCAATGTACAGCCAAAGCAAAAGGCGTGTCCGCAATCGCAGTGTACAGTGGGAACGACTCTGGTAAGCTCCTTGCTCTTAACCGGGCATTCAATAGCATATTTACAGTCGGGGGCAGGGCACCATTTGAGATTCTCTTTGTCATCGACATAGGTTCGTGTGAGGAGGGTATGATATCTACATACATTAGTGAAATGCAGGGAAAGTGAGGCGACAACTACCGTACCTTTCATGGAGATCTGCTGTAACAAGAAGGTCTAGCGACTTGGAGTCCACTATCCGAGTGCAGCCCTCACCAGGACATCGTATTCTAGCCGCCTCTCCCTCGTCTTGGATCTTGGTGGCGAGATACTGCCTGTAGCAATCTAGGCAGAAGCGGTGGCCGCACTTCATGGCGAATGTATCCATGTTGGGGTCGTCATCGCAGCAGATATCGCAGACAAAGCCCTTGACCTTCTGAATCTTTGGTGGGTTGGTGGTAGAATCCTGACTCAAGCCTGCTGTCTCCAAGATCTCTTCTGTCTTCTCCATGTACTGGTCGATTAAGCGTTCCTTATTCCATCGTAGGTGGCGGAGGAGGATGGCGGTGGCTTCAGGCGGCTGGCCGAGGATACTCGATACTTCGTCGACCTGCTTGTCTTGCTGTGCTTGAATTTGGACTGGGTCAAAGACCTTGAAATCTACTTCGTACGCCTGCTTGGTGGGCTTGATGTCTTTGTCTTGGGACTCGAAGCCGACATCGTCCTGGTCCATGTCGAAGTCGGAGTCTGCACGCAGTCAGTCAGTCAACTAGTCAGCCATTTGAAAAACACAGAACAGTTTACGCACCATCCTCCAAGCCCATGTCACTGTCCTGGTCGTCGAAGCCATCGCCGCTCATGGAGCTGTTGAAGTCGTCGTCGGAATCCATGTCGGGGGCAGCGGGTGCAGCGGGGGTGTGTGACAGGTGACGAACAGGTGAGAGCTGCGACTTCTTTTGGGGAGGCTCCTCTGCGGGACTGAGGTAGTTCGCCTCGTCAGCCTTCCGCTTGCGAACTGTAGAGGAAGGCGTCTTGGTTAGGCGTGTCCCGCCTGATGACGGAACACTAGGCTACTGCGGCGAGGGTGGGTATGGGTGCGTGTGTGTGTGTGTGACTGTGAGGGCGGCTGATAAGGCAGGCCTTGGGTGCGCGTGGACGGTGGATAGTGGCTGGACAGTTGACAGTTGGGCACAGAAGACAAGGGTATTGGCCAGCGAGGCGGCTGCAACAAAGGCGAGAGTTGGGGGTGGTCAAAGGTGGAATGCAGTCGGCGGTCCTGGATGCGGGCACCTCACCCGATGGTTGGCTCGGGCTGTAGCCTCGGGGGGGCTGACGTAAAGAGGCAACCGCACCAGCACCCAGAGCGCCTCTCCGGATCTTCGCCGCCTTTCCATATGGCGCCCACCCATCCCATGCACCGCAAACACCGGCTCAAACCTCCTCTGAACCTTAACTCTCCCCTTTTGCTACCCTCCTCCACCCGTCCATGTTGCAGCCTGTGACTCCTGCAGTAGCGCTGCCCACCACCTACCACGGTTCTATATTTGTAGGGCTCTCCACACCATCTCTCGCAAACACGTGCCCGTGACCTCGGATGTGCCCCATCAACCATGCCGAGTGCTTTTTGTGTTTCACAATGACATTTCACTTCTCCTGTCTCTGAGCAAACAAAAAAAGAATATGAGAAGAAAAACAGTTCTGCGCCACCCCACGTCTTGACAGGTGTGGGTGCAGGGCTGTCGCTAAACCTCTACGTTGGGGTTTGGAGACTATCACGCCGAGGAACACCGTGGAGAGCATAGACAAAAAAACAGAGCCTGCTTGCATCATGATGCTATTTTTTGCGAGCACCTAATGCATCGGCTCAATAGCGGTAGTCATTCACTTGGACCTCAATGACTTCAGCCTACAGCTGGCTACTCGTCCTCTTCACTCTCTTCCTCCTCCTCCTCGCTCTCATCTTCACTCTCCTGCTGCAAGAAGTCGATGAGCGACTTTGTCTTTTCCCGCACCTTCGCCATCTCTGCATTTTCCGCACTCTTTTCATCTTCCCACCACTGCAGCATGCCATCCTCCTCGATACAATCCAACTCAACAAGCTTGGTTGCTGTGCTCAGCAGGATGCTATCGCCGTTTTCCTTGTTGCACAGGTCTGCTTGCAGCAACAGTAAAAAGTCGATCTGATCAACCTTGCTTTGTGCGCTCTTATCAAAGATGGACCGATCGATAAGCTCTTTGTGTTGCCCAAAGACTTGCGCGATTGCGCTCTTCATTGTCTCGCCCGATTTGATGAGTGAAATGACACGCTTGACGAAAGATGAGACGACTGCACGTCTAACTTGATGGTCCGACGCGTTGGTACTCATGCGAAGTGCTGTGAGTTCCAGTTGAATATTGGCAGATTCATGGCCCTCAACCAGCGAGTCGTAGATACTCGCCGAAGCATCGTGATCAAAGTTGGCCGCGTGTTGGCTGTCTGCAGAGCCTACCGAAAGGAAACTGCTCGTCGCTGATCTCTCACGGCGCTCTATATCGTACTCATCTGCTTCAGAGTCCGAGTTGAGCGTCGATATTGACTCGTTTGACAGGTTGTACACTAATCGTCTTAGCACAGTTACAGCAATTGCGTGGTTCGACTTACTCGGCCCCTTGAGGACAAGACCCTCAATAAGTTCATCCTCATCATCCTCATCCGAATCGTGAAACTCGAATCCATCGCCTTTTTCACCAACAATCGCCGGTTCCGCATCACCTCGAACGAGCTCCTCGCCTTCTTCTCGTCTCCGCTTTGTTCTTGTGATTCTGTGCTCTCCCTGAACAACCATGCCTTCGCCAATGCTAACTCCGTATGAGATGAGCGCGCCTGCCTCTATTGTGCATCTTCTCCCTATCGCTGCTTCGTTTGCAACAATCGCCTTGGTCACCGTGCTACCATCCCCTATGCTAGCATAGTCCCAGATGTATGCCCCATCAATCTTGACATTTCGGCCAATCTGGCAATTTCTTCCAATGATACTGTTGGTAATGACACTCTTTTCGCCTACGCTGGTGCCTCGTCCGATGACCGTTTTGGGCCCAACGATGCAGTCACGAGCTAGAATGACACCCTCCTCCTTGTACGTGTTACGCTTCTGCAGCCGATATGACTGCCCTTGCACCAGGTTGCTGTCTGGACATAACGGATACGCCCAGCGTGACACGATATCCTTGCTAACTGAGTCGTAAGCGTGGAGATTCCGTACTCTTGCCGCGTAGTGGTCTGATATGATGTGCGTGTGGAATGTTTTGCCGTTGAGCTCATAATCTTTCAACACGCTGTGTAGGAAGCCTTTGCGAGGCGCTTGGAAATCAAAGTTGTCACTCCACAACGCTAACACATCTGGCGTGCAGATATCGATACCACAGTCGATGAGATCCTCGCGGACCTCGATTTCTTGGTGGGTCGAGAGTATTTCAGGGTCGATGGAGAGATAATGGGTCTGCTCCCGATTGGGCATTTGCTCGAAGTGTAAACATCTGTCCTTGCGCGGGTCGATAACGAAGACGGGGCTGGTTTCCTGAGCTTTTGTCCTATGATTGGTACCAGCCTCGCGCAGTACCATGGTCATAATGGCATTCTTGTCCTTCAATCGTCGTGCCCTATGCGCTGCAAGCGCAGACTCTAGTGGCAGGTTGCTGACAACATCACCGTAGACTAAGAGAAAGTCACCGACTAGCAATCCCCTGCTGTCGAGGTCGCGCATCGCATCACCGATGGAATGCGATGTCGACTGGATCAGCTCTAGTTTCGAGAAGGGCGATGACTTGGAGGACCATTTTGAAGCCTTCACATAGTCTTCAACCTGTTGCCTGTGTGCGCCGCAGTATACAAAGACCTCTTCTACGCCGGCGTTTGCGAGAAACTCGAACGTGTACTCGATGAGCGGGGTGTTTGCGAGGGGCAGCAGACACTAGCAAGCGTGTCAGCATGCGACTGGTGCCTCTGAATGGGGATGCGTACCCTTGGGTGTTCAAGTGTGAAGGGACTGAAGCGTGTTTCAAACGGGTCGGCGAGTATCTACAAAGTTAGTAAAATTCCGTATGGATTCCGGGAATTCCATTACACACCACTGCCTGCAGCGGCTCGTCGCGCTCCTCCTCGCCCGACTTGCCCTTGTCCTGCGCCTTTTTTCCTTTTGGCGGCATGCTTGAAGGGGATGTGTTGTAGTGCGCAAAAAGGATCAAAAGTGGGCGGCTTTGGGGGGGGGGGGGTGTAGAATGGGGCGGGTAGTCGGTAGCGGGGTGTTTTGCTACGACATCCAAAAAAGCTTCCACATACTCACCACCGCCGCTGAGTCACAAGCCCAAAACCGGGGACCACCACGCAAAACCAGTGCCCCGGGTCCCGTCTGGACTCGGGTCTTTTAGCGGGAAGGCTCTGCGGGTAAGCCGCTGCAACAGGGCGCATGAATATCGAACGAGCTCGTGCGCAGCCTTCTGGCCAGGCTTTGGTGGTCTGGACCGCCGGGGGCAGCATCTACTGCAAAATGCTTATTGCAACGACACCTGCGCCCTAAAACATGTGTACGATCCCATGTTGACAGGCACCAGATGCGACCTGACGTGCGAATTCTGTACAGAGCCCGTCGCCTGTGGCTGGGGCGTTGGTACATAGGTCTCCTGGGCCGCTCACGGCCAGCCACCGTAACCTTACGCGCCGCGGAGGAACACACTGCACTCGTTTTTGATAAGGACAAGGTCTCGCTCTCTTATAACTCCGTTATCTTGGAGCAAAATAACATATCAAATTGTTTCTCTAGCAAGTAGGGTATTTCCTAGCAAATGTCCAGCCCAGCTCCCAAGTCACTTAACGACAAGTCACTTTATAACCTTAAACGCCCAGAACCTACAGTCCTTGATGCCCTCCCTCCACAACATAGCTTTTGAACCGTTGCATCCTTGCGTTTTACTACAAAGCGTCAAAGGGCCAGCCACGACAAATGGCCTTGCGACCATGGGATCTCGGTTACGAGTCGCACAGAACACCGTTGTTCTGTATCAAAACTCCGTCGCTAATGCCTGCTGGCATAAAAGCCAGTGTCCAGTTTCTCTCCTCTATGTTTCTTATAATCTTGATTTCGCTTCAGGCTCATGTAACACGCCGCCAATCAATGAGGGCGCGGCTGCATTGCCCCCATTTGCTGTTGCATCTGAGGAGGATACATTTGTTGACGTTTCGCTGGGTTGTTCATATCGTCCCCACCGGAAATCTCAGAGACCTGTCTGCGATGACCTTGTAATTGTGCTTGTTGTTGTTGTTGTTGCTGCTGCTGCTGCTGCTGTTGTTGTTGTTGTTGTTGTTGCTGTTGTTGTTGCTGCTGCTGCTGCTGCTGCTGTTGTTGTTGTTGCTGTTGTTGTTGCTGCTGTGATTGCATTTGCATATGTGATGAAGCATTATACCCCATGTTCCCTTGCATGGGATTGACTCCGTATGAATTCGGGTGTTGCACTGGTTGCCCTCGCATGGCCTGCGCAAAGTCTTCTGGAACTGAAGTGCCGACCGGAGATACACCCGTGATTTGATTGGGCGAGTTCCAGTTGCTGACGGCTTGTGGTGATTTGCCTGGCGATTCTTCTTCCTTGAGCACCAACTGCCGTGCTATCGGTACAGGTTGCGGTGCCACCATGGATCCGTCACTTTGGGCTGATGGTTTTTTCAAATGGACAAGATGTTTTTCTAGCATATGCAATAGTCCTTCCTTGGTAAATGGCTTGGGCAGAACGTCATTCATACCTAGTCTTGTTAGTACAAAGCTAGCAGATAGTCAGGGCCGCCTTACCATGCTGGAAGTACATGGAAATGTCATCGCTACGAATGTTCGATGTCATGGCGACAATAGGTGTGGTGTCAAATTGCCGGATTAGATGACACGCCGAGACACCGTCGAGATTTGGCATGATGATGTCCATCAAGACCAAGTCGTATTTGGAGCCAGCATTCATCTTGTTGACAGCTTCGAGACCGTCGAGCTAAGCTCAGTTAATACAAGTAGCAGGTGTTGAGATCAAAAAACAAACTTACAGCACTATCGATAGAGCAGTGGAAAGCATACAAAAACTTGCTTCCAATACGACGACACGTGGGATCATCCTCGACAAGCAAGATTTGTGGCGGCCTAATCCACCCTGGGTCAGGGAAAGCACTCTTCTTCTTTCCCTCGGGTACCTTGGGCTCGTTTTGGTCCACGGCTTTTGGTGGAGCAGCGTAGGGAATGTTGTTGATGTGCTCACTGTACATGGGATCAATACCATTGGAGGATCCGACTGGATATACAAGGTTGTCCAAGTTGTCCAGGCGCATCGAGTTTGTCGAAGTCGCTGATGGTGGGCCACGGCTTGTGGGCCGCATTTGCGCCCGAGCAAAGTCTGGCGGTGGTGTTGTCAAGGTGCCGTTCATCCTCATGGTAATCTCATTCATGTGCTCCAGATTGCGGGGGTTCAGCATGGCATCGGCGTTGGTTTCACTGAGAAGCTTGGAGGCATGTTGCAAAGGCGAAGCCGGGTTGTCGTCGTCATTGTTCGATGGGGGGTCCATGTTGCCATTCTGGGCTTCACTGCCATTGAAGACGAGCTTGCTGTTTCTCCGCTGTGTCGCATCCACCCCGTGCAAGAAAGTCATGATTTGCTGCATGACATGCTCGTGGTTAACAACCGTCTTTTGTAAACCAATGACCTCTTGCAAAAGCATAGAATGATGGATGTTCAGCTCGTTGTATCGCCCCTCGAGCTGGTGTAATTGGGCCTGAGTCGCCATTAATTGGCCGCTGACCATGTCCATTTGCTGCGAGGGCGCAAAATCTTCAGCGGCTGCTTGGTTTGGTTTTCGTGGCGCGGGAGCCTTTCGGCGAATGTTGTCGAGTGCATCTTTGTTGTTCATCTTGAAATCGGGGTGCTTGAATTCCCAGGCCTGTGTGGTGTTGGTTAGCCATGGTCAAGTCAAACATGGGACGGTACGCCCAGCGGACAATAGCCGCAAAGAGCGTGTGCAAAGCGTACCCCAGGTCCATAGGGCGACTGCCCATTTTCTTCATTGTTGTGGCGGACTTTGTGGAAATCATATTTATTCAGTTGGCGCACAAAACTGGCAAAGTTGCTGTGCTTGAAGTGTTTGGGTAGTATGTGTTTGGTAAACTTTTCGTTCTGCCTCGGGGTTAACTTGTTTGCAATGAAACAAATGGGACTAGTAGATGCATACTTCCAAGACGACAAAACTGTCACCGTCATTGCCCCACCGCACTACACTTTCGTCGCTGGGGTTCTCGAGCATCCTGAATTCGCATTAGTTAATACAGGGGCCTCAGTCTGGACACAGGCGCGCCTCGACGTACTTGTACAGCTTGCGCACAAAGTCGCTCGAGTTGTTGGAGCCGCCTCCACCGCCTTGGTTGGAGTCCATGGTGCCGGCTGATTTACAGGCGCAAGAGGCGCAGAATGCCTGGGTGGCCGTCCGAGTGGGTGCGCGACAGCAACAGGCACCTCGCGTCGATGGGTAAGATGGATGTCGAGACCCCGGGCACGGACAGGAGCAATTGGGACGAGGGAAGTCGAGAGGGCGGTAAACGGCGGAGGGCGCGCGAGGCTCAGGGTGCGCGTAGTGTAGGAATATACGGGTGGTAGGGAGTGGTCGCTTGGCAGAGAGAATGGAGGGTGAAAGGACGATGACGAAATTAGCCAAAACAGGCGCGGCTTGTCGCAGGAGAATGGAAGGCAATGGACGAGATCTGGGCCTTCAGGTTGAAGAGGCAAGGAGACATGGGCTCTGCTCGTTGGCTTGTGAGCTAAACGGCCCTAAAGCAGGTTAACCCGGGCCTTGAGAGGATTGCAGTCGAGCATGGGCTAGGGGAGCCAAGCGGGCGTGCCGAGCGAGGAGAACAGGGATGCTGGGGCGGGCAGATACGAGAGGGCCGTGTGTCCCTTTTTTATACATTCACGCATACTTGCAGTGACTCGCCCGCCCGCCCGCCAGCCACAGAGCCCGCGTGCGTGGCTACGATACATGTCTTCGTGTCTGCGTCTGTGGTCGCTGGGGGGGAAGCGCGCAGACATGCAAGGTGCAGTGGTGGTGGTGGTGCTGCTGCTGCTGCCGTCGCCGCCCAGGGCACCGCACGCCACCTTCTTCAGTCGCTGTGCCATGGGTCTCGTCGCCGTCTTGACGTGGGCAGCTCCGCTAGCTATGCCGCTGACGGCCCATGACCGGCCGCACAGTAGTAGGATCGGCACCGCACAGCAAGCCTGCGAGATGCACCCACTAACGCACCAGTGGGCCTCCTCCCCCAAGCCAAGTCATTATCCGCAACCTGCTTGCCGCCGCGAGGCCTAGAGTACTGCTCTTGGTTGGCATGCGCACCGCAACGTATTTATGGAGCCTGTCACGTCCGAAACGGGCGTCTGGATATTGTGGATTGCATCCTCTTAGAGACGTCGGTGAGGAAGGGGCTGCCCTTGGCCGTGGCCTGCGCCTGCCGTCTTCCGCACACCCAAGCCAAGATTGAGCACCCCACCTTCATCACCACCACCACCCCAGCCCACACACGTGCTCTACTACGTACTGTACACACGCACATTCTCGCCTGTCTAATACTTACTGCACCCGCCATGTTCTCTGTTGCCTCTCGTCGTCTGCCCCTCGCGCGCCCCCTCGCTGGCCGCCGTCTCTTCCATGCTTCGTCGCCCGCATACGTCAAGGTGGGCGACAAGCTGCCCGACGTCGACCTTGTCGAGGGATCGCCCGGTAATAAGGTCAACCTTGCCAAAGAGTTGACCGGCAAGGGTGTCATTGTCGGTGAGCCCAACACGGCGCCAATCTCCATTTCAAAGACGCGGCCGTCTGACAGAAGCCGCAGGTGTCCCAGCCGCGTTTTCCCCCTCGTGTTCGGAAAGCCATGTACCCGGCTACATCAACTCTCCCAAGCTGAAAGATGCCGGCAAAGTCTTTGTTGTCTCGGTCAACGACCCATTTGTGTAGGTTTAGTCTCCTCGCAAAAATCGCCCGGCAGCCACGGATCCTTCCTCATGGCTGATTCGGCGATTCGGTGGCGGCCACGTCTTGTTTGACTCGTGGGCCATGGACACGACATGCACAAAATACATTGCCCACGACGAAAACATCTCGTAGAAACAGTCCCTTGGAGCGGATTGTCATTTTCTGGTACTAACGTTATGGATTCATAGTATGAAAGTATGGGGTAAGATTCTTGATCCTTCCGGCTCGAGTGGCGTAAGTGTTACCTCGCATCATAGTCCAGCTACCCTGTACTAAAACAGCCAGATTCGCTTCTTGGGCGATCCTAGCCTTGGCTTTACAAAAGCGCTTGATCTGTCTTTTGATGGCGCGTCCATCTTCGGAGGCGATCGTTCAAAACGATACGCTCTCGTCATCGAAAATGGTACTGTCAAGGCCGCACACGTAGAACCCGACAACACTGGGCTCAACGGTAAATCTTTCTTGGCACATCAAGACTTCACGCAGCTAACAACCTTAGTCTCTGCTGCCGAAAAGGTTTTGTGAAGAGACTAACGCAGCAAACATATACCGAGCGTCACATGGTAGTGCACCACTGAGACTACACATGTCAGCCAAACTTGGACCCAATCCCGGATTCGATTTGGCTTATGGCGTGGCATAAAAGGACAGGGCTATTCAATGCCATCATGTGCCCTTAGTAACGTCTTAGATATGAAGGACGACTATGCATTGTCCATGATTATGGCTCAATACATCATGTTTACACTACCATCACAATTTTTTGTTCTATCTCTGAACAACACATCCATAACCATATATCACGCCTTTCTGAGATTCCCAAACCATACGGCATAGCTGTAGCGGATATTCCTGATTCTGTGTCGCTGGTACGCCATACATCTCCCGGGCTAAAAGAGGCCAATCCTAGGCATTTTATCGCTCTACTACCACCTGGCATCTCTTTTATGTTCGCAGAGCATGTCGATAATACCACATTTGCTTTCTGTATTACACTATGGCGAACAGCAGCCGCGGTTGCATTGCTGTCATGGCTGCTCTAAAACGGAATGGTTGTCAAAGGAAAATCGGTATTGGCCAAGCAAACGACATGCCGCCGCTCAGCTTTGACAGAAACTCTTCAGAATTGCCTCATCCTTTCTTCCAAGGGGCCATTGCTGTACGATTGATATGTAACTTCTATCATTGATTGGTGCGTCATGCATGTGTCGTGGACAGTGATTGCGCGGGTCAAACTAACACAGCAAAGCAGCTAGTGCTCGATTGAATGATGATCAGAGTACATACTACGAGGTTATTCAATGCCCAAGCTAATACCACTGCATTCATTCTACCCGTTACATAATGTCTTGAATATTCGACCCCGATTTTCACAATTTCCCTCCATTCTGAGGTACACCACCTGTCTCCATCAGCTATTTAATCGAATCAAGATCGAGATTGCACGGGACAAAGCCAAAGCTTACAGATACGGTTCAAGGGAAACTCACTCTCGCTCGTAATCCGGGGCATCGTGTTTTATTTCATCTCTGTCCTTCCCTTGGGTCGCTGTCTCAACCCTAACATCAGGGCGAATAATTGGCCCTTTCCAATCGATACGGGTCAACACCCAGACTGCGAAAAAAAACTCTCTCTAGAACCAGGGGACGAGCGGAACGTTAGGTTTGGGGGGGGGGGGGTTGGAGTTTTACATCCATCATGCTCACAACCCGTTGTCGCGGTTGTACGGGTATTGCAGGATATTTCTCTCACCCTTCCATATCCTAAGCAGAGAGGTACAACCATCATATAGGTTTGTAATCATTTCTTCTGAGACAACTAAGTTCAAAATACATACATGGGCCATTTGGCAATAACCACATCTAAGAACTACCCCAGCGACTAAACAAAACAAGCAATTGCATATCAAACATGCACTGCAGGGTAGCATCCTACTTTGACGCATATGCACAAGTACCGAGATCTCTCTTCGTAGCCGGAACATGCGGACTGATATCAAAGTCAAAGATATCCATTGGCAGCCCCATAGTCGTACACGCGTTGGGGATATCGACAATGCCCGCCACATGTCCCTGTACCGGTGCACAGGAGAGCAGCAAATATATTTGATAGTCGCTGTAGCCTATTTAAAATGTCTTAGTTAGCGCCAGAAATAAAATTGTAAGGATGTGGAGGAAAACCTGGTATAACTCCCCCCCCCCTTTTCGAAAGAAAGAGATTCAAACTCACCATACCGCCTCAAATACTCAATAGCCCTCAAACACGTCTGCCGATACGCCACCGTCGCATCCAAATAATGCTGTTTGCCCTTCTCATCCACACTAAACCCCTCAAAATAAATATACCTCCCCGGCCCAAACTGCGGCTCTACGGGTCCAGGCACGTAAATCGGACTCTTCATATCCAACTGCTTAATCCCTCTCTTCATAACACTAAACTTGAGCGTAATCACCCCCGCCATTTCAATCGCACCACAAAAGGAAATCTCGCCGTCGCCCTGGCTAAAGTGCAGGTCGCCGACGCTGAATTTCGCGCCGGGCACGTGAACGGGGAGGTAGACTTTTGAGCCGCGAGAGAGGTTCTTGATGTCACAGTTTCCGCCGTGTTCGGGGCGGCCCGGGATAGTGCGGGCGCCTTCTTGGGCGATTTTGGATTTTAAATCTCCTGTGGCGGTGCCGGCGTGTGTATTGAGGGGCTGAGGCGGTTGGGCGACGGTGCGGTTGAGGTGCGTGTGCGTCGAGATTAGTTCGGCTTCGCGTTTGTTCCAGGTTTCGAGGATTGAGGGCGACGGTGCGCAGCCGAGAACTGATGTGTTTTCTAGTTAATCCTTTTCTTTCTTTCTTTCTTTCTTTCTTGTATCTTTACTGTGATGTATGGGGCGGGGGATATGGGAGGAAAACTTACTTCCCGGGTGAATCAAGCCAGCGAATCTGACGCCAGGAATGTGTCTGGAGCTGCAGAATATACCCTCGAAATCCCATATCGCTTTTGCTCTTCGCCATTATCAGTATTCGTCCTCTCCCCTCAAAACCCCATGTCTACACATATACTGATTCGTGGAATAAAACTTACGGCTCAGGATAAATCTCATCTAGAAACCCGCCCCCATTCTCCTTCGCAAAGATGCCCGTAAAACCCCACGGCTGCTCATCCAACGGTTGCACATCCTGAATCTCAACCACCAGCACATCACCGGGCTCCGCAGTTTCAATGTCAAAGGGACCCGTTAGATAGTGGATCTTCGTAAGATCAACGTTGCGCACGTCGTCAGCTGAGTCGTTGTTGCCAATTTGGCCGCCGGTCCAGTCGACGCATTCGATCTTGACAACTTCGCCGGGCTTGATGGTGGCATATGAAGGGTTTTCGGGGTGCCAGCGGTTCTAAAAATGGAGGTTTCGGGTTAGAATGGGATACATATGTGTGAGTGAGATACGGGAGACACACGTGCAAGCATTCTTGCTCTGCTGCTGGTTTGTCTAGAGCGACTTTGGCCGCGTATCGGATGGCGTCTTTACCCATGGTAACGTTTTGAAATCTGCAAGTTAGGAATTGAGACTGAAATGAAAATCAAAAGGGAGTAAAGAAAGAGAAAACACGATCCATTACAAAAAGAGGGGCTCGTGATATAATGGCAGGCGGACGAAGGGGGATGCCGGAAGGGTCAGGCCATGAATTGTTATCTCTACAACACGCAATTGCCGAGATAACCGCACACTCTCTCTCAAACTATCGATACATCGTCTATGATAAGCCCAGCGATACGATGCAGTTACGTTATGTATCATCGAATGAAGCTATCAGGTTACCTCCCATAACAAGACGCGGCAACCCCACTGCGGGGCATGTCCAGATCGGACATCATCGTCCCGCCATACCAGATAGCGTAGCAGTCCATTGCGCTTGGCTGCCGACTGCGCAATTGAACCTGGCTGCAATTGTTTCCACGGAAATAAGCTGCGTGTACGTCATGACTGAGGGGCTGCTCTCAATTAAGCCAAGCGGGGTGGACATCATGCTGCTCTAGCTAAACGTTTTCCTCGGAGTCTGGCGCACTTCAGACTGCTCCTTGGGCCTATGCATTGCCAGATTGTATTCGTCCATGTGCTGCCAGGGCATATTGAGAAACTCGTGCTTGTTCTTCCAACGGAGCGACTCTTGCTTGAACTTTTCGGCTTCGGTCGGCGGCAGAGGTGGTTCGGTGATTTTGGTAATGAGATATGCTGTTGAGGCTTCAGCGAGACCGTAGATAAGGACGCCGACAAGTGGGATCTTGACAAAGATGTAGAAGCCTAGGCTGAACCCAAAAAGGACCCCGGCACGGTCTCTGAACCAAAGCTTCTTCTGCTCCTTGGTATAACGGACACGGCTGAAGTACGGCTCGAGCTTACGGGATGTCAGCGGAATAAGGTTTGAGAGATACCGAAAGCGGAACATACCAGCTCACGCATAAGCGTGCGAGAAGAAAAGTAGGCTTGCAGGAAGCTGACCAAGTACCTGCGAGGGAAGAGGAGAGACGTTGCGAAAATAGCAGCTGCTGGCTGAGTTCCCACCGCCTTCTTGAATGTGTAGAAACTGGCAGCCGGGAGCACTAAGCGTCCTATGTAGGGCACGTAGGAGAGAGCCAAGACTCCCAGTGAAATGGCCGCCTTTCTGCTCTGTTTTGTGGCGTACATTATCACAGTCTCCTTGAGGGGCTTCTTCTCCTTCTCCGGCTTGGGTGCGTGGTCGGGGTACTTTTCAAGGTTGGGATAGTACATGGCGCGGAGGTTGTGTGGGTCGTCCGTCTTGTGCTTTTGTACGTACGTCTCGTCGACCCAGCGCAGCGAGTCCATGAACCTGTAAAGATGGAGATTAGACGAGTCCGGGCACAAGTGGTGGTGACTTACATTTGGTCGAGCGTCGGCGTCACATAGCGCATCAGCGTCATGAGAAAGAAGGGCACCTGAAGCACCGAGTGCTCAAGGAAGTGGAGGCCATCTATGATGGTTTCGTCCAGCCCCGTCTGGCTCATGTCGACAAAGAGCGAGAGGATCCATAGTAGCACTCGTACACCAACAATCTGAAGTATGTAAGCGACGCTGTTTGCTGTAGACCTGGTCAGGGTATGCTGCGGCACGTACGGGAATGGCGACGATGATGCGGATAGCGACGCCAGCAGCTACGGCTATGGCGGCCTGGCGGTAATGGTCGGAGGTGAAGAGACGCGGGTTTTGGAGGGCTCGATTGACTGTGCAGTGTGTCAGACAGCAGCTGTGGAAGATCACGACACCCTGATGGGTAGCAACATACCGCCGACTAGAGTCAGCTGGGCGCCCCGCAGGATGGCATTGGGGTCGAAATTGGACACATCGAAGTTGGCCATGTCGATTTTGTCCATGGCGGGTAGTCTGAGTAGACAGTCGGGCAAGCAGTGCAGTGGTCTGACGAGAGCACGCAGCAAAAGCTCAGTGCACACGTACGTAGTGGCTCCACGTCGGCCTCGACTGTGTGTGCTGTGCGAACGCCTGCGAACTGGTGGAGCAGATGACGAACATGGAGCTACTGCTACTATGTATGGGGCGCCAGCACCCGCGCCGTCACCATTGCAGGTGCCATGTAGTGCTGTCGCGAACGCGGGGCATGCGCGCTGTCATGTATGTATATATTCATTGTGCTCTCTCTACATGCACTTTCATCAGTCGTGCCCGCTGATACTGCGGTGTGGCTCATGTCAGAGACGTGGGGTTGCCGCCGCCATGGGCCGACCGGGCTGAGACTCGACACCGTCCCAGTGGCCATGGCGGTAGCGCGTACTCTTCCGCCGCCGGCCAGGGACGGACAGAGCTGAGACGACCTCGCCCTCAACACGCACACGACTCTTGTTGAGCACACGTCGAATCCCTACTACCAGGCGCCGGACGCTTTCCTGTATAGTACACTATTCTCACCGCAGCCTCTTTAGGCCCGAAATGCTCGCATAGCTGGCCCGCCATGTCCCTGCCGGCCTCACCCCAGCACCTCCATGACGCGCCCTCCCCTCTGACTGCCAACAACCCTGTAGCCGCACGGAGGAGCTTCACCCTTCCCACGCGCACTGCACCAAGGACAGCATCGGTGCCTGCATCTACAAACAGCGTCGATGGCATCGAAACCCTCTTTGTTTGTTCCGACTCGAGGATCTTCTCCTTTACCACAGCCACCTCGGCTCGGCGCCCCTCACCAGAACGTCAGGGTGACGCATGGCAGCCGATACCGTGGAAGACGCCCACCGAGCGTACGCTGGCAGTTGGCATGTCGTCCCAGGTGCCACCAGCTGCGAGCAATGCTAATGCCTGACCAGGTGTCCTACGCATCTACCGTGTGACCGCGTCCAATGTCTCCTTTCTCAACAGCGGCAACCTGCTCCATACCATCTTCCCGCGTTCGCAATGCTGGTGCGTCGACAACCAGTCCGTCTTCGTGCTACGGGTCCGGCAAGACTCGTATTATCGTATCGAACTCCCCTATGAGACTGAAGAGGACAAGGCCAAAATCACCCACTTTCAGTCGGTCCTCGCCCAAGTGATGCAGTATGAGCGGACGCAATGCCCCTTCCGACGAGACGCTGGGTTCGAAGAGCTGCAGCGGCCAAAGAGTCCGCCACGCAAGACAATCAAGAGAAAGCCTTCAGGACAGGCGAAGAAGTGGATTTTGGATAAGACCTGGGTACCGGAACAATACGGGTCGCGGCCTTCTACTGCCGGGACTGAACGCTCAGAGGCCAGCACCGCTTCGTCCAACGACGAGGATGATCGACGGAGCATCTGCACAGATAATAGTGAGGCGGTACCCGAAGCACCAGAGATTCCCTTTGTGAGAATACTACCAGAGTCCCCCACCTTGTTGCCTTCGTCGAAGCCGTCCCCACGCCGTCTCTCTGTGGCAGAACGTGCAAGCATCTTTCAGGGTATACGCTCAGTCACGGCACCAATCAAGACGCAGAGGACGGGATCTGTGTCTGCAATGCAGAGCATCATTGAGTCGCCAACAGGTCAGCCGAGTTGGGACGCAGAGAAGCCAGTGCTTGAGCGTCAGGTGTCGGATGCCGGCAGCCTGGTCTCCAGCACTGACTCATTCTACTCACTCGAGACGGTTACTCCACGAAGCCCCTCACCCAAGTTTATGGACGCTGAGACGGTGGACATGAACCCATGGGCAGCTTCCTTCTCAGCACAGCAACAAGACGAGCCTAGGGGACGCTCGACACACCGAAGACATATATCAGAGGCGACTGTGCGTGCTTTGTCCATAGAACGGACCGATGCATCTGCGCCCGTGACTCCCACGGTCCCATACTATGCTACGACGATTGTGTCGACCAATATGCGCCCGTCATCAGCGCCGTCTACCCCGCCGCTGGTCAGTGACTCGGACAGCGACAGTCTTGGCCGCGCCAGCCTGGATATTGCCACACCACCAGAGGCCATCAGAATGAAGCGACTGACTGGGGCATCGCAGCGACGGGCGTTTTCCCCGATGCCCCCGACGCAAAACCTGTTCTACCCACCCAAGCACAGCCCTGGCAAAGAGTTTACCAATGCCCTAGTGCGCAAGACGTATGAGATTGTCCTGGGCCCGCCAGCACATCTGGTGTCGATGATGTTGCGGATTGCCACGACCATCTCCAACGGCATTGGGCTGAGTGCATATCGCGCCCGCCGCGCCGAGAAGATCCCGTGTTCGTGGGAGTCAGATGACGAGGCGGACTGGGATGAGGACGATTTCGGCATCCCGCTTAACAACATCAGAGACGCAAACCTACGCCGGCGAACGTTTTCTGGTGACGTGGATTGAGGCAGAGGATGAGCATGAGAGGAGGGGGGGGGGCTGTGAATATAATTAGAAAGAGAGTTTGCTATGTGCGTAACGTGGTTTGCGTAATCTTGAATGATACCAAGGGGCTTGTACGGTTAATGTCTGCATTTACAGGGGGTTAGTTAGTTAGTCGCGTCTATGCTGCGACGGGATTTTTTTTTCAGTTTTGTTTCTAGAATAAGTGATTGTAATACTGGGGGAGGGGGCGGCATGTATGTAGAGTATTTTGCTGAGGGGCCGGCTTGCTTTGGTTGGAGGGGTGGGTGCGGAATGAGGAGGCCTAAGCTTGGACGAATGAGAACACATGTTCATTGTTTACTACACACACCGTCTTTGCTTGAGTCAGGTGTGTCACGCGTGGGTGCGAGGCATGCGTTGGATGATGTGAGACACAGACAACAGACAACAGGCTTTGTTGAAGGAGTGTGTACACACACTACGTACGAGTAGGGTGTATGACCTCAGCCCGGGACGGCACCGTTAGGGACGAGGGGTGCATGCGCCATGACATGTTGGCTGGCGACAAAAACCTGAGCATCTCGATTCCCGGGGATGCAGCTGAAGAGCCGCTGAGCCGGACATTGTTAGCTCCCGTCTTGTCCGTTTTTGGTTGAGGAGGACGAGATTGCTTGTACGTATGTACTATGTCGGGCGGCAGCACAGCTTGCTCACTTCAGCCCTCGTAAGTATCATCGTCATCAGCAGCAGCTGGCAGAGGGGCAGTAATGGTTGGCGGGGAGCAGGCCGGTGGGTGATAGACATGACATACGTACATAGGCACGGCCATGTGTGTAGGCGGATGGACGTATAGAGCAAAGAAGCGCCGGGCAGGGTGAGGGGTCATCCATCCGTCTCTCCACCGCGTGGGGCGGTCAAAGGCACGGTGCAGGGCTACAGAGGCCCAGCCACGCTGGCAGAGTTTGGATCGCCCGTCCAACTTCTGCAACGCCCGTCCAATGGCGGCCAATACTGCCTCGCGTGGCCGCGCACGTAAACCGGGACTTGACCGACTAACTGGCGTCTCCTGAGCATTCGGCCTAGCCTGGTCATGCTGCCAGAGCCCTCCTAAAATTCCCGCCCTGCCCTCAGCGCCCACGCTTGTGCTTGCCTGTCGCCGCCCTCGCCGCCGCCCAGCCGACTAGACACCACACAGCGTCGCCTCGCTTGCGCCGCACCACGCCTGCCCGCCCATTCACCCTCGCAGACATACTTCTTCACCACAGCCTCCCCTCCCCGACTCCACGACGACGAGGCTGCGACTTTTGGCTTCGTGGACGCGGCCGTCTAGCATGAAAAGAAAGATGGCCGACCTCGACGTGTTGATGGACGAGACGTTGACGTTATGCAAAACACCGCCAGTGCCCCGACGGCACCCCTATCGCCAGTTCTACCAGTACAAAAAACCAGAGACCGCCGCGCCAGCAGAGAAGCCCGACATCGATATGATCGGTCCGCCCATGTTTACCTTTGGATCCGAAACCGACCTTGTGCCCCAGCCACTCTTCAGCAGGGGCAACTCTATGCCCAGCAGGAGCAACTCGCTGCCCTCCGCATCATCGCGCCCCGTCAGACCACCAGAGCCCTTCCAGTTCAACTCGGACATTGTCAAGAGTCCCTCGCCACTCTTTAGCAGGAGGAATACGCTGCCGCCGCGCGTCCGACGTGCCATGGCCTCGGAACGAAAGCCCTCGCCGCTGTCCCATAGAGAAGATGCGCAACCGCCGGAGCCGACCCATCACCCCTCTGCCTTGATGCCCCCGCCCACGTCACCAAATGAACAGCCACCCACCCTATCCACTATCACTACCACCATTAACACCACAACTACGACCAAACCACAGCCTACCCTGTCAAAAGCCACACCATCAAAACCAAAACCCTTGCCGCCAAAAATCTTCCAAGCGATACCTCCTCCAACACGGCCTCCACCACCCGTCCCGACGATGGCTACTCCATCAAAACCCGCCCCCTCAAAAGCGATCGCAACAAAAACGACACCATCAAAGCCGACACCATCAACGCCTTCGTCCCTCACTGCTTCCACTCCGAAACGACCATCCCCCCTCTCTGGAAAGGGGAGTGTGCGCCGCCCCGGTCCCAGCCAGTTTGCCCCTTTCCAACCTGCATCGCCCATGGTACTATCACCCGTCACTTCTCACACCAGCTCTGTAGCCTCGTCGCCCACCCCCTCCGTCTTCTCAGAAGCTGCCAGTTTTTCGGCCTCGGCACCATCGACACCATCGACACCGGCCTCATCCCCACCCAGTTCCCCAGACAACCGTCCTCGCTCGCCAATGTGCTACTTCACACCGACCTACTGGACCATCATGACCTCACCCTCCCCAGTCTACATCCCAAGGCAGAAACTGAGGCGCAAAGACAGCCCCAAGATCGAGAATCTGAGAACCCTCCGAGCAAAAGAGTCCGACGCCTGTCTGGAGGCCATGTACGACCAGCGAACATCGGCCTACATGGATTGGACAGGCTTCCAGGCCCTCTCAAATTAAACAAAAAAACATCATTTATCATCTCGCCAGCATGACCTCATAGCCCATCCTACTATTCCCGCTAGGTCCAGAATGATTATTCCCGAGATGCTAGAACATGCTGGACGAGATGACAAGTGTGAGTTCTTCACTACACACCTTGCATGACGCAACCACTAACATGTCTACAGACTATTATTTGCAGCATACAGCCTGCACCACCACACTTCTAATGATGACGATTTACGACTTATGACGACAATGAACCAGCATGGAGGATACGTACGGCGTTACAGAGCATTCGATTATAATACCCAGGGTTTGAACATTTAGCATATTGGTTTTGCACACCTGGTTTGCCATAGTCGCACGTCTTCAACGCATAGTACCCATGTAATATAATACACCACGGGGCCAGTCAGCGCCCTGTTTCGTTTCTGCCACTCTGACGGACGTTCCAAACCAATACATCAGCGTGCATGTCTATCGCAGAGCCTCAGCTTGGCGTTTCCTGCACGTCTGATACGAGCCCCGCCCATCTGCTGACCCAACGTGTGCAGCGACACACCCACTCGAGGCGCAGCTGCCTCGGACACCGCCAGTCATTCGCCGACCCTCCCCAGCACACGTCACATCCGCAGTCGCTTTTTCTTGCCGCCACACCCACCAATGCGGATCGACTCTTGAATCGTTGATTTTTGTTGCTCTACACCACTCAAGTCCACGAAAAGGCTGCAACACACACTGTATGCACACTACTCGTGCTAGACTCAGTGCCCCTGCGCCGCATAGCCGTCGTGGCGCAGCGCATTACCGCTTCTGTACAAAGGTGGACCTCGCTAACCACACCTGAGCTGTAAGCGCATAAGTTGGCCCCCAAGAGCCTTGAAAACCCCATGCAAATGGATGCAAATACAGCACACCGGAATGCGTATGTGGGGTGTGGGCGCGTTAGAAGATTTATAAGATGCTAGTAGTCCCCAACTCTACACCTCTAGTGGTGTCCTGAATTATCGGATTCCGGCACGTCATAGGTTTCAATCGACTCTGGTAGCGCAGCCTTGCAGGCAACACTGATATTCATAGAGGACTCGAGCACCTGACTCATTGTGTCACCACTACTGCAGGGACTTGGAAGAGGCCGCCCCAGGACAGATCTAGATATATAGGTGGCATTTGAATCTAGTCGTCACATCCTCCTGTACTACCTACATTTGCAACCAACAACGCACTCGCAGATTTAAAAACCAGTGAAGCTACTGGACCACCGGATCAAACACAGAACACAGAAAGACAACCATCTGCCTATCTGAGCAAACCTCAGACATGGAGCTTTCCAACTCGGAGAGGAACCCAAATGCGCCACTACGGTTGCTCTCGCTTGATGGAGGAGGTGTGCGCGGATTGTCATCACTACTTGTCCTCGAGACACTGATGGAAAACATTGCTTTGGAAGAGAAGAGACTTGGAAGGAGGGCGATGAACAATCATGAGCCACTCAAGCCATGTGATTATTTTGACCTCATTGGCGGCACATCGACTGGAGGAATCATAGCCATTATGCTTTCGCGGTTACGGCTCGACTGCAAGCAGTGCATAGCCGTTTACAGCAAGCTGGCTGAGCAGATTTTCAAGCACGACCGATCCATCAAGGCATTCGGTATGAAAGTGCCCACAGGAGCCAGCCGGTTCTCCGGTGCCGTGCTCGCAAACGCCATCAAGACCGCACTCGAAGATTTGGGCTTCGACCCTAACGAACTCATGTGGGACGAGGCGCTATTCGAAGAGGTGGAAGAGGCAAACGAACTACCTAGGGACAGCATCTGGGCAGATGCCGCACCGGAGTTGGTACTCACGGAAAGTCCACTAGCGACTATGAAGAACTCATTGGCTTCACTGGAGTCGGGTCCACCGCTTAGTACTACAAGCACAACAAGGCCTTCATCTACACTCTACAGTTCAAGTCCATTCACTCCAAAAGCACCCACACGAAGCCCTACATGGAAACTCCACAAGCGGCAATCAGTTCATCGGAAAGCAAATGCAAAGGGCTGTCGCGGCTTTGTGCTCACCTCACTCAAGAACGCACTAGGGCTTCCAAGGATCCTATCTACATATGATCCAAACGACCGAACTACTCGCATCTGGGAAGCGTTACGGGCGACATCGGCAGCACCGACATTTTTCGAAGAAATGCAGTTTGGCACACCAAAAGTCACATACCTCGACGGTGGTGTAGGATTCAACAATCCCTGTGCAGAAGTCGACTACGCAGCCAAAGCACTATGGGAGAACCGGTCCATTGGCGTCATAGTCTCCGTCGGGACGGGCCTCCAGAGCATCCCCAGCGTAAAGAAGATGGCCTCGTGGCTCCCCTTTGGTCTCGGAACCGACATCTCAATCGCCAGCGCGCTCACCGGCATGGCAACTAGCACAGCACGCGTCGACAACGAAATGAAGCGCATGTACAGCAACTCCGACACAAAGTACTTCCGCTTCGACGTAGACCGTGGCCTCGCCGACGTCAGTCTCGAGCAATGGATGAAGGAAGACGAAATGGCTAGCCTAACGGAACTCTACATGAACGACGGCCAACAAATCCGCGCCGCCCGCGACTTTGGCGAGCGCATGGCCAAACTCTCTGCTCTCCCTCCCAAATTCGAAATTGGCGCCACCCAATTCACCGTCGGCATGACCAACACCCGCAAACTCGACGACTCCTTCAAACTCGTCCACGTAGATTTCAAGAGCGGAATGCCCATCGGCACCGGCCTCGATGTAACCCTCAGCCCACCGAACCGCAGCACCTCGCCCACGGGCGAAGGCGGCCTCGCTCTCGACGACACAGGCCGCCTGCGCAAAATCTACCCCGTAGCCGCGGACCTGGACCATGACGGACGCCGCGAGGAGGCAGCCGTATACCAGTGTCTCCACGCCGATAATATCTGTCTCCGCAGCATCAAAACGGGGATTCCACAGGGCAAATACAAAGTCTCCTTCATCGCCTCTTTTCACTCTTCCGACCACACGCCTCCGTGTGACATCATTTTCAGCGTGGGCAAACCGTATGATGTGGAGAACTTTGTAACGCGGTTTGTGGATGTCAAGATTACGCCGGATGTTGCGGCCGTGTTGCTCCAGCCTGATGCTATTCGGGTGCGTGTGGGTAGTCGCCGGTATGAGGAGTATAAGGGGAAGGGGTGGGTGGAGATTCAGGGGGATATTGAGATTAGTGTTGGATTGGATGGCGCATTGGGGTTCTTGATTAGTAAGAGGTACAAGAAGGATGTTTTTGTTGATGGGTGGAGTTTTGGCGGGGTGAGGCTGGAGCCGGTGTTTGGGAATAGTGTGATTGGAAGTCCGAGGATTGTGTGATGATGGTGAAGGGAGGATGTATGTTCTTTCTTTCTTTCTTTTTGTTTGGGGGGCTGCATGGTTGGTGTTTGCTAGCGTTTTTATTCTTGTTCATGTTTTTTCTTCTTCTTGCATATATGTACAACGACATAGAGGTCTGACTAGGTTGGCTGTTTTTTTTTATGAATGGGTTGGGATTCATGATAGGATGGGATTATGTCGTCTAAAATGATCAATGCATTTAGTGAACCTTTGCCATTTAAAATTGCTTAGCAATCCATGTGACGCAGAAGAGCAACGCAATGTAGGGTGGTGATAAGAAGATGTAGCTTCATCAGCCTTCATTCTCCAAATCTCTTACTTTGAAGGGCGAAGTGAAAGTAAGCGTGGATGTGGGTCCGCCGCCCGTTTGTTCCTACCTTGGTTGGTGAGTGGTCTACTCAGATGACTACATCGATACTATAACTAGTACGCGCGATAGTTAATAATCCAAAACCCCCCTATGAATTATGTAGTACTAATACAATTCAACGCATTAAACCCTGTTACTCGTGGGTTTTTTTTGGCTCAAAATCCATTGTAGTAGCCTACAAAATAAGTTGCTATTTTCTTAAAACAAGGGTGCTTTTTTTTGAGCTAAATCCAAAAGCGCTTTCGCTCATGATAAGTGGCGAGTCTCCCATAATTTTATTTTGTTTCTCTCCCAATCATAACCTTTGGTGGATTTGGCTACGATGATGATGAACTAGTTTTTTTTGATTGGCTAGTAAGATAGTAGCTTTTTATCCAATCAAGTACGCTGAGATGGACTTACTACGAGCTTCATTGGAAGATGATATTGGATTGAGCACCGCGAGTATTCTTGATATGGAAATCATTACGTTGTAGTGGTAATGTTTGATATTATTGATAGCTAGTTTTGGTAATATTTCATATTATTGATTACTATCCTGAGTAGGCAGCAGCAGCTTATTTTGATCTTCTTATGACTATATATTCTTCTCTAGTTTCCAGTCAACTCTTAAACAACCCTCTTCTACTTAGATCACCGACACGCATCATGGAACCACATTTTCTCAACCTTCCCCCCGAGATACGCAACCTCATCTACGAATACGCTCTCGCCCAGAATCATGGCCTCTGTTACAAGTGGTCTAATTGTGCTTATCGATTGCGTATAAGGAATGAAGAATTTGAGAAGATTGAGGAAGAAGAGAACGACGATGAGGATGAGATGGGACACTGTTGGGAGGAAGACGATGAGATGGACGTCGATGAGAGGGAATATTTTGAGTGGAAATATTTTGAGTCGATAGCTGATGAGAACTCATCATTAACCAAAAAAGACTCGATAAACCAGTCCAGGTTTCAATCTGATGGATATGGACAAGACAAAAACGGTTATACTCTTGCTCACTCAAAACTTGACATGGAAGCTCTGACCGATGGCGGTGATTACGAGGTCAAAGAGAAAATGACAGTGCCTCAGATATTGCTCGTTAATCAGCTACAACTTGTCTGCCGTCGGCTTTACTCCGAGACAAAGGGGCTTGAGCTGCGATACAATACTGTTTTCTTTGCCGGCGACAAATACAATATAGAGCCGTTCTATCAACGATACGCCCGATTCTTGCGCCGTCCCCTAGCTTACTAAAAGAAACATATGCGAATCAAAGTCCTCGATTCTCAGATTATCGGCCGTCAAGACGCCCGCGACGTAACAGAACTCTGGCGCTTTTGCAAAACCCATCCCGAGAGTCGGCTGGACATCCGTTTCACAGGCTGCTGGTCTCCCCCCTGAGGAGTACTGCATGCTCGCTATTTCGTCAACTGAGTGTTTGACAAGGGACTTGCTGTGATCACATCCGAATCCGATGTGGATAGGTTTGAGAGATTGGCAAATTCTGAGTATCTTAATGAGCAAGCTTTATACAAGACACAGATTTACCGACACACCTTCCAACTTCCATCTCTTTCCGGGACTTGGAAAGTTTGACGAGGGCGAGTTGAAACTGTACACCAAGGATGAGGCACATTTTATCTCGATTAATGGGGGTATGGCAGATTCTAGCTCGGTTGATGTCGATGTATTTGTAGCATGGGTCAAGCATTGGCATCAAAATGGCGCTTGAGCAAGCTGCTAATCTCTATATCAACAGGGCATGGGAAAGAAACGGAAACGAGGAGGAGAAAAGGGTTATGGTGTTTCTCACATGGCTACATCGAGACTTCAGTTGGCTATGACAGAGACAACACAACCTCTGAACTGTATCCAATAAACACCAAAGTAACCAGTCACAATAACAGAATGAAATGAAGATTCAGGAAGAAAACAAACTCTGATAAGTACACGTCATGTACATTCATAAACATCGAACCCCTATATACACAAAACCCCCCACTCCTAACCCATCTCCTCCTTTTCCCCCAAACAAACTCATCAACCTCGAGCCGCCGGACTAGCAACGCTCGTCGTAATCGGCCCACTCTCCACATACGTGCCACTGAAATACCAGTCCTCCGCGCCCGTCCCATCCAGCCCTTGCCTGGGCAACCTCAGCACACCCAAATGCCAATCCGCACCATTCGACGAGGTGCCAGTTGAAAACGGGCCCGCGGTCTTGACAAGCGAGCTGTTACCCGTCGAGTGCCAGAAGGAGACTTGGTTGGAGGAGAAGTTGATCTCGTAGGCGACATTGTGCCATTCGTCGGCTTTGAGCTCGGTTTTCCATTTGCTTTGGCCGCTTACCATCCATTGCCTATGTTGTCCATACAATCAGCATTCTTCTTGGTTCTACTGAATCCATGATTGTTTTGCTGGTGACATCTTTTTTTTGGGGGGCGGGAACAGGAACATGGAGATGGAGGGTATGTACTTACAAGTTAGTGTTGCTGGTTCCCGACTCGCCGCTAATCCAGCCATATTTTAGCTCAGTGAAATGAGACTCGAAGAAGGCGATTTGGTGCTCGTTTGTTGCGCTGGGGACGTTTGCGGTGGAGCGCTTGATGGAGAAGTGGTAGAAGACTGTGCCTTGGTTGATGGGGGCTTTGGTTTGCGGGATGAGCTCAGTGCGCCACATGTCGCTGTTCCATTTTGCCGTGTTGTCGATAGTGATTTTGGCGCCTTGCTTGCTGCCGGTGTCGCCGGAGTTTTTGTAGTTGGGGGAGAGGTTGACTGGGGGTGGTTAGTTTGGGGTGTGTAGGAGAGGTGGGAGGAATATACCATAGCGCGAGGTTGGGCCAGAGCCGTGGATGTAATATTGATAGTCTGGGAAGAGGGTTAGGTATAGTGGTTGTGGGATTGAGGACGTTGGTGGTGGGCTTACTGCCAACTTGGTTTGCCCAGGACCATTTCTCGAGATCAGCGCTCGAGGTCATGTCGTTGAAGCGACCATCCCAGAGGATTGTGCCTGGTGAGTGTTAGTGATATACAAGGACATCGAGGTGCTGACGAACCCGCAGAGACGGCGCTCACAAGCGCATTGACAATGGTAGCTTTTCCCAACATCTTGATCGTAGAGACAAAGAGAGTCTAAGGAGTGAAGAGACGAGTGTAGACAACTCAAACCTGATGCTGATACATGTCGACTCCACGGTGGTATATAAACTCCATTCCTGGCCCGAGAACCCAGGTAAAGCTTCACATCCATGTTCATAGCCCTGCACTCTAATATCCCATAAAGAACATCTGACTTTGCTCAGATTCGCGCAACCACTTAATACGCGCTCGGTCATACTGTTACTCAATCTATCCGCCGCCATTTCAGGGCCCCGGGTGGATCTAGCGGCGGCCATACGGTCCGGGGGCACATTGCCCTCCGTATAAGCCCGGGAACGGAGACAGCGGGCCTTATATTCTCGAACGCGACGATGGTGGCACGTGGATTCATTGCTAGTAATGTAGCGGTAGCCTAAGATGGGAAAAATGTAGTCTTATTGGTAGGAGGGTGGTGATGTCGCAGGGTTGTCGAGATTAAGCTACATTAAGCCGGTGTATACCCCACAATTAGCTACTTTGAGGCTGGGGCTGAATGCTTGCGTCAAATGGGCGTCCCAAGCGCTATGAATTTGAGGAGCTTGACTCTGAAATTGATCTGGGGAAGGCTGGGCAATATGCAGTCACTGAGCATATTCTTGCATCATTGCGATGGTGTATTGCTCTTTCGCACTCTGTAGCCACAGAAGCCCTGCTTCGTCATTGAGAATGTCATGTTGTAATGCGGATCCCGACTTGCATCAGATGAAGTTACCAGCTTGCGCTTCTCTGCCATCACTGGGTGTCCATCTCATCACGTGAAGGAACTAGCAATGTCTGGAATGGTAAGTCTCACTACGAGCTTGCTTTGTAAACGCCCCATGCAAGTACCTCCATGAAAGTACTGGTAAGGGAGCCATTGCTCAGACTGAACAAAGATTAAAGTCAACAATGAGGCCGTAGCAAAACATGTATGGGTACTGCTTGTCTAAAAGCTGGTCACGAAGTGTGAAACATGCCAATAGAGTGACTCTTGCGACAAAACGCCTAGTTCAAAATAACCCCAAACTACTGGCAATATCCTGGTATACGGTGACATCGAGCTTTTGTCGCGTTTGACTTTGTTTTAAGGTTTTAAAGTTTTGAAGTGCGGCACAAGAGACGACAAAGCCCACGAGAATGCACAGACCAGGCCACCCTCCTGTTGCCTTGGTGACATCACAAACAAGCGAAACAGACTTTCCCTGCTCCACCTGTTGCTTACATACAGTACCAAAGTATCCGCCTGGACCGTCCCCTCCTACAGTTTTTCATACGGACACATCATCAGACGCAAAGACAAACATTTTTGCGTGTCGAGACTTCCCACATACTCTGACGACAAGATGGCGGATGCGCGCGGGGAGTACTGGTATTACGAAGATGGTGTGGATGCGAACAAGATCACGGTGCCCGAACTCCGCAGCATCCTCCTTCGCCACGGCGTCACTTATCCATCTTCGGCAAAGAAGCCTATTCTCGTAGGCCTCTTCAATGACGTCGTCCTGCCCCAAAAATCCCAAGTTCAGCGGGCGTATGCGCGGACGAAGCGATCAACGCGGGGCATCGTAGACGTACCTTCCAGCTCAGCCAGCACAGTGGATACAACCGATGTCGAAGACGAAACACTCGTGGCTCCCGCACCCGCGACCGGGCGACGAACACTACGAAGAACTGGGCGCGCAACGACGGAAGAGGCAGATGCGCCTGCACCACGTTCCAAAACACCTTCCCGCACTGTGCCCGCAAAGCATAGCAGGGCTGTGGAGCCTGAGATAGACGAGCGGCCTGCAGCTAGACGCACGCGCAAGAGTGCTACACCTGCTCCACTTCCACTTCCAAAAGAGCCATCGCCTGAACCAGAAGCGTGGCACCGTAACGATGCGGCGAGCCCTTTTACCCAAGAAAACCCTTTTCAGAGCGGAAGCTCTCCCGCAATACCAGACACTATCTCGCGCGACCGTCGAAGAAGGACCACAGGGTACAGCCAGCATGAGAGGCGCAAGAGTGATGTGCACCGCCGACGAACAGTCCAACCCAAGACTGAACAAATGGACGATGGCATCATGGTGCCCACACGCGGAACGTTCGACGTCGCCGATCCCCGTACGAAGCATGAGGAGGAGGATACCGCAGACGCTGGGGAAGAGTTTACGCCCGAGGAGCAGCTCGAGTTGGTACGTGAGCGTGCAAAAGCCGGCGAGGTGGACATTCTCCCACCAAGAAAAAGACAGAAGAAAAACAAGGCTACTGGTACCATCAAAGCGATGGCAGGAACTATCTTCCTTACTGCTACAGCGGCCTTTGCTGGCGTTTGGCGACAAGAGAAAATCAATGTTGGCTTCTGCGGTATTGGGCGAGAGGCCACTGCACTTGCCGGCGTGGAGATACCGAGCTGGGCCGATCAAATCCTCCCGCAGTGTGAGCCTTGCCCACCACATGCCCAGTGCTATCGAGGCTTGAATGTCCGATGTGATCCCGATTTCATCAAGAAGGACCATCCACTGTCACTTGGTGGCCTAGTGCCCCTCCCACCGACATGCGAGCCGGATAGCGAGAAGACTCGTAAAGTAAACGGCATTGCCAATAGGGCCGTGGAGGTCCTTCGTCAACGCAAGGCACAGTACGAATGCGGTGAGCCTGACGCAGAAGGACATCCCGTAGAAAGTCCTGAAGTCAGCGAAGTTGACCTCAAGGAACAAATGGCTGCACAAAAAAGCAAGAGTTTGACGGATCAAGAGTTTAGCGATTTATTTGACAGAGCTTTTCCTGAGGTTCTGATGCGTGAAGAGGTAGTTCAAACTACTGATGAGTAAGTACTCTTCTTTCAGGTCCCAAACCATATGTGCATCATTTCTGACATGGAATTGTACTAATCAGTTCCTTTTCCGTGGATACAGAACAACCGGCAAACGACGTCTTGCATCAACCTCTCTCGCAAAACTCTCCCTCTCCTGTAGCGTCCGAAGATCCCTCCGACAGTCTTTTGAACGACATCTTCTCCAGATTGTAATGTTATTCCTAGTGATTGCTACGGGCTCCTACGGAAAATACTCGTATACCAGCAATCGAGCAATGGAGATCCGCGCAAAGCAACTAGCCAGCGACGCTTATGACAGACTGCAAGACCAAGCTGCACTCAGCTATCAAGCGCCCGGTGTAGAAAAGGGCATTAGCATGACACAGCTTCGTGACGACGTCTTACGCACTGAGTTTAATGCGTCTCGGCGGCAGAAACTGTGGAAAAGAGTCCAGGCGAAAGTTGAGAAGAATAGCAACGTCCGTGCGGGTGTCCGCACAACAGCCAATGGTGACGTTGCTCGAATGTGGGAGTGGGTCGGCCCTGTGAGGCGACTCGAGGATGGTCGAAGTAGTGGTGCCCGAGACAGCGGGCGCTTCAGTCTTGGTATAGGCAGCAGCCCTCCATCTGCTTCAAAAGATGTCAAGGATATGAAGGATGTTCAGAAATGGGAAGAGGGCCGTCCTGTCTACTAGCATTCTACTTGTGAATTTCTTTTGTTCTTCAGAATGGCTTTATAAGTCGGTCATTACAATCAAGAGAAGATGGACAGGGAAACATTTTCATTGGATTTGCTGCGCATGATACCACAACTATGAATTTACTTTTTGTTTGCTTCAACCTTATCTTTGCATGCCTGGATATTAAACACCACTGCGGATGCAAATTGATCGTGACGCAGTGAGCTTTTGGCTGTGGCTGGTGCGTGGCGCATGAGTATTGGCTTACTAACCTAGCCGAAGCCCACACACGCTAGTAATATCGGCCGCCCAGCATCAACATCTCCAGCACTACCGCCAACCTTTTCGCTCATACTAACCACAGAGCAAAAATCCGTCAAAATGGTGAGTGCAGTATTTGCTATTTGAGATTGCGCAATACGACAGCCACGACACGAGCGAGCAACATGACGAATCTTCGACGACGATGGCAAAATTGCGGATCGGCGAATATCACAACAACATCGAATACTAGAACTGGCCTCGGCATGTGGAATATATGGTTCATTGGAGGAGTGGAGAAAGCATCACTGCGCTGAAGGAAGTCATTGGAAAGAATTGGGCGCAGGTGGTGTGGGTTGGAGAGGCGACAAATCCCAGTGCAGAGTACTTATGGCGCCCACGTCGTACTCTATCGCGGAACGGTTACTACAAGCCAAACATACCCTCATGTTGGGCGGCGCCGATACGAAATCGCTTTTGACTCGCTCGCCCGCTCGCTCGAGTCGCCTCCGCCACATGTTTGCGAGCCGTCATCCACGCATATAATACTCGCCCGCTCGTGTCGCATGTTCAGCTGTCATTCAAGGAAGATTATATGCATACGGAAAGTCATAAGACAAATGCTGATTTCCGACTTTCAGGTCAACGTTCCCAAGACCCGCCGAACCTACTGCAAGGGCAAGGACTGCAAGAAGCACACCCAGCACAAGGTCACCCGTTAGTGACCCACGCTCCCATACATTACCTTTACATGCTGAGACGTTTTAGAATACAAGGCAGGAAAGGCCTCTCTGTTCGCACAGGGTAAGCGTCGTTATGACCGCAAGCAATCTGGTTACGGAGGTCAGACTAAGCCCGTCTTCCACAAGGTACGATCGACTGCAACAGATTACGCGATTTCGGCGCTGACAATACACAGAGGGCGAAAACCACCAAGAAGGTCGTTCTCCGTCTAGAGTGCACTGCTTGCAAGACCAAGGCACAGGTTCGTTTCTTTATGCACCCTATGCTCTATGCCGTTATTAACCTGGAATAGCTTGCCCTCAAGCGATGCAAGCACTTCGAGCTTGGTGGTGACAAGAAGACCAAGGGTGCTGCTCTTGTCTTCTAAGCGTGCGCCTTCTTTCTCTCTCTTTTGCTGGGCTCTCGGCGTAGTCTTCGGGCGGATGGAATGGACGGCTCTACCTTCGACTCAAGCAATGCATCAACCATCAGTATAACACGAATGAAGGCGTGTGAGGCGGAAGATTTGGCGACACAGGGTCACCAGCCACGAATTTACGGACTGTAACCTACATATGCATCAAATGGAGCTCGATTGAAGGGACCGCAAAACATTGTGCATCAATCTATTGACATGAATAACATGTGTGCCGCCTATAATAGCCTAATCAAGCAGGTACACTCGACTGTGGTTAAGATGTTTGGGAGTCACATTCCTCTGTCACAGCCCCTCCGAACCCACTAGCGTGACGCACCTATCTCGCCGACGGCATGTAAACCCGGCTTATAGAACAATATTTCATAACGGTGAAGAAACTCTCCATTCTACATTCTACAATGGCTGATTCCAAAAAGACAGTCCTCATTATTGGCGGTGGCGCTGTCGGCACTATTGCCGCTGTAAATCTGGAAGTCGGCGGCCTTGCAACAGTTACCGTTGTGTTGCGATCCAACTATAACGTCGTCAAGGAAAAAGGCTTTACAATCGATAGCTGCGATCATGGAACACTGAACGGTTGGCGGCCCAGCGTTGGTATGCAGCGATTCACATCTCCCACTGCAGTACATGCGTCGAGGCTAACAATAGCGAGTTCGCAACACCGTTCCCAACCTGGTCGAAGAGAATATCCCGCCATATGACTATGTTGTACTATGCACCAAGAATGTACCCGATACTTCACCTACAGCGGTTGAGCTTGTCACACCAGCACTTCCCAAAAATAGCGGCAAGACGACGCTTCTTCTCCTCCAAAACGGCCTTAATATCGAGAAGCCTTTTCTCCGCCCTCATCCCAATGTTCCGATTCTTTCTGGAATTTCTATGATTGGTAGCGCGGAGCCTTCAGCAGGGATCATTGTGCACAACGAACCCGATAGACTGCTTGTCGGAGCCTTTCCCACTTCGAACATCAACCCCGCTGTTCCGGAGCGAAGGGCGGAAGAATTTGTTGAGTTATACAGCAAAGGAGGAAAGACCGACTGCCAATACTCACCCAATGTCCTATATGATCGCTGGAAGAAGCTTGTCTTCAACGCAGCCTTGAATCCAATATGCGCTATTACGGGTCTAGATGACGGGCGCATACGCCTTGCTGACGGCGCCCTGGATGGTCTTGTCAGGCCAGCAATGCGAGAAATTGTCACAGCTGCTAAAGCGGTATGCGGAGTGGAGTTACCTGACGATGTGGTGGAAGCTACAATCAACATGGACCCGCTAGAAAGCTATTTGAAGCCGAGCATGCAGCAGGATCTGGAAAAAGTACGTTTTTGGGGCGGTCAAGCTTATCGTGTGTAAGCACAACAAATAATGCTGACATTGATAGGGTAACTTTATCGAGTTCGAGAACATATTAGGCGAGCCGCTTAAGGCGGGGAAGAATGCAGGTGTTCCTATGCCCACGCTTGAGGTGTTGTATCATATTGCAAAAGCAATACAGTGGCGAACAAAGGAGAGCAAGGGACTGGTCGAGGTACCAAAGAAAGCCTAAAGTGACGGTGTGCTCAGGGTTTATTCATCCTTACATGAGCAAGACTCGCTGTGAAGAAGAACAATCTGGGGCATCACATGTACGATGTCTGCACTGATTCACATCATCTAGATTATAAAATTGTGAAGGCTACTATATCTTTTACAAGTACCCCGCAGAGTGAAGTGTGGTGCGTACGTCATGAAAGCAATAAGGTTTTCAGTAGTCGTATGGTACCTGGAACGTTACCCTCCTGTACCGGCTTTACACATCCCTTCGAGCTATTATTCAGGGCCTCTTGCATGGAGCTACTCGTACCCTTTGGCCCACATGTAGCTGGCCTGTGCGGGTTGGGTACACAGTTTTTAACACGGGCTCAATGACCAGCGAGCTGTGCAAACACAAGCGACACGGCAATACGGTCTGTTTGCTCAACCTGGATCAACATCCGCACGCTATGCTTATTCGGCCGGAGGGAGCGAGATGCGATGGAGGCGTGACTATCCGAGTCAACACCGGACAACAGTGATTGGACAGGCGTGGATTCGCACTCGGTCGTGACAGGGGAGAGTTCAGATGGCAAAACGGGTCACCGTGTTGCCGCTGCAAGGGCAAAGCATCTCTGGACGCAAAACCGGTAGAGGCGGAAGATCTTGGGCTCTGGCAGCAGCGCAAGGCCGGGATGTGCCAGGTTTCGAGGTGGCGGTGCAGTTCGGTTGGAGCTATGCTTGGCGAATGACGAATGACGGTGCTGGTCCACCAACTGGCTGCTGTCCCAGGGCGAAGAAAGCTCAAGAATCTTTTAAGTAAATCCACGTGAACCCTACATACTCACTGTCTTTCCTGTGACTAGTTCTTACGTCGCCTGCTCTTGCCGGTTGCAGCCACATTACTCTCACCGTCTTTGAGCGCCTTCAGCGCGCGCGCCTAGGCTTGGACTCTGCTCAGCCTCCATATCACACAATCAGCTCCGCCAGTTGGCCCACGGCGCTGCCTGATATAACGCCAACCCTCAACCCGGTAGATCCGACTATCAACCAGCCTTATTTTCAGCCTCCGCCTATAGGAGAGCTGCACTCGTCTTCTCCAGGCAACTACTTTGCTGGTGCCAGTCACTCTATGCTTTTGCCAACAGCTTCGGCTACTGTGCCCAACATGGCAAGCAATGGTGTTCGCAGAAAGGATACGACAAAGGGACCGCCGTTGCGCATCTTGTCTCTAGGTACGTGGTCGAAGCGCGGCTTCAGTATGGGGCGGGGTTGCTAACATGTTTGACAGATGGTGGAGGCGTGCGGGGGTACTCCATGCTCATTATCCTTCAGGAGTTGATGCATCGAACATTTGTCGAAATACACGGCCGAGCACCCAAAAGACACGAAGTACCGAAGCCATGCGAACATTTCGACCTCATCGTGGGGACAGGTACTGGCGGCCTGATTGCTATAATGCTTGGGCGGCTAAGGATGGACGTGGAGACGTGCAAAGACGTCTACGTGCGCATGACGAGAAGAGTTTTTGAAACGGACAAGACATTTGCGGGCATACCGTACCGGTCAACACTGTTCAAGGCGTCGAAGCTGGAGGAGGCCATCATGCAGTGCGTGCGCGAACACACCATCTACGATGACGAAGGCAACGACAGTCACGAAGGGCGAAATTCGCTGCCTATGACACCAGGGAGCGCCACGTCGGGCCGTATGCACAGGAGTGCTAGTAACGCCAGCAACTACAGTCAGATCGGCATGTCGCCTGTCAACATGCGCATCGCTGCCATGAAGTGGGGGAACCCGCACGCTTTGCTCTACGACAACCGTGAAGAGCGCACCAAGACGTAAGTACACTTTCTGTTATTTTACGAAAACAAGTTAACTAACAATGTGCAGCGCTGTCACGGCTGTCTACAAAGGTACCAGAAAGTCTAGCGGGGGCCAAATACTTCTTCGCTCCTACGACTCGCGCAAAGAACCCGCTATCGAACCCAACGCGACGATATGGCAAGCCGGCCGAGCAACTTCTGCGACTGCGTTGGCTTTCAAGCCCATTCAGATTGGTCAATCAGTCTTCCTCGATGAAGGCTCTGGCAAATACAACCCAGCACCTATGGCTTTGGACGAGGCCGTTTGCAACGAATGGCCTGGGCGTGAAGTTGGTGTCTTCATCAGCATTGGTACTGGAAAACGACCAGAGGGTACAAATGCGCAGCAACACTTGTGGTGGGAAGGATTTGTTTCTGGCGGCATGGGAGACTTTGCCGAGGCCAGGCGGAGACTGATATCCAAGATCGAAGGATGTGAGAAGACACATAAGGAGATGAAGGACCACCTCGCAAAACGACATGTTAACCAGGAGAACTACTACCGCCTGAACGTAAACGTCGGTGTAGGCGAGTTTGGCATGAACGAATGGAACGCCTTGGCCGATATCAGCACGAACACGCGCATGTACCTGACGGACCAGACCGTACAAGGTATGACGTTGGACGCAGCCGCAAAGATTGCACGTATCCACTTCGCCAAAATACGATGGGAGCGCGCGGCCAAAGGAGAATCACCATACTCGCCTGATGCACAAGCACCGAACAAGCCTCTTCCCAGTGTCCCAGATCCAGCGCCCATGGCCGTCGAACTCCCAGCTGAGGAACTCTCACCCGAGTACTACACAAACATACACCCAGCCTTCCGGCCTCCACCAGGAGACCAGCGTCGGCCCTCAGAAAACGACAAGTACCTGGTGGTAAACTCTGATGAGCACCCGCCATCACCAGTCTCCGAAAATTACCATGACCTGATGCATCGACATTCTGGCGAGCTTGTTGCCCCTGGCCGCCGCTCACATGAGCAATTCTCGGCTGGGGGGCGCCCGGTATCAATGGTTAGTTCGGCAACTAGCTGGGATGATCGCATGTCAAACGCACCACCCAGACCTCCCAAGACACCTCTGCAAGACGGAAGACCTCCGCCGCCTCTTTCAGGTGGGTTGCCCATGTCGCCCATGTCGCCGCCTCCCGGTTCGTCGTTCTCGAGACCGCCACCTGGTGCACCTTTGCCATATCCGGATACGGATGGACCGCCTCCAATCGTCAACAAAGCGACAAAGCCGGATTATACGCGGTAGATAGAAAGTTGTCTTTTCTTTTTAGAATATGTCTGGACGTTAGAAATGACACCTGTGTTGTCACACTTGGTCATGAGGAAATTCATGATGATGACGGTTCATGACTGGAACAGGGGGGTTTCCAGGATGAAGTATAAGAGAATAGTTTTGATACCCAGTTGAGTTTTTTTCTATTTTTAGCTTTTCCTTGTCAATGATTGTATGAGAGATTGGATTTTATCACGATTTTCATGTTGAATCTTTATGAATGAGAGTTTTCTTCATTGTTCCGTGATGCTATGAGTGATGTAATGAAGTGCCACTCATGTAGCAAACGCAGAGTGACTAAGCCTCCGACCCAGCACTATCTCAGATAGCATCTCTAATCTCCTCCTTATCTTCCGTTACTACCTTCTCCTCTTCCTTGACATCCTTAACGTTCTTCCTCTCCCGCTTTACCGGCGTATGATCATCCCCTTCCACCTCCGCCTTCGCCTTCCGCTTCCTCGGCGTCGTAACCCCCTTCTTGGGCGTAGTACCACCACCAGCGCTAGCGTCACCACCGCGCAGCACAGCCAACTCATCTTTCAAAGTACCCTTGAGTCGGTCGACCATGATGCGGCATGCACCTACGGATTTGCCCTCGGGACGGGGTGCGTTCTGTTTTTTTGGTAAGCGGGGGATGAGAGAGGGAAGGGGGAAAAGGGGGATGACGAACGGTGAAATCTAGTCTTACGTTAGAGTGCTCGACTAGAGAAAAGTAGTAGGCGAGCTGTTTGGTTTCTTAGTAGGTTTATTGTAAGGTGAGAAGGGGATAGAGGGGCGTACGCGTTGGCGGTCAGTCCAGCTTTTTGCGGTTGAGTTGGTGGAGGTCATTTTAGATTAGATATAGTTGTTGTTATGTTGGGGGTTGGTGTGGATTGTTGAAGCTTGGTTGAGAGTACTCAAGATGTAGAATTGTGGGAGTGGAGGAAGAAGAAGGAGGGGACGAAAGATATCAAGAGGTTGTATGTGTAAGTGAGAGAGAACCTGTCTCGTGCTAAGTGAGTGGGGATACTATTGGTGGACTCATGCAGTGAAGGTGAGTGTCTACACATGCGCGTTATGTCAGGTTGGTGCTGGGTCAGAGGGTTGGTCACTCTGCGTTTGCTACCAGCTCATCATTCGGATTCTATCCAAGGGGTATACAGAGTTTCTGTGTAAATTTCTATTTGAATGATTGAGGTGGAACCTACGCGCCTCTTCTCGCACAGTACATGTGTGTGCTACGATTTCTCCTCGCATTAAGAACCAGCGAATACTCTGCATGATACGCTCATTCCATTGCACGATAGCCGAACGCTTCAAACCTCCGCATCGATGTCATCGATCTGCACCTCCTCCTCCTCCTCCTCCTTCGGCTCAGCCTTGACGTCCAAGTCCGCCTCGTCATCCTCACTCTTGGGTATAGCAGCCTTCTTGCGCGGCCTACCTCGCGGCTTCTTGACACTCGGGACATCCTCGCTGTCCTCTTGATCAGCCTTGGACTTGCGCTTGCGAGAAGTAGCAGGCGCCTTCTTGGGAGTGGCCTGAGGGACTGGTGCACCAGACGCCATGGCATCCCACTCTGACCTGAACGCCTTGATGAGCTTGTTGGTCTTCTGCCTGAAGCCGCTGACAGTGCGACCAGCAGCATAGAGACCTCCCTGTGATGCATTAGCTTGGGATTTCCACACGTGCTTTGTTTCTTTCTGGGTTTGGGTACGTACATCCCAGTCGAGAGTGATGTTGTCCTTTTGGATGAGATACAAGAGGCTGGAGAGCTGTTTGGGGTTAGTGTTGCTCTTTGTCAAGGTGTTTACACTTACGATCTCACGATCGGTCCATCCTTTGGGATTATTAGCGTCGTCCATGATGTGGATGGTGGATAGTTGGTTAAGCTTGTGGATGCGAAAAGTGTGAAATTGGAGAAAGAAGAAGAGATCCAAGAGACTCTGGGTTCACATGTGTAAGTGAGAGAGAGTGTGTGTGTCTGGTCGTGAGTGAGCGTTGAAGACCCAATGTTCAAAATTGTTGGCAAACGGTCCTCACTCACTATGTAACTAGAAAAACGGACTAGGCAACGCTGCCCCATCCTAAATCACACACATTCTATCTGGCCACCAAATACGCACACTCAACTGTCTAAGAACGTTTCCCATCGCCAAACCATAACATAACAACAACTGCATCCAACCCAAAATGTCCATCGATCAACCGCAAAAGGCTGGACAGACCGCCAACGCGTACGCCCCCTCCTTATCTAACTAGCCTACACTTAGACTAATATTTACAGCTCGCCTACTACTTCTCCTTAGTCGAGCACTCTGACGTGAAAATAGACTTTACCGTTCGTCCTCCCCCTCCCCCCTCATCCCTCGCTCACCCATTTCTCCATCATACATATAGCCTTCTGCATTAAGTAAACCTGATTCTCCCTTAATGACTCCTGAAATGTAATCTATCACCAGATTTGAAGTTCTTACAAAGAGTAGGCCGCAAACACGTGCGCAATTCCCACAAAGCTACTCACTTCTCATGCGCTCGTAACAACCAGCGAAGCCGCCCAACGCACAGGAATTCTTGTGAAGCACAAAACAATGATTTGAATTCACCTTCCAAAACTAAATCCCTGAATCAGATAAAAATACGTAATTAGAGAGCCACAAGATATAAACTCTCACAGCATACCAGTGTAGCTCCCGTCCCCTCCACCTCCACCCATATTAAACTCACACCGACTCGGCATCCCCACAAACCATCACTACAAAACCCAACTCTCGCACTAGAATTAGCACATAAAGAGAGAGAAATATCAATACACTCATCAATGCTTCCAAACACAAAAACAACTGCCGCTACAAAAATAGAAGCCAAAAAAAAAATCTTCCTCCAGGTTCCCCCTCGCCGCCCCTTCCATCCCGCATAACCACCACACCCCCAAATAGGCAAAGCCTCCTTTCTGCAACATGGGGGAGGGGCTAAAAGGCACCAGTGCGCTCTTTTCCTCCCGCACCACCACCACCCCCCGGTCCCATCCCGCAGAACACCGGCACGCCTAGGCCATGAGTAGGCGGTGGGACATGGGACCGGGGGAGGGGGTTGGCGGGCCTTCCCGTTAGTGGTTACGCGAGTGGGAAGTAGTAGGATGTGGCTTGCTCCCGTGGTAAGGGCATGGGTGGGGGAGGGGGGGTCAGTTGGAAGACGGTGCGGGACGGGAATGGTGAGCTGGGAGGTGACTGAGGGGAAGGAAAAATATACGAGAATTGCAGGACATTATAGAAGGCAGTATCTTGGAGGGCATTGTGCATGTATGGGCTCCCTCTGCTCGAGATGGGGGGGGGGGCGTGGTAAGCAGTCTCAACAGGATTGTCATTCACCAACAGTGCATCACATAAGTCGCATCTCACATTCAAAGCATATTTCACAAAACCCAACATGTATAAACTCTAAACTTATTGCATTCTTGCCCTTTTTTCGGTGTGCCCGGCTACACCGAGTAGAGAAATATCTACATGTACTACACGTGTCCTGTGAGAGATAGGAAGCCATGAAATAGTAGGGTATCGAAACCATTCTAGTCCCTCGCCTAAAGAAAAGGAGGAAAACTTCGTGTCCCAATTCCCCTAGTGCCCAAATAATGTGTCGACCGAAACAAGGAAAAAAAGATAACATATTCAGCGATTAAAAATGTTGGCGCCAGAAATGTGTCGAAAGAAGACGAGGAAGACTACAAGTGAGCAAGGCCGTGGGTGACCTCAGTCACGCCAACGTGGGTGCCGTTGAGCTTCTCATTTGAGACGAGTTGTGACAGCTTGCGGTCAAAGTATTGGTTCTCGGTGTGTGGGTCGTACATGCTCTTCTTGATGAAGTCGTCGAGCTGCTCGTCGCTCATGTCGCGTAGCTCAGTGGCACGGTCAACACCGTTCTTTTGAGCAGCGCGGATAACACCACGGGTGACAACGACGGAGACTTCACGGATACGGCGAACGTCAGGGTACAACCAGCCATCGGCAACCTCTTGCCTGTTCAAGGAGGTAGAGAGGTACTCGGCGGAAGCGTAGATCATGTCTTGTGTAACAGAAACGGCCTTGGAAAGGATAGCGCCAAGTCCGATACCTGGGAACACGTACATGTTGTTTCCTTGGCCGGGGGTGAGCAGCTTGCCATCATACTCCATTGCCGGGAAAGGAGAGCCAGATGCGAAAAGACAGCGGCCTTCAGTAGCAAGGACGGCCTCCTCGAATGTGCACTCAGATTTGCTGGAGGGGTTGGAGAGAGGGAAGATAATGGGGCGATTGTTCAGCGAGGCCATCTTCTCGAGAATGTCCTTGTTGAATGCACCGCCAATGGTTGATAGACCCATGAGAATGGTGGGCTGTACGTAGTCGATGAGGCGGCTGAGCGACTGGTATTGTCGGCCGTTGTTGTCGTCACGGGCGAAGTAGACCTTGTGGTCAGCGAGCTTGTCGCCGCGGTCATGGGTGACAAGTCCGTTTGAGTCGACGAACCAGAACTTGCGGCGAGCCTCCTCTTCTGTTAGACCCTCCTTGATAAAGTACTCAACAATCTGCTTGGCGACACCAACACCAGCACTTCCGGCACCCAAGAAGATAGCCCTGTGGTCCTTTGCTGGGACACCAGAGGCCCTGACGGCGTTGATGAAGCCGCCAACAATGACGGCACCAGTGCCCTGAACATCATCGTTGAACATGGCGTATTGGTTTTGGTAGCGTTCTAGGGCGGGGAAGGGGTTCTTGAAATCTTCGAATTGAATGACGATGCTAGGGTATTGTTAGTATTTTGGCAGATGAGTCAGAAAAAAGACTATTACGTACCTGGGCCATCGGTCGGTAAGGGCGACCATGAGCTCGTCGAGGAATTCCTTTTCTTGCTCGGGGGTAACCTTGGGCATCCTGGAACCCATGTATAGAGGGTCGTCACGGAGGGCCTGGTTGTTGGTTCCCAAATCGAGAGTGAGGGGCAGAGTGCTGTCGGGCTTGATACCAGCGCAAGCCGTGTAGAGAGCGAGTTTGCCGACGGGAATGCCCATGCCGTTGACACCAAGGTCACCAAGACCAAGGATACGGGAACCATCAGTAAGGACAGTGATGTCGACCTCGTGTGGCCAGTTGTCGAGGATCTTGCGGAGGTTGCCCCGGTCGCTCCATGAGAGGTACATGCCCTCGGGTTGGGTCCAGATCTCGTGCCACCGTAAGCAGGCCTCGCCGACAGTCGGGGTGTAGATGAGAGGAGTCAATTCCTGGGTATGTGTCAGTTGTGACTCTGCACAAATTGTGGGTGGCATTTGCTCACCTTGATATTCTCGCCTAGGAGTCTGTAGAAGAGGTGGACGTTGGTGGCTCGGAGGTGGACGAGGTACTGGAATTTCTCGAGGGGAGTGGGCTTCATGGCGAGGAGGCGGAGGCCTGAGGGAAAATCAGCAATTGCAGTCAAGAGGGTATAGTGGTCCAACTCACATCGGTCGGTTTGGACATCGTAGCTCTCGACGGCTGGAGGAGTGAGGCCGTAGGTGCCGAGACTGCGGCGAACGTCTGGGGTGTATGACATGTCATAGTCGCCCGAAGTTGTGGTCAACTTGCGAGCGTAGCTGGGGCGAGTGGCAGAAGGCATATTGTGTGTGGCAACTGTAGCCATGTATCGAAAGGAGGGTTTAGGGATTGAAGAGCGGAAGGCTTGGGCAGGAGCCTTCACCTTTATAAGCGACCTGAATGGGTGCATTGAGATGGGATGAAACTTCCGTCGGCAATTGAAAAAAGATGTCAGGGAAATAGGCCGCCTGGGGCGTGCGGAGGATTGGGGCTACATACTAACGAATAGCCTATCGGGAGGGGTCTGGGGTCCGCAAGAGACACTGTGAGGAGATCCGTTCTCGCCGTCAAGGTGTGCTTGTAGGGGAAGCATAGACCACCAACCCGTTGCGTTGGTCGGCCTGTAACCATCACGCCAGTCGCATTTCCCCCATGCTTGCTCCCGCCATGTTGAACGCCGGCGTGCTGCCCATCTAACGGCCGCACGCCCAGATAGACCAGACGGCTTGCAACGCATCTTGTCACGAAGACTGCAGACGATAACTCTATCCTCTTGCCTGGACTCCGACTACCTGAAACCGTCGACACAGGCAGACAGGCACGCCCATAATTTTTTCGACGTGCCACAGCCACAGCGGCCGGGTAGCAGGGATCATGGGGCAGACGTGCATATTGTCGGGAGCATTCGGAACGGACGCGTCTGGCTGGCCTTGCAGCGAACGCCGCATTATCCACCGATGGGCTCCAATCCGCATCCATGGCGCCCATTTGCTTCTGTCGGGCATATCGACTTGACAGCTTCGCAATTAACCATCCGTCATCAACGCCGCCTGGCCCTCACGATTATGTGCTTCCCACTGTACATACTTTCGTCCCCTCGGGCTCCGTCTGCTTCAGCTCGTATCGAGCCACACACAGTCAGGCATCGAGGCATTTTTCATCAACATGTCGGTGTCCATGCGTGGCCTTGATCCGCAACACGCTGTCTATTATTAATCGGCTTCGTCTTACGGGATTTGTCTCACGCCTCTTTGCCACGCACCAACAACCCGGACCAGTTTTGACCTTGCCCATCCTAATAGTGCGGCTTCCGGACTTTAGCCATGTCACCACACCGTATTTACTCTACGAATCCTCTGGCGGATCCGCCTTCGGCTCCATCCATCTATACACCGATCCGACGGCTTGCTAGTCGCCCAAGGCGGTGTGCTTTTGTCCAGTGCCAGTACCACGACCCCCGGACGCAATTTTTTCAACGCTCAACTCACATTGCCCCTGTCCCCTTGCCCTTTCCCCAATTTAGGCGGACGGGTGGTGTCAGGGGAAGCCGGCGCGATCGCAATCTGCGCTCCAAATCTGTAACAAAAATAACGCAACCAAAAAATAAGGCAGCTGCTGAATGGCGCCCCAAGTCCGACCCGGCCCACGCCCTTCATACCGTCCAGGCACATGTCATGTCTCAATTGCAGTAGCCGCTCATTTCTTGTGCGCGAACCTACTAATAAAAAGACGCTGTCTCGGACAAACTTTCGACAGCTGCATATGCGGCCGGGGTGGATCGTCCGCAGTTGTGGGGAAAGCTTGATGGCCTCCTTGGGTAAAGTAGGTAAAGTTAGCCGCCTCGGGCACGTGTCCAGTTCGTTCTCTTCCGAGAAATGGGGCACACGACTCCACAACTTGACAGCGCCACGGGAGGTTACGGAGTTTCTCGGTGAGCGTCCTCGCAACATCATGTCAGTGCTACACGCAGCTTGCGAATCAAACCTAGAGCCCTCTTACACGCTCCTCGGCCTCTTGTCTAATGGCTTGGGCGTGCAGCAGAACTGTAACCGTCATGCAACTGTCAAGTCTCACCGTCTCTTGATAACCCCGGCAAGCGAGTCAGGCCTAATCCGATCTAGAATGCCCGAGCCTTACCTGGCGCATGGCTACAAGAATGCAGTAGGGGTTCTTCCAGGGCCCTTCTTCAGTGGGCCGCTTCCCCGACAAGAATGCAAAGTCTCTCCAGCAGTCTGAACACTGCGTCCATGCCTGAGAAAATCCTTCCCTTTGGCACAATCCCACTTATAGATGGAGTAATGCACGATGCGCTGGAACGTCTAGAATTCCCCGATGGAAAAGCATCCAGCGGACCCATGCTCTCTCAGCGGGCCCATCGCCATTGCGTGCTAGTAGCACGCGACAGTGGTGCGGGGAAGCCGCCTGTGGCTGTAGCTGTGACTGTGGCTGTGGCTGTGGTGGCTGTGATGAGTTGTGAAATCTGGATTTCTTGCAAGTGCAAGCTCAACCACTAGCTACTTTAACCATACCCTGCTTTCAACTGTAGCCTTGATGTACCGCCTTTGTGCTCGTCATAGACGCTCAACAAATAATCTTGTCATGATCTTGATCGTGTCGGCACTCGAAGCCTCAATTCTACATGTGCACATATCAAATGCAGCTGAATGCTGTGACAATGTTGCGTCGACTCAGTAGATGCTTTCGAGAGCTGTTCCATGCGACTTCCGAGATGAGTGATGTGCAGCAAGGTACTGATATGCTTATATGTACACGTATATTAACATATACATGCACATGAGACCTAGCATATAGTATGTATGTTGATATGCACTTGCACTCCGCAAGACCAGGAATGGGAGCGGCAGCCTTGGCGCATGTGGAGCCGCGGGATCGACGAACGGCATGACGTCGCTAGCTCACTCTCGTCATCCTGACCTACGCGTTTGATCGAACCTTAAAAGAGCTGTTTACAACCATTCCACCTCAGCTGCATTTCTCCGAGACAAACTCCGTCTGCAATCATCGCCATGGCACTTTCATCGTGCTTCGGGAGACGCAAACGCGACGAGGACCAGCGCCCGCTGTTGCCTCAGGTATGTATACATACGTCTCGTCGATTCAAATTGTACGCGCTAATCTCACATGTCAGTACCGCGATGACACAGCACTGCAGAGAGAGGTGCACCAGAAGCTGCACTCGTATCAGATGATACGTGCACTTTCCATGGGTTTCATGCCATCTAACGAACAGGTCATCATCAACCTCCGGAGCTTGCTATCTGCAGACATCCTGAACCCAGAAAACCCAGATCTGAGCGACTCTGGTCGTCTTCTCGTCAAATTTACCAAGCAATGGCTACACCAATTCATTGACACTCTAAACCACAAGAACAACAAAGACCAAATCCAAGACTTCCTCTGGTACCTTTCCAAGTCCAGGGTATCTGTAGATGTGGAGGATATTGCACGAAGGGCGACCCGGTCAAAAGCAAAGGCCGATGCTACTGCAGGTCAGTAGTGCATGTCCTTTGTTTCTACAAAATGAAGCTAATGTATCAACAGCCTACCAAAGTCTGCAGACCGTCGGATCTTTGCTCCTAACAAATTCCGACTTTCGCATCTTCCTCGCTGATCTAAACACTGTCGGCAGGGAAGTGTTCAGAGACACTGCTTTCACACTGTCAAACGTATCCAAGAAAGCGGCTAAGAAGATCGAGCCTCCACCAAAAGAACAAAAGGCACTCAAGGAACCCGGTGCGGATGAGGCTCTCGCGCACTCCACTGAAGAGATCAATGATCAGCTTGCCGAGGTCGCTCAAATTGTTGGCAATGGGGTTGCCAAGGTTGCTAAGAGGGCAGACGTAAGTTTGGCCGAGAAACTTCAGGGTGAGGAGGGCGAATCGCTCTTGTACCGCCTGAAGAAGACAATCACAAACTTGAGGCAAAAGAGGGATTACAACGACTCCGTTTCGGTGCTCGCAACACTATTGAAGCGGTACGCCATGGCATACTCCCGGAACGTAGAAGATGCTATGGGTGCTCTCGAAGCTGACGTCGAGCCAAACCGAGAAATGGAGAGGGCTGTGAAGAACTTCTGGACCTTCCTAAGCTCCTTTGGCGATAAACAAGAGTGGAACAAGCTCGAGGATGCATTCCACAAGGTTTTGGAACACTCGCGCAAAGATCCCGAATTCGAGGATTTGCTCATCGACATTGGAAACTCGCTGCAGAAACTTCTCACCGACCCCGACTTCTTTGACCACGTCGACGAAAAGTTCCAAGAGCTTCGAAAGAAGGCCAATGGTGTTGGATCGGAATCGTCGCTTCGCCAGGACGTAGACTCGTTTTTCGTACAAGCCCAGAGCACCTTCATGGCTGTCACCCAGGACCAGGACATTGCGAAGATGATCAACACGACGATGAAGATCTGGAACATACTGTCACCCCTACACAGCAACATCAACGGCGAGCTCGTTCAAGATGCAATCAATGTTTTTGTCCCTCTTGCGATCCAGGCTATTCAGTACATCCCCATTCCTCGTCTGGAAGTATCCACACCCGAAATCGATATGCTTCTGGAGAACTTGATTATCGAACCTGGCAAGACCGTGAATCACACATCGTTCCTCCCATTCCGCTTCCGAGTAGAAACCTACAACGATTTCGAACTTCGCAAGGCCCGCTTCCGTGTTGCCTCCAAAGCTACGTCCAAGTTCACCATCAAAATTGACGGTCTTTCGTTTCGTGCAGATGAGATCGGTTTCCTTCTCCGCGCACACTCTGGCCTCCTTCGCCTTGCGGATGAGGGTATTGCTTCGTTCCAACTCGACGAGCGCGGTATCGATATTCATTTAGATGTCGAAGTCGGCAAAGAGAAGTTGGAGCAGATTCTCACGCTCAAGGCCGTCCGTGTTCACATCCACAAGCTTTCGTACACGCTGCGCAAGTCCAAGTTCAGCCTCTTTGGCTGGCTCCTCAAGCCCCTGCTGCGTCCTGTTGTCCGCAAGGTCATGGAGAGGCAGATGGCCAAAGGTATCGCTGATGCCATCCATGCCGCCAACCGTGAGCTCATCTTTGCACGCGAGAGGCTTCGAGCGACGAGGATCTCTGATCCAGATGACCTGAAGACTTTTGTCAAGGCCGTCATTACGCGTCTCACACCGGCCGATGACCCCGACCTTTACACGAGGGTTGGTGTTGACGCACCAAAGAAGGGTGTCTTTGCTGGCAAGTATGCACCAGGCAGCGTTGCCAAGCTGTGGGAGGAAGAGGGTCGTCGTGCACCAGAGCGCATTGATGACTGGGACGAAGGCGGTTGGAGGAACGATGTCTTCGACCTCCATGCCATGGCTCTTTCCTAAACACTTTCTATTTTAGCAGACGACTTATTTGCACTTTCGACAAAATGGCTGTTCTGGTATGGGTCAAGTCTGAAATCATGGTTTCGTGGTATGTTTTTTCTAATCCAAATGGGGGGTTTTTTCAAGCAAGCGGTTTATGGGGTTATGGTTTTCTTTAGGAGATGGGTTTACGGGGTAATGGTTTACGCATCGTCATGATGGTTACGATGATACATACTTATTCTAATCAAAATGCAATCTGGTCATTGTAATAATTGTATCGTTCAGCCCAGGTCTGATCATGTGTAGACACATCAAGATGGCATCAAAGGGCTATTTGTATGGTTTAGCGCGAACAAGTCCTTTTTTTCATATTCTTAGTCTACGGCATAGAGAACCCCAACTATCATACAATGTGTACCATGCTCGAACTGCAAGCTCTGGTGCTTCATCAAATTTTTTAACAATAGCAACAACCATCTACTCGCAAAAAGCGTAAACAAAAGCCCAATCTCCATTTTTTGGGGGGTAATACCCCCAAGATTGTACACAATCTTCAACTGGTCAAGCAGAACGAGACTTAAAACGGAGGCAGCCAAAAGGGGTACGAAGGATTCTTGACACGGAAGACACTCATGAGGAAGCTGTACATGCCGAACAAGACACCGGTCCACAAGAAAACGGCCAGCGACTGAGCGCGCACATCCTGGATCCTGGGGACTTTGACGGCCAGCGAAATAGCAGCAAAAGCAAGGACACCATAAATGGCTGCGACAATCTGCGACTCGAGGCCATACTGGTTGCTGAAGCCGCCTGCAAAGTAATTGATGCCACCTTTGTTGTCACCAACGACGTAGGGCGTCTTGCGGATGTGATTGAACATGTGGCCACTGGTGAAGAGCAGCACGGCAATCAGGCTGACGGCAGCCCAGAGGTTGCGGTTCTGGAGCAGGGGAATGACGTATGGCGAGGCAACGAAAATTGCGGTGATGCCGCCGAGGACGGAGGTGGTTATGGTGATGACCCTGACCCAGTTGATGGGGCGGGCTACGGAGGGTTTGGGGAGGCCATCGGGGACTTGGCGGGCGACCCAGGCGTGGATTTGTTCGGCAGTTTGAGGGCCGCCGGTGAAGTCGAAGCGGACGGGTTGCGAGTCGACTTTTGCGTGGGGGCCGGCGGTGGGGTGGAAGTAGAGGAGGACGGGGGCGGTTTGAAGTTGCATCTACATGTATAGTTAGCTTCTATAGAAGTATAGAATGTGTGTATGGGAGTTCCATACCGATTGAAAGACATTCTTTCCGTCGACAAAATCCAAAGTACCAAAGACAAGTCTGGATTGGCCATCTTTGTCTCCCTTTGTCCAGCTATTACCCAGCAGGTCCCATTCTGGCTGGAAGCTCCTGCAGAGCGCACACCCGAACCTGGGCTCCAATGCCGTGAGTAGCACAGCAACGCCGTAGTCTCTCGGCGATTTTGTCAGTTGAGCGTAGCTGGCATCGTTGAGCTTGAGCGGGCGGCCGGTTGACAGCGATTTGGCGCGGGCGTCATTGAAGCGGTCGCCAGCGGGCTTCTTGGCTGCGAGGGCTACAAAGGGCAGCAGCGAGGCTGTGAGGAGTGTGAACCACCGCATTGTGTCGTCTAGCGGGTGGGGTGGATGGTTGTTGCTGGAAGGCGTTTGTTCGAGTAGACACAATGCTTGGGAACGTGGCCTTGACGGCTGTCGGAGCTTGCGGGCCTGCGTAATGGCGCTAGGGCGGGCAGGGATGTGCGCGACTTGCCGCTGCAGCCCTCCATGGGGACAAACACCCGTTGCCATTGTGAACAAGGCTCCGATTCAGTAGTCATTGGGGACAAGTGAATGTGATAGACATCTTGAAAACACTGTGCTTGTATACCGACTTGTATTTTCATTCATTTTTCCATATTATCCTACTCTTTTATCCAGTCGCGCTACTACGACTCGGTCCGTACTTCTCGGCGCTCTGTTTGTTTACCCAAGTCGCGTCTGCCGCAAACCCCACCACCATCAATCCTACATCCCTTCACATCACCAAGCAGATATTACACCATGGTCGCAACCATAGACGCAGACATCGATAGCAATTATGAGATGAAAGATGTAAGTGCAAGAGAACTGGGCCGTTGCTTCCGACTCTCCCCAACTAATTTCCCCCTTCTCAGCTTCAACATGCGCTGCGAAACGCAAACTTAGAACTCAGCCTTGAAAGGAGTAAGCATTCGGTCGAGATTGTAGCCAAGGACGAAGAAATTCGGAAGCTGCGAGTCGCCCAGTGCCTCCTGCAGGACGAAAACAGCGACCTCCACGAACAACTCGAGGAGGAGCAGGGCCGCGCAGATGAACTTGACAACGCTCTTGACGATGCTCTCGCACAGTTGGATGAGCAACGGGCCGAGGGTGAAGCTGCACAAAACACAATCCGCACCCAGGCGCGGGAGATCGCGAATCTCAAGGTGAGCACGTCAAGCACACCGGCCAAAGCGCCGCTAACAATGACTAGGCCGAACTGAAAGCCATGGAGAACGTAACCTCAGACTCCAACAAGATCCTCTCCGACAAACTCGCCCTGTCTCGTGAAATTTCATCGCTGCGCCCTGAAGTCGAACACCTACGCGCCCAAGTCGAATCAAACACAGGCCTGCTCACCGAGAAGCTAGCCCTGCAACGTCAGCTGACCACACTCCAAGCCGAGCTCGAGAACGAGAAACGCACTGCTGCACGTGCACTGGCGAAGCAAGGAAAGAAAATGGAGCAGGACGAGGAGATGCGTGGCGAGTTGGAAGAGGTGCGCCAAGAACTCGCCACAGAGAAGAAGGAACGGATGAAGGCTGAGGCTGGGCTCGTAAAGGCTGAAAAGGCAATGGAGAAGGTACATGCTGATCTGGAGTCGCAACAAAAGTCAACGGAGCAACTACAGGCCAAGGTCGAGAAGCTATCAAAGAAGGAAGCCAGCAAGGCTAGCAAGCGAGATGAGGCTCATGACGCTGCGATTGAAGAACTGCGCCAGGAGTTGGAGCAAGAGAGGACCGCACGTTTGCGAGCAGAGAAGGCTAGCAAGAGCACTGGAGATCGTGATGCCGAAATTGAACAGCTACGTCAAGAACTAGAGCAGGAGAAGCGCGAGCGTCGAAAGGCCGAGAAGACATCCAAGCAGGGCTCACAATCAACAGACACCCAGGTTGAGACTGTACGGAAAGAACTCGAAGAAGAGAAACGTGAGCGTAAGAAGCAAGAGAAGGAGTTCAGCAAGACACTGGCAGAGCTCCAGGGCCGAAACACTGTCCTTGATGACAAGTTGAGTGCTTTCCGCGAAAAGCTACGGACAACCAAGGAGAAGCTCAAGGAGAAGGAGGCTGAGCTTGAAAGAGCAGAGAGGGCGCAGACGGCACCACCCGCTAAGAGCAAGCCGACAGTTGCCGCCAAAGCTACCGTGAAGAATGCCCGGAAACGTGTGGCTGCTACTGCTGAACCCGAGACGATGCTGGGTACGCCAGGAGACGGCTTCCCTGCGAAGAAGGCGAAGCGCGGCACTTCAGTATCTGCAGTTGGCGACACGTCAACCTTTTCTTTGACACCGTTCCTCAACCGTGCTGGTAATGTAACAGCTGCCAGCCCCATTGTTGAAGAGAACGAAGCAGAAGATGATGAGGCGGAGGAAGAGGCCGTCCAGGAGCAAGCCACTCCTACAGCACCGCCCAAGAAGGCTTCAAAGACTGCTCAGCCCAAGATCAAAGCTCTGGCCCCAGCTGCATCGAACAAGGCCAATGCAAAGCCTCGCAAGAAGAACCCTGCTCCTGCCCTGGAAATGGTCACGGAGGAGGTTTCTGAAATCTCACACAATACATCCAAAGAAGAGTCTGAAAACGCACCCGTGTCTATCCCGCTCAAGGACAATGACGGGCCCTCAAAGAAGAGCAGTGGAGCCCCTAAGATCAAGCCTCGCAAGTCTCTCATGTCGTTCGCCACGTTCGCCGAGGAACCAGCAGCGGAAAAGAAGAAGAAGCGCAAGCTTGGTGCCAGTGCTGGCAAGACACTATTCGATGCCGAGGATGGTGAAGACGCTGCGCCTTTGAAGCCTGTGGGTATCAGCAAAGGTCTTTTTGCGGCACGCGCATTGGGCAAGAGTGTGCTGGGGAAGCAGGGCCAGCAACGACCTATCTCTGGTGGGTTCAATATGATGAGCGAGGAAGCGTTCACGTTTTCGCCGCTCAAGAAGGATCGGAGGGGGGCGAGTATTCTCAAGTAACTTTCCTGGTGTTGGGGTACATGGAATCTATGTTGCAGCCGATATCATTATGCGAAAATTGAATATTGTCATTTCAAGGGCGTTGGTTAGGGTCTCGTTATTCTTGCATGGTTGGAACCGGAGTTTGTTTTCAAGTAGACGTGACAATTGGGCGACGGTCATTGTACGATTATGTGGTGTGGGCCCATAGCTATCCAGTAGTCCCATATATGCTATCTAAAAGTAGTTTCAGGCCAGCCTTTATTGTCTCTTTACTTTCCAGATTAATCGCAGTTGACCACTTTCTTGATACTGCCAATCAAACAGCCCATGTGCCTTTTACATCTTTCCACGCCGCAAACAAGCGCAGTCAACCTAAAACCCTCGCGTTAATTCCTCCACAGGGCGCTTAAACGAAAATCTTGATGCGCCCGTGTCGCGGCGCGTCAAAAGCCATAGAATACGAGATTTTAATCCAATACCGTGGCTACGGCACAGCGTGCGGCGTAGTTAACAGTGAAGACCCATGCCTTGTATGTATACGGTTAGGAAATAGGCGTGTGCGCGGTAAGTCAGGCCAACATCAGCCAGCGGTCTTGGGTTAACCCTAAATAAAGGGTTGTCTTTTCTAGAATACGGCAAAGGGGGGGGGCTAGGATGGAAGACATGTGGAAGATTGAAAGCGAGAAGGAGGCCTAATCAAGGCTATGTTACGATCGCAAAGCCTGAAAGATTGAGGCACTAAGTACCCTTTTTCTTTCTTTCTCACCGGTAAATCACTTCAGGGCCAGATGGGGCGCAGTTGCGCGCTGCTGGCCAGTGTGACGCCGAAAACGTTTGGCGAGTGGGCGTTCGCCGGACCCGAGTACTCAGAGCCGGGTATGCGAGATATACGAAGGTTTAATCGGGTAGAAAGAAAATTGAGGGCTTAGGGGATGGGTGTACTCTAGTATGCCGCATGATCATTGTCATGCAGCGTAGACGCCATGCAGACGCATGTATGCGATATCAACTGCGCGCATAACGGGGAAAAGTACAAATGCAAAAGGGATGGGTTGTTAGTGAAGAGAACTGTGCCGTAGCAGAAGCCTCCACCAACGCTTTGGTAATACTACTACGCCTCAGCATTGTTGTAGATGTGTGGCGATGCGCGCTTAGGAATTTCCAGGGAAACGGAGACAAAAGGCCGCGAGGGGGGCATTTGGGTCTGAAGGGACAAGGGTCTTGTTCTCTCTTCGCCACATGGACGCCCCACTGGCAGGACAGGGCTGCATGTGTACCCCAGCCACGCGCCAATACATATCTGTACTCGGCGCCGAGGTAGAGAGGGTAGAAGGCTGCAATTAAGTGATACGTGACCCCGACACTTTCAAGTTGCTGACGTCGAGGATATTGGAGGGCGTGTGGCGGGTTTTGTGGTGGTCGGTTGGAGTGTGCCGAGTGTGCCTTGGCAGTCCTATTCTGCACGTCATGAGTGGATGGGTGTGGGTAGGCTTGGAGGCACCGAGTTAGCCGTGGTGTCTGTGTGTAGGAGGCCTTGGAGGCGAGTAGGAATTTTGTCTTTAGGTAAGGGTTGGAAATGTCGCAGAGGAGTATGGACAATGGTGATGGAGAAGGAAGTGGGATGCGGGGTTGCTATTTGAGGTCGACCAGAATTGAAGATGGTAGTGTTCAAGATGGAGTTGACCCAGTAAACGAACTCGCATATGTCAAAGATTACCACATGACAACTTGAGTCACCAATAAACTGTATGCCTCCATTTGCATCTACCACGTCCCGTGGAAGAGAGTGTGTATGTAGCACAGCCCCAAGAAGGCGGCCCAGCTAGCGCACATCCTCAGGCTAAGCTAGCTTCCCCGCTTTCTCAAAGTGTGAATACAGCTGCTCAGTTGACCGCGCATATAAACCAACCATATCCTGCATGCCACGTTGAAGAAATGTCCTCTCATACTGCAGACTCCATCTCCTCGACAAAACCCATTCTATCGAGCAACTGGAAGAATCCAGCAAAGATGAACGACCCAAATGGAAAGGCTCCCATGCCAGGTGCAAGCAACGGAACATCAAGTGTCAACGAGCCCATTATTAAGGTTCAGCCCCCGCGACGAGAAGATCTTCAGCCCAGCTATGCCCGTGTTATCCAGCCTGATGATGCGGATGCGGATACAAACGGATGGTATGGCGGCATGGTAAGTTTTTTTCTTCCTCTCTCCTCCACTACACCAGCGTAGTCCTTTACATACTACTGTACATATTAAATCACGTGACTAACATTCACCCCCCTCAACCAGATCAACACCCTCGGCACCTTAATCGGCACCTGCGGCGCAATCCCCTGCTGCGTCGTGTGCCCCAATCCCTACAAACCCGTCAACCAAGGCAATGTCGGGCTCGTCACAAAATTCGGACGCTTCGCCCGCGCCGTCGACCCGGGTCTCGTCTACGTGAACCCGCTGTCCGAGCACCTCGTGCAAGTCGACATCAAGATCCAGATTGTCGAGGTCCCAAAACAAGTCTGCATGACCAAAGACAATGTTTCGCTGCAGCTTACGTCGGTGATTTACTATCGTATCACCTCGCCGCATAAGGCGGCGTTCAGTATTAGTAATATTCGCCAGGCGCTTGTGGAGCGTACGCAGACGACGCTGAGGCATGTGGTGGGTGCGCGGGTGCTGCAGGATGTGATTGAGCGGCGCGAGGAGATTGCGCAGTCGATCCGCGAGATTATCGAAGAGACGGCGCTGGGCTGGGGTGTCGAAGTCGAGTCGATGCTTGTCAAGGATATTATCTTTAGTCAGGATTTGCAGGATTCGTTGTCCATGGCCGCACAGAGTAAGAGGACGGGTGAGGCCAAGGTTATTGCTGCGAGGGCGGAGGTTGAGGCGGCGAAGTTGATGAGGCAGGCGGTATGTTTTGTTCTCCCTCCCCTTTTTTATATACATTTTTTACTATAAGGGGAAGCAGTTGCTAACGCTGACATAGGCTGACATCCTTTCTTCCGCCCCTGCTATGCAAATCCGCTACCTCGAGGCTATGCAATCCATGGCCAAGTCTGCAAACTCCAAGGTCATCTTCCTCCCAGCTCAGAACCAAACGGTGCAGAATGCACTTGCACAGGCTGAAGCCGCGGGCCAGGGTCCTAGTGCCCATGGGTTCCAATCTTCTGCGGCTCAGGAGTACGGAAGTAATGACCAGGGGTTCCAGAGCGCTATTAATGCTCATGTGGTGGAGAACATGTAGAACGGTACCATGGTTATGACTTTCTTCTTTTTGGATTCCTGGTTTACTGGCAGGTCTTGTTGATACCCTACTCCCCCCCCCTCGCCTTCTATAATCCCACTCGCTTGTAATGTATGGTAGAAGTAGTTTTCTTTGGCTAGGAATTATACGTAGAATGGTAATGATATGATATGATAACATACCAGGTTAAGACATTGAACTACTTTTTCTCTTTTTTATTTTCAAGCGTATCCAGAGTCCTGATATAGCATAGAGACAAATCTCCACTCACTCAGCACCAAACCCAGTCATACCATTAAGTTTGAACATTTTTATTGATCCGCTTCGTTAGACGTCATCTATCTGCAAAAAAATGACAGTCAACATGTACAACCTCCTCATAGGCCTGATTGGGCTTTTTGTGCAAGTCCTTTGCCTCTCCATTTATCCTTCCCCATTCCCATCTTGATACATACATACCCCCCCCCTCCCTCGTCCTCCTTCCCCATAAACAATCAATCAAGAAAAAAAAAAGAACCCAAAAACGCTCCAAAATGCAACATATTCCGCAAAATTTAACACAACCAAATGTGCCAGAAAAAATGGGGAGTAAAAAATACGATAAAAGAAGCCATCCGTTTTGTCTTTCTCTTCCTCGTTAAAAAAAAATTCCCCGCGACATGATTTGCAAAGAAGTGATGCTAGAAGATTCGCTGTGATGCGAAAAGCAGAAGACAGAAGATGAGAATAAATATAAACAAAGGAAGAAATATACGGCATAAAGAATCAAGGCGCTGGATGAGCTGTTGGGTGATGGACTAAAGTCGGAAAAAGGATATGCGATAAAGTTTTCTTTAAGAATAATAGAACGAAACTATGAAGGAAGCACAGACTTGTCAGTCGTGGCTCCATTTGCTAGTATCGGCCGGGTTTCTTTTGGTTGTGATTCGCCATAGGCCCATTTTGTGGCTGCGTTGGTAAGGTTTGCGCAGATTGGATCGACGTACTTGACCCATAGCGAGGCACAGCGATATAGTATGTAGTAGAAGACGGCAATGGCAATGAGGATATGAGGAATAGATCCGCGCTGGAGATCCTGCATTTCTCCCTTTTCGTTCTTTGGTGGGTTCATGGCTGAGGGCAGGTAGATCATCCAGGTCAAGACAGTCTTGATGAGCGTGTTGTGGATCAGGTAGACAGGGAAGCTGACACGACCTAGGAAGTTGAAGACAGGCGAGGTGAGCACTTTGCGTGCGTTTTTCGAAAAGAAGATGCCCATGAGGATAGTGGCGGCTCCCAGGTGATCCCAGTAACGTCGGATATCTGTCTTTTCGGCCGTGAGGGTGTGCATGATTGTGGCCATTGTTTCAGACCAGTGTGCGTTTTGGAAAGAGTCTTGGGGAAACCCGGCCATGAACATGCCGAAGACAATCAGCATCGTAGGAATGGGCGCGGGTAGAACCGAAGTAGCCGAGTCTTTGAAGTGGTTGTGTAGCTCGGCAACGAACATGCCCGTAACAATATTCAGGCCCTTGATGGAGCCGACCGTGAGTTCTGTTGCAGTCAGCAATTGGCCTGGCGTCGGCGCTCGTCAGGAATCCAAGCTTACCTTTTCCTACTTGCCAGTAGTAGGCATACAAGACTGCGTAAATGAGAAAACGCGCCTTGGGCCTGACAAGGACTGTGGCGAACATGGTCGTGTATACAAGGAATGCGCCCTCGAGAAAGAGATGCAGCGTCCATTGTGTTCCGTCATATTCGTCCCAGCCGACTACCCAAGTCTCCGTCTGAGCCTTGAAGAGAGACTTGAGCGCCATCCACAGCGAGGGTTCCTGGCGATGCCAGCCCTGTCGTATCCATTGGGCGTCGACGTGCTTGGTCATGTGGTATGCGTTTGTCTGGGCCAGGAACCAGCTGATTATGGTAGCGATCATGGTAGGCAGGATCAATCGTCCGGAGCGGGCCAAGGCACTACGGGCGATACCGTGGAACGCTGCCTCGTGGTTGCCGGCGCGCGACTTTGAGATGGCACCAATCGAGTTGACATAGCCGGTGACGAGGAAGAAGATGGCGACGGCGCTGCGACCGCCGACAGCGAGGCGGAAAAAGGGTAATTGGAACAGGTGGGGAGCGGTTTTTGCGTCGGCGGCTGGCTGGTGGAGCCAGGGTACAAAGGCGGTGCAGAGATGACCGCATACAACCATGAAGGATGCTACACCTCGGAGGCCCTATAGGACGCAATGTTAGTCGGGGTAGGATAAAAAAAAGGCTATCCGGGGCGGGTGTAACTTGCATCTATCCAGTTGGCGTCGCGAGGAGGCATTGTGTGTGTGTGTGTGTGTGTGTGTGTGTGTGTGTGTGTGGTTACGCAAGCAGCGATCAAGGGTATATGAAAGAGAGAGAGAGAGAGAGAGAGCGTGCGTATGTGTATGTGGTTGCGTATGTGTGCGTGGGCGCGCGTGGAGATGCGATGCTGTGTAACGAATGCAGGGTTCAGGAACAATAGGACAGAGTCAGGCGCATTGCCGATGCAGTGCGAGGTTTCCGGGGTAAGAAGAGGGCGGTATCCCCACTCGAGTCCAAGTGCGGGTGGATGTGTATGCAAGTATGTAGTATGCAGCCAAAAAAAGAGGAAGCGAGAAGAAGCAAGGAAAAAAGGAACCAAGGGAGACTGTATAAGAATGAAGCGGGAGGAGAGGGAAGAATGGCGGGCAGATAGAAGAGGGATTGGGGCGGGGAAGGGGGTGGATAAGAAAAGAGAAGGAAAAGGCAGAGAAGAGAAGAGGGTGGTAGTGGTGGTGGTGTGGTAGTGGTTAGCGGGATGGAATGGAGCCAACGAGTCGCTTTTGGCGCAGCAGACGACCCTGGGCCTGAAGCAAGGCGGGAGGGGGAAGGTGGGAAAGTGGGCAAGTGGCTACATGCACATGTCGTGCCAGGAACAGGAACGCGTGCGCTGCGCCAGATAGACGTGCCTCACTGGGCAATGCGTGCGCTGTGAGCCGCCTGCCAAGCAGGAGCCTCGGGAAGGCGGCTGCTAAGCTCTCATGCCCATGCCACTCCCAAGCAATGCAAGGACATGACGGCGGGCCCCGTCGATGCTTGTCCATGTACATCCAAAGTATGCGTTACATATCTGTATACATGGCCGATACTACTACCGAGTGCGTGCTGAAATCTTGCATTCATACGCATCTACTTATTGACATATTTACATACAAGGCACCTCCTTCACCACCTCCTCTAGTCCAATACCACGACTCGCCCTCCGCCCTCCGCCCACACACTACTCCATCTCTGCGCCCAAAAATAACAGGCACGTGGCTAGTCATCATCACTCATCAAACTACTCTAGTCTCTCTCCCTCCAAACACAAGGAAGAGAGAGAAAAATGCCGTCCCTCTGAACGAACGCAATCCCCGTGTCCCCTTGACGCCACCATGCTAGGCGAAATGCAGTGCCACTACGCCACTAAGACACGCCCGAGCAGAATAACGCTCACCTTCTTGGCGCGCTGACGCGGACCTCCGCTTTACCCGATACCAAAAAGACCCCCTGAAGTCAGGGGCTGCCGTCTGCCGTCTGCCGTGTGTGAAACCCCCCTCAATTGCCCACAAAACCTCCCCCGCTACAATGTTATTGATCGTATGCCGTTTCAACTTCGTCGGGCAATCCCATGTCGCCATCTTGATCGTCGCCTGCCCTGTTTAGCTTGCTTAGCTGCTTTGGGTCCCAAAAACTACAGGGTCTCGCCGTTGCTGCTAACTTATGTATATAAGTCGTGTTGTTACCAAGTTTGAGGAGAATACGAGATGGCGACGAGACGAGTCGAGACGAGACGAAAAGAGAAAGTATATTACCTTCCGTCTCCAGCCGCTCACTCCATGCGCCTCTTGTTATCCATGGGACAGCACGCCTAATAGCTGCGATCCGTTATCGGTGAATATAGTCTGTAATTTCTTTCTTATTGCCGCACAAATATGAATAGTAGAAAATAAAAGGGGGCGGGAATGGGGGACAAGCGAAGATCATGATCATTTGGCTAAATTACCAAACATACTAGTTATTCTAACTATCATCACACCCACCTCGCTCCCTCGGTTTTCCCCACATTTTGTCAAAACCCCAACATTTAACATCCTTCAACTCTGCATCTTGCACATTTCACAACAACACAATGAGTGTCGAGAAGAACAACCAAAAAAACATACAATTCGTATCGAATAAATTGCAAAGGCCTAATATATAATCCATCATAACCCATACACGACACCATACACAAGCTAGAAAGGAACCCTTAGCTGCAAAACGCCCTCTACGCGACTTGTCCTCTCTCTCTCTCTCTCTCTCTCTCCACTCTGCCTTCCCTCTCTGGTATGAAACGTAGCAATAATAGTACAACCCAAGCATCCACTCTCCTCAACTAGCAGCACTGTGGACACCCGTCTACCTCCAGAACGCATCCTACGCATTCTCGCCTTCGCCGTTGTCATTGTGCATCTCCGTCCCATGGAATGCATCGCCAAATGCACTGTCATCAACTAGATCCAGCCCAAGATTGTCGTCATGTCCGTAGTCCGCCAGAGCATCCCCCGCACTATCTAGGTTGTCGAAGCTTCCAAAATCCGCTCCGTCAAACATGCTGCCTGCATCCGCTTCCAGGTTGGTTGCTGCAATTCCACTACCCCCACTACCACCTGCTGCACCACTGTTACCCCCATTGTTGCTTGCTTGGTTGTTGTTGTTGTTGTTGTTGTTGTTGTTGTTCATGTTGGATTGCTCAGCATTGCCACTTGCTTGTTGTCCATTTTCTGCTTGATCATTCACCATCACCCACTCATCGCCCTTGTCCCCGGCGCCCGCCATGCCAGACATCTCCACGTCCAAGTCAAGTAGGTCCGCCCCCACATCCAGGCTGCTGTCTTGTTGATCAAACGTTGCCGCCTGGTTCATGTTGCTGTGCGGTGCGTTGGGTGTCCCGTTCGCCGATTGCGACTGGCTCGGAGGCTGCGATAGTCGAGGCAGTGAAATGTTCCCGATAGGCGTTCCAGATATCGACCCGGATCCATACTGATCAAGGAGCCCTGCTGCAGAATCTTCATCCATCGCTCCGTCGTTGTTGGCTCCCGCTGATGTTCCGTTTGCGCTCTGCTCACCACCATCCCCATTCACCTGCGGCTTGGGAGGCGACGGTTGCTGCACCTCCATGAACCCGCCCTTGTCTACGCACACAACAGCCTTCTTCGCCTCAAATGTGACTCCCAGCGACTTTTGTAGATCCTCTACAACTTCCTCCACTGGGTTCGCACCCTCACCCTCATTCTCAGCAGAGCGTGATAACTCTCGTAATCGTCGCTCTGCCTTGATGTATGTCCGCGTGCGCTTCAATTGGGCAATCTTCTTTGCATGGTTGGCCTTCATCTTGTCAATCTCGGCTTGCTCATTGGTGGTGTATTCTGTCACACGCTTCTCAAAGTCCTTGAGCTGCTCCGCGTCCAGCTTGTAGTAGTTCTTGATCTTGTAGTTTTCTTTCCCCGTCTCTACGTTCTCCGCCCCTGGAGCATCCAGAATGCCGGCAGTGAGTGGAGCCAATTCTCCCATAAGACCCAGTCCAAGATCAATCGGCGCAATCTTTCCAATCGCATACGGTGACGAGAAAATCTCCTCCATCCATTCGTGATGTTGCTTGTATCGCGACAAGCTGATTTCGCGTGGCGTTAAAAAGTCAAACGCATCTTGTGTAGCATTCTCCTCTTCGTCGAGTGTGTTATCCGGTATGATTGCGCCCGGCGCCGGCTGGCGAGGCGGGGGCTGTGTCGGCAAGCGCTGGCGTTTGGCCGGAGGCGGATGCGCAGCATACGGTCGGCCTGGCTGCATCGGGTTGTAGTAGGGCTGCGGGCCCCTCATGGCTTGTTGTCCAAACTCGACCTTGGGCCAGTTGGCCTGATCAACCAACATAAACTCCTTGCGCATCAATGGTCCTGCTTGCTGTAACTGAGCGCGCGTCTGTAGCTGGGCCTGCACATCGCGCGGTATAGGGATCTGAGAGGCCGGAATTCTGTTTTGCGGGTCTGCGGGCTTATAGTGGACTAGCCAGAGGTTAGGATCAATCGTACCAGGTCCAGCAGCTATCCTGTAGCGGTGGCGCGCGTGCATCGCATATGGCTCATGTGGGTAGTGGTAGCCGCTGTTGTGTACAAAAACCTGAAGGGTCTAGACGGCATTAGATGTTGCAATATCAGTACACCTCGGACACACATACATAGCCGCGCACATTCATGTCGTATGCGCTCTCGGCATCGGCCCAGACCATTCCGTCTGACGCAAACATGTTTCCCATGCGCGGGGGCTGCCAGGTGAGGATAACGGTTCCATCTGGCGGAGGGGCTGCTAGAAACGTCCACGCAACGGGCGAGGTGTCGCGCACAATCTGCGGGCCTTTGATGAGATACTCGAGGGCCTGAGCGGCTTGCAAGCCAGGCAAGGTCGGGAAGCGGTACGACGATATCAGATGAACATGGGCAAGCTGTCCTGTTAGTTGGGCAAGACGGTCGCGGAGCTTTGGCAAGACATACCAGGTGATTTGGAACCTGCGCACTCGGGTCAGGGGCATGGTAGGCCTGATTCATGCCGTACATGATGACTGGGGTAAGGCGACAGCAGTGCCGCGTCGATCAATTCGAGTTGGGGTGTTGATGCAGCGGGCGCGAAAGCTGGGGTTGATGTCTGGAATCTTTGGCGCGTTGGACCACAGCGCGACTGCCAAGGGCCTTGCCAAAAACAGTTAGCGTGGTTACCGCTGTCAAGATCATATCACGGTCACTGAACCCAGCTAAGTATAGTTAATGCGACTTCTTGAAAAAGATCAAACACCAGTTTTTTGGTCATTCGGAGAGTCATGGTTGATACCGAAACTGCCAGCAAAACATCCTAGGTCTGCATGCCATTAATCCTCTTAACTTGGGTACTATAAGATCGTCACTTTATCCAAATCGTGTTTCACAGACGACCATGGCAGAATGGCGTATTGGCAGCGAGCATTCATCTAGAGAACTGAAAGCTCATGACCACGAGCGTTACGCAGCGCCTCATAATTAAATTGTTAATTTGGGATGGACTCAAAGAGGCTTCCTATCGGACACTCTCGATAGGCGGACATTGTGGGAGTGTTATTGTGGTATAAGGAAATGAAAGGAAGTGGATACAGACGCAAACTGAGCGGACCATCATCTGCATATGAGTTGTTGATCAAGTTACAGTGTTTCTACATACTTCTTTGACTTCATAATTCAATGCCACTTCGTACCCATCAAGCTAGCAGGTTAGCGAGGTCATATCAATATATGTGAGATGTGCATTCTGCATAGTGAGGGGATTAGTAAGGGGAATTAGTGAGATCATAATTGGATTCCTATTTATGTCCTGTCTAACTGCCCCTAATGATCATCCACTAAAGTTTCCTGCGTTAATGCTCTTTGTGCTTTGTGATTGATTGGATGGCCTCCGCTTCGCCTGACTTCGCACCCATGCGGGGTACGGACACGTTGCTTTACGCATTGACTTTTGCTACATGTTACAGGTTGGTGTCTACGTCTGCATTTCTCCAATGTTTAGAAAAGCCATATGACGCCGACTCTCACAAAATATCCATCTTTCTGCACAGCCTGAAAACCGCGTTGCTATCGTGCACGTCAAAAGTTTCTAGCCAAAAGCACCTCTTCGATCATGCCTGAACCCTGCCAATACTTCAACTTCCTTGGACTGCCTCGCGAGATCCGAGATGCAGTTTATGAGTATACACTTTGTTCTTTCAGTCAGCACCGTGGCCCGTATGATATTACACATTGTGCAGCTCTGTGCTCATGGGCAGATTTGCAAATATGCCATTTCACTGGGAATCTCAACCTACTGCTTGCGAATCAACAAACCCACAATGAAGGCTACAAGATGATGTTGGAGAAGAACCTATTTGTCGTTGTTCAAATCCACGACTCCGTGAACGAATGCTCAATGATACACGGCCATCTACCGCCAACATATGTTCTGTATTCCGCCTACCACAATGAACGAGAGCAGATGCGTCCGGAATCATACCCGTGGCACACCATGCGTATAAGGCTAGACAGCAAAAACAATATGTTAGGAGAGATGGCGATGAATGGCGAATATACTGAGATTGTCATGTTATTGGAAGATTGTATGGATATATTCAAGAGATTTGGACTTCGCATTACCGACGAAAATCTGCCTGACCCAAATGGAAGATTGATTCCTATGCGACTACCAATAAAGGTAGTGGTGGAGCTCAACCCCAAGAGGAAAGGGGGCGACAGGAAGACCAGCTACATGAATATACGGAACTCCCGCTTAGCCATCGACCAGAAGAAGCTTCTGAAGCACATTGGAGACACTTTTCGCGCTTATGACAATTTTGAGATTAAGAATTGCGATGACGAAGCACTAGCTGCAGAAATTGTCCAGCAAGTATCCAAGGATCCGTCTCTCAGTCTGGCCTCTTTCCAAGCTCACATCGAAAGACATGCCCACAGTTCCGAAGCCTCTTGGAGTCAGAGAAACATCGTGGAATGCGCCAACTTCTGTACCGAGGGGCTCGAATTAGTCCACCGTGTTCGATTCAGCGCTCCACTCGTGCACCAGCTGTGCGACAACGGTTTACAGAATTGTTTCCACACGAGCCAGTTAATTCACAGGCTATACTACCTCTTAGCACGGTGCACTTTTGCCCATCTCTCCACGCTAATAGACAAGCGCATCGAGGAAGACAATTATCAGTACATCGGCGATACCGCCCATGCTCTTTTCGACTTGCTCAAGACGCACAGAAAACGTGTTCATGGTTTCTTATCACATCATGATCCTCCCGTTCATGAAGAAGCCGAAATTAATTATATGAAAGCGAAAGCCCTACGTGTAGAATGTGAATTCCATTCAATGGCACCATGGAGTGAAATGCTCAGATGTATAGAGAAAGCTAAAAGGTTGCAGCCATGCAATCCTAACTATGAGGAAGAAGAGAGAAAAGCAAAAGTTTGGCTCGAAGATGGCGCGAGATATAATGCTTGGTTGCGTACTGTCAACTGGGGGGAATATCAAACGATGAGGTATTGGAGGATGGAGACTGATAAGTCAGTATTTGAATTCTGAATGCCTTATCAGCCAGCGATATGAGAATGAGCCAGATGGCGTATATTATGGGTCAGATGAAGTTTATTCAAAGAGATGAGTATGATATCGCAATTGGTGAAGGTTGGTATCAAAGGTCAATGAGCAAGTACGCGCTGGCCAGACTATGAAGAGCGATCAGACAATTTGCTTAAACTGATGTATGTGATCTTGATACCCAATTAACACACGGCCTGAATTCCTATACTAACCCACAGGCAGGCAATCAATCATCGAAGTTGGGTCATCATAGAGTACAGTCCCGAACAAACGCCCACGACTCATTATGGGGTATAAGCGATCCTGTGTTACAAGCCGAGCTGACACGTAGCTCTTGTGGCGTCCAGCCTGAGCATGACAGCTGAACTCACTTAGTATCAAATCAGCTAGACTAATTGATGGTGGCTTGGGGCGGTAAGAATCAATGTTCGTGCCGTGTAGGAAATGTGGTCCAAACCGGATAGGATTTCATCATCGCCCACTTTTGAGGTCTAGTGTGCTGCATGCACAGACCTCCCGTGGCGGGTGTTCTATTTGATCTACACTTGGGGCTGAACTACTATACCTCAAAATGTTGTAGAAAGGTACGCATGTCGGGGATCAGTTTAACTTAATAGGGCCATCTGAAAATGAGGCAATGCGGCAGGGTAGAGATAGGGCTATGGGGTCAGAGAAGGTCGAACATCTGCCAAATAACAAGATATTCAATATTGCGTCACAGTAACATGCCTTAAGTTTACTCAGAGAATATATTGATGAATGAACAACACCGTCAGTCATGAGTTTAGTATCTGACGGTTCCTGAGCTGTGTTGTTCTTCCCTTAAGATCGTCGATCGCGTTAGTAGGTTTAGCTCCATTGATCTTGGGCCCGGAAGCATGGGCTAGGGAGAAAAGCATTTCCGCTTTAAGACAAAACATCAAACCAGCCAATTGCAGTGAATCTATCAGTCGATCTGCAATACAAACACGGCACAGGTGCTTCGTCAGACCAGCTGATAGCAACGCAGGTTGAATCACGGATCTACTTAGCAAGGAAAAGGGACACCATTCGCTCCATATAGTCACAGTGGCCCCTTGCATAAACTTAGAAGCATCTAAGTTTTGCACAAAGTTACGGTCACTAAGACATTCTCGGAGGCTTCGAATTATACCTCCTACAAGCACTGCTAGTGCACTCATTGACATTTCTCTTAGAATTGGTTTATGATAGATCATCCCATGAAAGCCCCGTTTTCAGGGTGCACAGTCGTTGTTAATACAAGATGCTTGACGGAAGCTCCATCGCAGCTATAATCACGGGCATTCTCGCCCTATGCGGCGCTCTTGCGACAGCCTGGATGTCTGGGTTGAACGAAAGACGACTGGAATCGCGCAGAAACCGAAAAGCACTTGCTCGGTATTCGGTCCCTCTCCTCATCGCTTCTTAGGACCTCGCAAACTGGCTTTACGATATACTCGAAGACAAGTACTATAGCCCGGAAAGATGCGAGGCCTATGGTGATGGCTGGGACCCGAAATTTACTTCGTTCTTGTTAGGCCAGTACTTCGCTGGCGTACACATCATCCGCGAAATGACACAATATTTGCACACATAAGAGGCGAACGGGCAAACCTTTTGAAGAGCCTTCTCTGGAAGATTCAAAACAAATTCATATCAATGCATTACATAGGACGCGAAAGCCTAGAAATCCGTTGGCTTGAAGGCGACTTGTTGAGTATTCAGGAACACATGAACGTTTCTACTGATCTCGACGGCGACGGAAATGAGGCTGAGCTACACACAATGGGATAGATCGAGTTCCAGAAGAACTACACAGTAAAACCTGCAGCGAATAAAGTCGACAAATCAAAGGAGTTGAAGAAGATTTTCAAGTGACACGAGGACGAATTGCAAAACATCATCTATCGCCGTTTCAGATACTTGTACTCGACTACATGGGAGGGCACCGACAATCCCCAAGGGTACGAGAAGGTGAGGGATAGTATAACTAATGAGAAAGAACTTGAAGTGTTGGAGAAATATGAGAGAGATATCCAAAAAGAAAAGCAACGAAACCCGGGAATCATCACTGTTATACCCGATCATCGAATTCGCCGTATTCAGCACCTTCTGGTCGATCTCACAACATTCTTGGACAAGGAATCGGGCATGGAGTTCAACCGCCCAGTACGAAGATGTCACATGGATGTTGGTGAAGGCGTGCTATCCCACGATACTATCTTGCTAGCTCACAAAGACCGGGCTACCGCGCTGGACGAGGGCACTGCTGTATTAGCTTACAAGGCTTCCGTACAGACCCATGAGACTGGAGAGCCCTTCAGATATCAAATCCTCTGCGATTGCGCTTCTGATGATTGTAATCCTAGAAAAGAAGACTTCAAGAATCGTGACCTGGAGTCTAACAGGATACAAAACGGTCTTTTCAAGAGAGCTACACTGCGTTATCGTAATTCTAAGAAACAAGAGCTGGATGGAATGAATTCTGGAAAGAGGAATACAGAAAAGGATAACGGACATCAGTGCTAAATTCCCTTAATGGGTTTTCGATGCGAAAGGGAAATTGGCCCTAATTCTGTTTAATCTTATTGTTCCGATAACCTACATCTGTTCCTCATTGAGAGGGATTTTTGAAGATTTTCAAATCAATACTAAAAATGATTTTCATATGATTTCCATCGATTCTGCTAGCTGCATCGGTTATATACGAGAAGTGGCCATATACTATGTAATAAGTTTGCATTTGCGTTATTCTTCAGAAGAAACAATCGAAGCAAATAGAGAAGTCAATTTACAAGAGCCAAGCTGTACATGTATTTATGTTCCCATGCCAAATCATGCCATCTTCGTACGAAGCTTCTTCACCAGCGTATGCGTCGAGGCCTTGCGCTATAACGCTGGCTCCTATACCCATTGACTCACCAATCGTTGGTCACACATCCTTTCTTCGCAATGAGTTTGTTACGCGATTTTACTTGCCCACCAAAGGCAAAAGGCAGAAATAAATGCGGCTAGTCCAATAGTGATGATACCCACCACAAACGCTGCGGTAAGCATACTCCACTGGGCTTTGATAATTTTTGCCCTCTCCCTATTGCGGGCAGTGATGAAACACCAGAGCACCCCAGACGTCATGAAAATATAGTAATCCCACAGAAACATGTTGTGATGACCCTGGTATGTCGAGACGCCATTGTCTTGTCGTGGAATAAAGATGTGTGACAAAGCGGCCTGGAGATTATCTGACGTGAGTGACTGGGTAACAGTATACAAATCTTTCCACTGGCAAAAAGTTAGTAGCAATTGCGATTGTTTCGCTAAATAGCCTTTCCTATATTTGAAAGTTAAACTAACATTGAAAGTGAAGAATATAGGAGTTTTGAGTGGGATACTGTCATCGAGAAAAGGTCGTGAACTAGCCCAACTAGGTAACACCGTAATGCAACCCTGTGGCTAGCGCTGATCTTATCAGACGTTTGTATAGCCCTTGTCCAGAGCATTTTACGGACTCCACATTCCTGTCACATTATTCTTCGTTGCTGAGTCTTTGTGGCCAACCCGAAAATAGCCGGTCGATATCTTCCGCAAAACGACGATCCACGCTCCGACGATAGACCAGCAAACACGCAGTAGTTCCGAAGACCTGAAGATCGTAGAATATATCAAGTTTGTCATCGTGTTATGTTGCCTACAAAAGTCTCATAGTGTATACACTCCAACTTCTAGAAGTACTTACTACATTGTACTACATTAACATGCTGGTACTCGATGTAAGTTGTGTTTGTGTTCGTTTTCTACGAATGTATTTTTCACTCGTTGAACGCAGGGAGCAGAAGAGGTATTTTACTGATGGACCTTAATTATGACCGGGTATCGCGATTGGTTTATGATGCATCAGTATCTTGATAGCATACTGTGGGGGCAAGTCAAGTGATGCCGTGATCTCGGAACAATGTCACCACCAGGTCGTCTCAATGTGAATATCAACATCACGTGACTAGAAGATTGAGTGGCGCTGGATATGCTTCACACAACGTGAATCAAGATTGGATACTATACTAATTAGATGAATCTCCAGAGCGTAAAATTTCCGGTTTGATTATAGACAGGGACCAAAAGACATGAAAGACGGGAGTAGATGGCAGAATGAAACAATCTCGATAGTTCATCGTTTCCGTATATGTATCCTACGATACATTACTCCAGCCTCGTATAAGATGCGAGCTAAATCGCAAGAGGCCTATTACTGTGCACCCCATGGGACAGAAAAGTTTTGGTTTGATCATTCGATGATCTTGGGCTCAAACGACCATGAACTGAGAGTGCTGAGTGCAATCGGTGGCTAGCAGATACTAAAGGAGGGTCTGAGCCTTTTCAAGTTGGATATACGTTCCAACTGAGGTACCGGAAGTCTACGGATATGACCTCATGTTAAGGCACACATCAATTTTAGATTGCACGGGTTCCCAGATGTGGTTATGCGAATCCGCGAGAGTATTGGGTTTCAACAGACCTGGGGTGGCCATACAAGTATTCGAAGAAGCAGCTCGCGTGACTTGCTTCAAGTCTCGCTCTTCTTCCTCTCTCCCTGTGGGTCGAACCCAAGGGTGTCCAGTTGGCGGATTAGCTCGTTGATCTTGATGACCTTCTCAAACTGCTCCGGAAGTAACTTGTCGCCTTTTTCCTTCTTGTCCTTGAGTTCACGAGCCTGTCTCAACTTCTTTGCGAGCTTCTTGGCTTCCTTCTCTTTTTCTGCTTCGGGATCAACGACTTTCTCAGGCTCCGGGTTCGCCTCCTCCTTGTCCTTGTTCTCGGTGGAACCAGGCTTCTGTTCTTCCTTGCTGTCGCTTGCAGAAGCTGCTGCCTTCTTCCTAGCTTCCCTGCGCTTGGCATTTTTGTTTGCAGCAGGGCCCAGTTTGCTGGTCTCATCCTCTTTGGTGATAGTCTCAGCACCTGGTACGCCGCCCTTGCCTCGGTTTCGAAATCCCTCAGCAGTACGGTTCTTGTAAAGTTCAACATCCTCGGGTGGGCGGTAACCTGGACGAACTCGGATTTCTTTGCGTATGGAGCCATCTGGGCGAACAGAGGACGGAATATGGCGTTCACCAGTGGCCGATGTGGTGATGCCAGCCTTTGAAATGGCGGGGGTGGCTGCTGAAGGCATGGCGTCGGTAGTTGCGCCTGGGAGTATAAGACAATCGCGACAGCCCAGAAATATCAATTGCTTTAGTAGGGCCGTTGCCAGTCCGTTCCAGGCACTTGGCGTACACCTAGGTTGTGTTGGTATGAGCTGCTTGGAGTGTGTAGTGTGAAAACGGGAGTGGTGGGGGGTCAAAGTAAGGTAGAGAGCCAAGCAGTAGCCGCAAACAGCCAATTAGCGCAGCGTAAATCCCCGTGACGCGAGAGCTTCAATCTTGTCGACGAACCTCGCCCTTTGACACCGACAGCAAAGTACCACCACATCCCGCCAAACAGCCCACCAAGCCCCTTCGACACGTCCAAAATGTCTGGCGTAAGTTAATTGATGCGAAGAGTGGCCTCGAGCGCCCGCTAACAGCCACATGCAGATGCTCGGCACTGTCTACAAGCAAGTCTTTCCTCGCGCATATCCTTCACCCGACCCCCACTGACCATCGATGACAGCGCGGTCCTCCGCAGCAACACCACCATGTTGTTCACCGTCTTCGGTGCCGCTTTCGGCCTTCAGCTGTACGTCGCAAAGACCTAGATATGAGAGTGCGGAAGGGATGGAAGCTGATGGAAATGACAGGGCGTTCGACACCTCTTCAGACAAGATCTGGGACAGAGTCAACCGCGGCGTATGTAACACCAATGGCTCATTGAGGGTGATGTAGGCTAATACAGTTGGCAGCGACAATGGAAGGACATCAAGCACCGATACATGGAGGCTGCCGAGGACGACGAGTAGAAAAAGCGACTAGACTACGACTCGAGCATGATATAGACTTCTCTTTGCGGTTCTTGGGGACGGCCACAGTCCATGGCAGTGTAATCTACAACATGTGAAATACCAATTCAAGTTGGCAACCCGACCCTTGTTTTGTCATGTGCATTTGCGCTGTGGTATCCTGGCTCTGTAGGGCTTAGGCCGCTGCATGCGTGAGTTGACGTGATTGAACCATCGTGAAAATTGGTGCTGTCATCTTACGCAGGGCTGCCTGGTAGCGTAGAAGAGGCCATGCATATGCGATGGGAGTGAAGGTATAAATAGATGGAGCCTCTACTCGAAAATGACAGCCAAAGTGACGCATTCATATGCTGCAGGAACCACCATATCGCAGGCTACCCGTCTCGTCTTGCTGGTGAAACGACAGTCGACTCTGGGGCAAGTGTTCCTTCGCTGGTGGCGTTGCGCGTGCCTCGGGGGTCCGCCCTACCTAGATCCTCACCTCGAAACTTAAACATATTACATAGCGCCGCACCCCGTCCTCCGCTTAACCACAAATACCCAAGCAATCACAATCACGCAAACCCTCACTCACGTGGCAGGCCCACACTGAACACTGCCAACACACATCCTGCCCTGTTCATACACGACATCTGCCTCCGTCGCGTCTGCGGGACATCTGACAACCCCACCATCCCGCCCGGAGCTGCGCCATGTACATGTCGTTACACGAGCAAGAACTATGTCGACAGCTGCGCGAACTGCCAAGGCGACACAACTACCGGTTCGAACTCGCTGCTGACCGTGAGCTGCGCGAGATACTTTTCCGATCACTTGCTGGTCGGGACGACTTCCTTCCGCTGTTCTTCCCAAATGGACCGCAAACCGACTGCGAGAAGCCATGGAGCTTGCGTGACGCACAGGGCGCAGTAGAGGGTGCAGAGTATACCGCAGCAGCGAGGGGGAAGCCATGCGGGCACATCTTCAAGAACGGCGAGGCTACATACCGCTGCAAGACATGCACGGCCGACGACACATGCGTTCTATGCGCCCGCTGCTTCGATGCGTCAGACCACGAGGGCCACCAGGTCTTTGTTAGTGTCTCACCTGGCAACTCCGGCTGCTGCGACTGCGGAGATGATGAGGCGTGGGTACGACCTGTACACTGCAACATACACTCAGTCGACCCGGAGCATGAGTCCAAGGCGGCTGGCAAGGCGAGGGAAGGCACCATGCTGCCAGACGAACTTGTCGAGACCATACGCATCACAATCGCCCGAACGCTAGATTACCTCATCGATGTCTTCTCCTGCTCTCCCGAACAACTGCGCCTACCCAAGAGCGAAGAGTCGATCAGGCAGGACGAGCGTAACTCGCGCCTCATTTCGAGATGGTACGTTTCCGGAGACCACTCCGAAGAGTGCGACGAATACTGCTTGGTGCTGTGGAACGACGAGAAGCATACGGTCAATGATGTTAGAGACCAAGTCGCACGTGCGTGCAAACAGAAACTTGCGTTTGGCCTCGCAAAGGCCTATGAGATAAATGACGTGGGGCGCAGTGCGATCGTATACCGAACAGACATCAAGGATCTTCTCAGGATGGCCAAAATCATCGAAGAGATCAAGCTGACTGTCACAATTCGATCTGCTCGAGATACGTTCCGCGAACAGATGGGCGGTGCCATCATCGAATGGATTTCGGACATTGCAGGGTGTAGTGTGGGTGAGGACAGCCAGATACTTAGACGCACCGTTTGTGAAGAACTACTGAAACCGTGGCGAGTCGGTAGTGAGGCATCGAATCAGGGTATAGGCAAGAATGGTCTTGACGATCACGAAATGGAAGACAAGGAAGCTGAAATGGATGGCTTCTTCAGTGGCCTGTTGCCTATACAAAGGCGCCCACGAATTATCCGCGTTCAGCGACAGCGGACTACTGATGCCACCGACGACACCACTGGCTCAGACGAGGATGACGAGGATGAGGAAGGCGAGGGCGGCCCTGCGGCCGACGCCCAAGATGATATGGACATTGACGAGGTCGGTGCTCAGGATGAGGATGGTGACGTCGAAATGGAGGCGTACGAAAGTGCAGATGAGACACTCGAAATGGCCGAAGCAGCCAGGGCAGGCTATCCTGCTCCACCACCACCGCCTCCCCCTGCTCCTCAAAACACACAACGTGGCCAGCTTGAACAGAGCGTAACACCCGCAGAGTCCGATAGTGAACCTGTAGTTGGTGCACCGTCACTCAGCCATGTCGAACCCATGTTACCTGTACCCGAGACGCCACATACTCGAACTTTGACATTGCGGCCAGCAAGGCCGGCCAAATATTGGTTGGAGAAGCCTGAAAACTACGGCAAGAAGCCTGGGACTCCTCCTCACGAGGATCTGTGGCAGCGCCTACGGCTAGATCATCTCATCTTATACGACTTGCGAATGTGGAAGCAGTTGCGTATTGGCATACGCGATGTCTTCATAAGCACAGTCGTCACAATCCCTGAATTCAAGCGTTTGCTGGGTCTGCGCTTTGCGGGCGTCTATACTGCTCTAGCCCAGCTCTATCTAATCGCGGACCGCGAGCCGGACCACTCCATTATCAACCTCTCTCTCCAGATGCTGACGACTCCGTCTATCACTTCAGAGGTGGTTGAGCGTGGAAACTTCCTCACTAATCTAATGGCCATCCTTTATACCTTTCTGACTACGCGTCAAGTCGGCTACCCCTCGAACGTCGATCCGAAAGCCACATTAGCCTTCGAGCAAGGAGCCGTGACCAATCGCCGCATGTACCACTTTTTCCTCGATATGAAATATCTCCTCGGATCAGAATTTGTCCAGGAGAGAATCCGTGAAGAGCCGCGCTACCTTTTACAATTCCTTGATCTTGTCAAGCTTCATCAAGGTATCTGTCCTAACGTTCGACAAGTGGGTGAGCATCTAGAATTCGAATCCGAAGCTTGGATCAGTGCCTCCTTGATCACTCGGGAGATCAACAAGCTGTGTAGACATTTCGCGGAATCTTTTGCCTGGACTCGCGATGAAGATCCAACCAACATTCAACGTGCAATACGTGCAGCCGCAAAGGTTGCTATCATTAATTCGCTAGGTGTTGAACGCAAACGCTTTGATCAGACCGAACTAAAAGCAGAGACCAAGTTCAAGTCTTTGGACATTCCCGAGTTCCTTTCCGAGTCATCTGCAAGACAACCATACAAGATTGTTGACTACGTTGTTGCGACTCAGCCAATGAGCTTTCACCACGCGCTTCATTATACTGTGTCCTGGTTGATTGATCGAGCACGGAGCATGAATAGGGAGGACATCCTGCGACTACTTCTATTTTCTCACAGCGAACTACAGATGGACCTCGGCCCAGCTGTAGCGCCTGTTCCAGTCCACGAGCCTGAAGATTACCTACTTGCCATGTTCGATTTCCCGCTTCGGGTGTGTTCGTGGCTGGCACAGATGCGCGCAGGAATCTGGGTCAGGAACGGCATCACGTTGCGACACCAGATGACTCAATACCGAAGCGTATCACAGAGAGACGTTTCCCATCAACGGGACATCTTCCTCTTACAGTCTGCTCTCGTGCTGTGTGATCCATCAGTTTTCTTAGCTTCCATGGTGGATCGTTTCGGACTTGTCGGCTGGATGACTGGGAGATATGAAGCTAGCTACCATGGATTCGAGGACAGCCAAGCTATTGATGTGGTAGAGGACTTTGTCCATTTGCTGATCATTATCCTCAGCGAGCGCACTTCGTTGATACCCGCAGAAGACAACGACGAGTCTCAACTGGTCGCTATGCGCAAGGACATTGCGCACGTTTTGTGTTTCAAGCCACTCTCCTTCTCCGACATGACAGCACGTTTGTCAGACCGGATTCAGAACCTAGATGAGTTTCCTGAGGTGCTTTCAGAAATGACTAGATTCCGACCTCCAGAGGGTTTGTCTGATAGTGGTACTTTCGAGTTGAAAGAGCAATATATCGACTTGATCGACCCGTATCTTCACCAATACAACCGAAACCAGAGGGAAGAGGCAGAAAACATCTACAAAGCATACGTTGCTAAGCAAACCGGGAAGCAAGCGAGTGACATCGTTTACGAGCCCAAACTTCGACCAATCCCCTCTGGCCTGTTTCGAGACCTCTCAGCTTTTACAAGAACCCCCTTGTTCACTCAGATCATCTATTACCTACTAGCATACGGTCTTAAGGCCGTGCAAGTGACACCAAGTATACCGCCAACTCGTGTAGAGACGTACATTCAATTTGTCTTACAATTGGTTCTTGTCGCTATACTCGAAGATAAAAGTACAGAACATGGATGGTCTGAAAAAGCACCAGAGTCGTTTGTCACTTCGGTATTGACCCAAAACGCCAGCATGGGAATACAGGGCCATCCGACTGTCCTTTCAATCTTAAAGTCTCTTCAGGACACCGAGGTTTTCAAGGCGTGTGAGCCAAAGATCAGTTTGATACTTCATCGGCTCAAGCAGCGACAGCAAGATTCCTTCATCATTGCTGCTGCTGCAATCAATATGCCGGCTGACAGAATGGATACTGCCTCACCTGCGCCTCAAGATAAGGAGTCTAAGGAGCTGAAGAAGAAGCAAGCTCTCGAGAGACAGGCAAAGGTCATGGCAGCGTTCAAAGAGCAGCAAGGCAAGTTCTTGGCCAACCAGGACTTCGATTGGGGTGAAGACGACTTTAGCGACCTCGAAGATGAAACCGGGGGACTTGTCGAACAAGAAAAGACACTAAAATTCCCCTCTGGCACATGCATACTATGTCAAGAAGACTGCAATGAACAGAGACTGTATGGATCTTTTGGGTATATTTCCGAGAGCAGGATACTTCGGCAAACACCCCTAGAAGATTCAGAGTGGGTAGACGAAGTTGTACAGACTCCAAGTAGTCTTGACAGATCCGCCGAAGATCTGCGACCATTTGGCGTCGCGGGCAGAAACCGACGCATGATTGAGAAGGTGACGGCCACGGGTGAGCGAGTGACTAGTGAAAGGCAAGAACTGGGAAGGGGATTTCCACCAGCCTCGGTAACACCAGGTCCGGTAACGACTGGCTGTGGCCACATCATGCATTTTGCTTGCTTTGAGGTATATCTCAATGCAACCCAGAGGCGCCATGTCAGCCAGATTGCCAGGAACCACCCTGAACGGCCTGAGCTAAAGGAGTTCATGTGCCCACTTTGCAAAGCCCTTGGCAACATTTTCTTGCCAATCATCTGGAAAGCAAAGAAGGTGTCTAGTACTGGTGTACTGGAGACTGAAAAAACATTCGACGACTGGCTCGAGTCACAGCTGGTCGCGACTCACAAGAGTCTGGAAAAGGGGTTGAAAGTACCTGCTGATATGTCCCATGACCAGAAGATGCTATATGAGTATGCAGAGCGGCATTTTATCCAACCGGTATCGAGTCGACTGCCTGACCTTCTCAAGCCCCAACTTCCGACAGCTGGTCTCGCTCTTGCACAGCCGCCAACACAGCTTGCGCCACGATTTCAGGTCCCGGCTTTCCTGGGTGTGCAACCTCTGGAAGCCGCCGAACCAGGATTTGGCCCAACTCAAACCAGCCCTGCTTTGACCCAGGATGTTCCCATGGGAGAGTTGATCAAGATATACCACAGACTAAGAGACACATTGAAAGTCAACAGCATTCAGTCCTCGTTCGCATACCCACATACACCAGCTATCTCAGAGGACTTTACACACACGGATGCCCTTGCGCAGGCCCTTGGATACTCGATCGCTGCAGCAGAGATTGCTCAACGAGGCGTGCAGTCTGAAGCCGCGCGCGGAACTCTGATTGACAGGATCTCCCCGCAGACGATCACGCATCTCCGGGTATTTTCAGAAAGTGTCTCTTCATACATCGCGATTGGAGGACTGCGAGGTCAGGGTCCAACCAAGACTATCAATGAGTTTTCTGAGATCCAGCGCCGGCAATTCCGCCAGTTGCTAGTTGGACATCCCAGTATATATGACCCGGATGTGTTGAGCTTTGATCTCAAGGGCATAACACCTCTTCTTTGCCAGGATCCGTTCATTTTCCTCTCTCAATGCGCTGTCGGCATCGTTCCAGCGGCGAACCTCGACGTTCACCACATCATGCGGATGTGTTATCTTGCAGAGATTGTTCGGGTGATTTTTGTGTTTGCTCTGGGTAGAAAGAATCATTCGACTGAAGAGATGTCACTGGACTCTGATCTTCTCTTCCCGAATCCTGAACAGTTCATAAACCCAGAAAAGGTCAGCAACAACTTTGGATCAACAGAGCAGATGAACAACCTGCTCTTCTTTATCTGCGTCATCTACAATGTGACTGATGTGGGCAACTCGCCTTCCTCGCTCGATATCGACAATATGCCTATCCCTCCACGGTTCAAGGATCCAAACTTTCTTTACTTCATACACACCATGGTCTCGACATATGCGCTACCTTTTGTGCGCAAAGCCGCAATCCTAATGCATGTCCGCTACGGTATTGATCTACCACATGTCTCTACTGAACGCGCAGACGAGCCCGAACTCGCGCGACTATCCACCATCCTCCGTCTGCCCTCACTCGACGAAATCTTTGCCTCATTCACCATGCGCACAAGCGCAGCCCACACCAGCCGATCCATTGTCGGTGGCTGGCTACGACACTTGCTATGGGCTCAAGCAGGCAACAATCCCCTCCGACCCACAATATCGCTTTCCCACCCCTCAATCTTTGAGCTCGTAGGCCTGCCCAAGAACTACGACACGCTCACCGACGAAGCAATACGCCGCCGCTGCCCAACAACTGGCAAAGAGCTGACAGACCCTGCCTTGTGTCTCTTCTGCGGCGAAATCATGTGCAGCCAAGCCGTATGCTGCATGACGAATAAGAACCGTGGAGGTTGTAATCAGCATTTAGCTAAGTGCGTCATCCCCCTTTCTCCTTTCCCTACACTTCTCCCATATAACCCCCTTTCCAATAAAAAAGAAAAGAACCCTTACTGACAATACTATCACAGATGCGGCGGCCAAATCGGCCTCTTCATCCACATACGCAAATGCATGGTCCTCTTCCTCAACCTGGACCACGGTACCTGGCATGTCGCCCCTTATCTCGACAAGCACGGTGAAGTCGACCCCGCTCTGCGCCGCCACCACCAGCTTTTCCTCAATCAGAAACGGTACGATGCGCTGCTTAGGAAGGTCTGGCTTGAGGGCGGTGTGCAGAGCCTTATTGCGAGGAGGTTGGAGGGTGATGTGAATAATGGGGGGTGGGAGAGTTTGTAAGTAGTGGTAATGAGGGAGCTGGCTTGGGGTGTATGAATATGAATATGAATATGAATATGAAAATGAATATGAGGTTGGTGTTTGGGGGCGGGGCGGGGCAATGGAGTTTCTCTGTTACCTTTTTAATGAATATGTTTTTACGGTTGAAGTTGGGCGTCCTTGAATTGGGTTGTGATTGTAATTGTGATTTGCTGATATAGTTTTACACTATGGTACATGATGTATCTACGATGTGATTTTGGTGGGTTCGCTGGGTGCGTCGTCGTTCTCAGCGGGGTGGTTTTGCTCAACGGGGTCTTCAGCAGCGACAGTGCTCTTTTCCTCGCTGTCGGTGCTTGCTGTTGCGTCTCCCTCTGTAGTCGGAATTTCCCCATTAGTCTCGTCGACAGCAGTGCTAGAGGTTTCAGCTGCCTCGGCAGACACGCCATTGTCCTTGCTGCCATCATTTAGTGCTGAATCGCCTTCGACTATCCCGATTGCATCATCCTGCTTCTCCATCTGAGAATCCTTCCTATTTTCGTACGATTCAGCAACCCTCACAGACCCTCCTTGCTGTGGAATCCTCCTCACAACTCTATCATTCAATCTAGCATCTTCACTCTTCAATCCTAACCTCTCCGCAACAGTCCCTCTCCATTTCACAATCTTGCTCATCTCATCAGCGAACAGTTCCATGCTGTACACCAACTGTAGCTCTCGCCCAAAGACACCGCTTCTCGCCTGATTTATTTCTTTGAGAATGGCGTCGAGCAATGCAAGGATATCAGCGTCGAACTCGATGGCGATGTTATCCATTTCGGTGAGCAGAGTGTCAATGGTGGTAAAAGAGGATCGTTGGATCCATGCTGTCCGTATCAGGTGCTTGTAAAGAGTTGTTGTAGCACCGAGGACATGGGAAGAGCGACCGAGACTCTTGATTGTGGGTAAAATGGACAGAGGAAGTAATGAGGAGGGAAACTCTGAGCGAAGAGTGACGACGGCAATTATGAGATGGTGGGGGTAGTTTTGGAACAGGATGCGCTGTTCGGGAGAAGGTGGATCGGGTTTAGTGACAGTCCGGGGCCGTGTGGTACTCTTTGTCCGCGCTTTACTGTTGGACTCCGCAGCTGGCGCTCTACCCTCGCCAGCATTGGTGTTGTCGAGATCGAGTGCACGCACTTTGGTGAAGACTTCGCGTTCGAGAATTTGCCAGAGCTCGCGGTCGGTGGGTGCGTTGCGGATGAGTTTGTTAACTCTCTCTCGCTCTGCTAGACGCATCTCTCTGAGCTGTGCCGTATCAAAGCCCAAGCCCTTCTTCCTACTACTTGGTGCATTGTCCAATTCTGCTCCAATTTGATTTGTAGGCGAGGCATCTTTCTTTGACTGGGCGCCCGTTCTTTGCAGCCGAGCAAGCGTACGCATCGACCGTAGTCGCGGTTCGCCTTTCATAGCCTCATCGAAAATCTGGTCCAGAGACGGCTTCGAATTCTCTTCGTCATCCTCATAGTACTCGTCTGCTATCTGGTCTAGCTCCACAACATGATCCCTTTCCTTTTGTTGCCGTCCCTCAGTGTTGAACTTCCTGTACAGTTTCTCGAACGCTGCACGCTCAGTACTTGTTATGGTTGTCTTTCGTGCAGGTCCTTGGTCGACAGGAGGCGGTAGGTTTTCGTCCACGAAGGGAATATCATCATCATTGTCCGGGCGCGATCGTGAGGCAATAGTGCGGCGCACAATTGGTTGTGTGGCGGACTGACATCGCTGGATGGTTGTTGTTTGGTACAGGAATGGCAAAAGTGTTTTCAGTGGCGGGACGCGAGAGCGTGATACTGCTCTGACCGTGCGCGAGCATGCAGACATCGACTAGGGAGAATTGGAGACGGACCGCAATGCAACAATTGAGAATAAACAAGAAAGGAAACACACGTGGCGAGAGTGGAATGCGATATCAGTGCGGCGTTGTACCCAATCCCAAAACTTTCGAGATCGCTAGTGGTGGCCAAAGCTCAGCGTACCCGATTGGGTAGTCTCGAAAATCCATCGATGACTGTCTTAGCAGGTCGGAGATCAAAATGTTTGTAGTGATTGGCCAGTTCAACATACTGGTTTGGGCAGGAGAGAAAAAGCTGTCGAAGACGGTGATTACTGGAAAATGGAACTAAAAGTAGTAATGGTTATTGGCCGAGACCGAACATGCCGCATAGGGCAAGAAAAGGATAGGCATTGAACAATGGGGGCAGTTTACTTAGTAATTGCTATTTAGTAATTCTGATTTACGAATTACTTTATCGTAAAGTCGACACAGGCTTAGTAAAGAATGACTGTCATGCGGTGAGCTTCCTCATCTAGGTATCGAGACCGGGAGAGTAGTCCAAGAACAGCAAAACCCCGTCTACTACACCCGACTGCTTGGCACACCGATTTTGGAAATGGTGTTGATAAAATATAATGCATTATAGCAAGAGACACACCCAATGAGTAGAACATCGGTGTAGCAATTCACAGACTCAAGACCAAGTTGTTGCTTTTTTGTGTTCGCAGAATGTCTCTATATGAGCACTACAACGGGGAGAAAGAAGATAAAAATAACAATGTTGAGAATGTTTACGAAGATATTTTATTCTACCCAGAACGGACTGTCATCTGGGTTGTTTGCAAACAGCAGTCATCAAGTGATTGGTTGTTGACAGATCGCACTCTCTGAGCTTCTCGCCGAGATACAAAAGACGATCTTTGAGATACCTTGATCTTTGGAGACAGCATATCGGGGTGTGTTACGGAGGACACTGATCTGCAAACAGACATGGTTACCAATACCCAGATTGACTCGACAGGTTGCCCAGAGCGCGAAACCAATATGCTCGAGTAAGTACATGTGCCGAAAAGTGTGCCATGAGTCGAAGACACAAAGGCACGGGAGAGAACTTTCATTTAGCATTAAAGTGGTCCTCCTGTACTATGGATTTCAACACCCTTAGGTATTTGTGGAACTCGTAGTGGGGCACTTGGTCATCGTCGAAGCAATAGGTGTGTGTAAAAAAAGGCACTCATCCAAGGCCCCAAAGAACCTGCTCATACTTATAACATTTACACTAAACCCGTTTTAGTAGCAAGTGCCTTCCCGCTCTCATACACTGAACCGTGTCTTCCAACAATAGTAACACATCTGGCAATTGATAAAATACCGGAAAATAGCACTAGGCTCGTATCATGCATGCATACGTACTTTGCAAAGTCATATCACTCCAAGACCCTTGGCTCATCCCACTTGTGCTGCGCCTTTCTCTTGTCCCTGAAAACCCGGCTTGGGCAACGTGCCGAGGGTTTCTTGGCTTGTAAGGATTCCTTGGGCCCATGAGTCGGTCGACGTCGTTGAAAGCGACATCTCGCAATCCCAACGCTACAGAATGCTGCTGGAATATCGTCGATGTCAATCATGGGCTATGGTTGTCCCTCTCGTCGACTTGCGTTCATCATTCTTTCTGCAAGAGCATTCGTCTGTAAGTCGTGATTACATTATAGCGCTTCGTTGCTGCTCAATATGGCTACATCGGAATTTCTGTATCTGTTGTTATAGACCGTGTTGGTTTTGGGCAATTCCGGTCCTTGCGACACAGGCACAAAACCACAGCCGTATCCCAAAAGTACACTGATCCAGTTGAAGCCGCCATTAGTATTAGTCCAAGTCTACTCAAACTCGTGCATTAATCGGCATCTCATGAGCGTAAAGTTCTCGACTCCTCATCAGGCCCCAATTCTCTGCCCTCAAGCTCAGCTGCTGGCTGCTCAACCTCCACCGCCGCATCTCTTTTGTACATGACTGCACCTGATCCCATCTCATGGAGGTGTTTCGCGTGTACCTCGGACGGCATTGAAGCTGAATACTCTGCGATTTCTGGAGTTCTCCGTGCCTTTCTTCGCTTCCTCAAGATGAAGAATGCAATTAGTCCGCCGATGATTGCCAGTCCGGCGACCCCACCAAGTGTAGCTCCAACAGCCGCGCCTGTGGATATGCCCGAGGAATTCGAAGATGGCGGAGGTGGCGCAATGAGAGATGGAGTAGGCGACTGGGTGCTGACGATATCACAAAAATCGATACTGTAGTATACAAAGGAAGAGTTGAAGCATTCGATGGGCTGAATCACTTCTTGGTACCCTGAACAGATGTTCTCGGTGGTGTCCTTTTGGTATATGGTGACTAAATCGCCTTTGTATCAATATGCGCGTTTCCCTATTCGCGATCAATGGCTTCGACTTACCAGTGCAGCCTGGATCCAGGCCTACAACCTGAAAACTGCCGTATGGCCCAGTGCGTCGCAGATCGGTACACGTGCCATTGGGATAACCATTGGGACCTTCGAGACCGCGCAGCGAGTGTTGGCAGAGCTCATCCGTGAAGAGGGCTAGTTGACTGGCAGCGAAAACATGGGTAGCGTACAGGGCCAGAGACGCGAGGTACTTCATTCTTGAGGGGATGAGGGAGGGGCTCTCAGGAAGGGCGGTGGTGCAATGTCGAGAGCGCGAACGAAACTGGTCCGAACCGCCGCCGTTAAGACACGATTTGGCGTGTCGGCTCTGGCACCAACTGAGTTGTGTACGACTTGGGGGCTACAGAGGTGCCCAGCATATGCAAAACTGCATCCGGTGTAGGCTGGGGGCCTGATTTCTGTCTATCGCTTGGCGTTCAGGGTGTGTGGCTATTTCCACTAATTAACTGTGGCCTGCTAGATTGCATGAGGGTGACTGACCCACCTCGGGCGTCCCACTTTGCGGCTGTGAATTCACCTCTGTTTTTTTGCTTCAAGTGACTTTCGATGGATTAGGCGGAAAGTTTCTTGGATGCATGAGGCCATGGCTAGAGTTTATATCTATCGAGGAGTGGGGATCCCGCTATTGCGGATGCGGCTGAAGCTGCAGTTGTCAGCTAAAGCGACGAGGCACACGTAGGCGGCGGTCAAGCTGAAACTAGATGACAGCGCAGCTTTAACATGTGACCATGTATGCAGACGGTGTCAAATTACTTACTCCTATTCCAAGTAGTTAGAACGGTTGCTGAGTCAAGCATCGATGGCCGCCTGCGACAGATGGATTACTCGTGTATTGTTGAATTCCAGGGGAGATGGAGAGTTGTTCGGCAACAGCCATGGGCGGCGGGGATGCGGGGAAGAAGACAATGGCACTCGCATTTCAACCTCGCCAGCTCTGACCACTGAGAGCGAGCTTGTGCACACTTACCTTACATACGCTCGCCAGCCATCGCCAGCGTCCTATCATGTCATCCGGAGGCCAGCCACGGGTCCTGCTCTTCGGGGCCGGTAGCGTAGGGGCTATCTACCTGTACTTACTGAGCAAAGTAGCCCACACAACGGCTGTCTGCCGCTCCAACTACGATGCTGTTAAGGAACATGGTTTCATTATCAACTCGTCCATTTTCGGCAACGACATCCATTTCAAGCCAAACGTCGTCCGTGATTGTGGCGAAGCATCATCCCATTCGCCAGAGCCCTACGACTACATTGTTGTCTGCAGCAAAGCCATCCCAGGTACGGTGCCCAGGCTGATAGCCCCTGCTGTGACGCCTGGGCACACAGCTATTGTCCTCATACAGAATGGAGTAGGCATTGAAGAAGAGTTCATACAGGCCTACCCAAATAACCCCATCATCAGCACCGTTGTCTATCTTCCCGCAACCCAAAGACCAGCAGGTGTCATCAGACATGGCGAGGTGGAGCAGCTTCAGCTGGGAGCCTATCCGTCTTCCTCGTCCAACTCTTACGCCAAAGCCTTCGCAGAACTTGTAACATCTGCTGGTGGTACTGCGGAGCTCTATGATGATGTTCAAGCCCAGCGCTGGTACAAACTTTTGGTCAACGCTTCCTGGAACCCGATATGCGCCCTTACGTTGAGCAAAGATGCCGACGTTCTGACAGCTTCAAAAGAAGCCACTGAAGTGCTGCGGGCCGTCATGCTTGAGATTCGGGATATCGCAGCCGCACATGGCCATGACATCACACGAGAGCAGGTCGATATCCAGCTCGGGCGGGCGCAAGCTAGGATTTCAAACAATGCTGGCATTGAGCCAAGTATGCTACAAGACGTGCAGGCCGGCCGGAGGATAGAAGTGGAAGCCATCGTAGGCAATCCAGTCAGAATGGGCAAAGAGAAAGGAGTCACGTGTGTGAGGCTCGAGATGCTCTATGTGTTAGCAAAAGCATTGGATTTGCAGATTGAAAGAAGGTGAGGATGTAAGCATTGCTTGTCGCTCTGAGGAATGGGACGCTTTTGACAGCCCACTGTAAGATCTCATCGAGGAGAATTCAAGTATGCTCTTAGCCTCTGGTCCTTCCGAACCGCTTTAATTCACGCCTGACTTGATCTTATCTTCTTCCAAATATCATTGTCATTTGAACACCAACGCGGTCATCGCAGTTCACTATCAAGCTAGTGCAGTGTTAGTCCTTAGTCGATTCACTGCTTCACACGCGTGGCGGACATCATGCCAAGCTTTCTACTTGTGTTCATTTCACTTTCACCCCCACACAACAATGACAAAACTGTTGCGGTGGTGAAGAATGATTCGGCACAGACCTTTCACCTTCAATTTGGAGATCTTGCTTCTAATCTCGCCGCCAGGCACCACCTCTCCTTCAACTATAAGATTTGCTTCAACTATAGCAATCTCAACTTACAACACTTCAACACGCCTCTCTTCTTCTCCTATATAAGTGCTATCTGAAATCTTTGAGAGAACACAACCCGAACCAACTCCACAAGTCACCGACAAAATGTGGGCTCTCATCTTTCAAGTCCATAACTTCTACACCGACATCGTGGACTTCTTGTACTGGAACGTGTACGATGAGATCTGTGACCTTTTTTTGAGGGTTTTATTGCCCCGGTAATTGCCAATATCATCCTAATGAGTGCCGTCATTGCCCTTGGTATATACATTCTTGTCAAAGTGGACGAATTGCAAGATGGTTCGTTTAACCATGAATACCAGCATCATGAAGACTCTGACACTGATAGATAATTAGTTGAAGGCAAAACGTCAATCGCCCCTACGTCCCCTCCGATTTGTCCCGTCACACCATCATCGCCTCGCCCGGACCCATTGATACCTGCGATTTACCCTCCGCCATACGAATTTCCTTTTGAGCACTTCCGTGGGACAGGCGAATCTTTCGTACCATCTCGCCAAAACTTTCATGTCAAACGCCCACGATACATTCATCCAGTTATCTACAAAGGCAGCGCTTTTTTGGAAACTGTCGAGGATGTGCGAAGGCCAGACGAAGGCGTCTCGGTGGTCGCAGAAGACGCTGAGCCTACTGGCACAATCAAAGCAGACCTTGCTGGGACGCAAGAATGTGCTGAACCTCTACATGAGGAAGTTGAGCTTTCTCAACCATGACCAGACACCCTTTCGCCCCCATATAGGAACAACAGATTGCCCTCGCTCCCGGAAACGGTGAGTACCCAAACTCCTCTCCAAATCCCACGTCTCCCTAAACCCCCGAGCCCTACGACCCTACGGGTGAACGCCCTGAATCGGGTTGCCCAAGAAGAGTATAAGATTCAGGAGCAGATGGTCATTTTTCTCAACACGATCCCCACTGGCTCGGGATATGAGCTCTCAGCTTCTCTGATACTAGACTTTCTATGTGAAGCAAAGAAATATCTGGAGCCACTCTTTCCAGGTGAGTTGAGTGGTATTACCAAAGGTTATCTCGTGTGGGGAAAATCAATCATCGATTTCTGGGACACCCTCTCGCCATACGGCTGGGATTTTGTTCATTACCCAGACAGCAGGGTGCCTGAGTTTATTAGGAGGTATCGCAATCTTGCGAACTAGTTTGGTCTAGAAGAACTGCTAAAAGAGTTCCTGTTCGTGCCGCCGTTTATTCCTGAGCCTGAGCCCATTCATGAGCCGTTCCTTGAGCCGTTCCTGGAGCCTGTTATGACTACTGCTGAGGCCAAGCCTCAGTTCCAAGAGCAAATGAGAGTGGCTCAAGTCTTTTCCTTCGCCGCACCACCACCGCCACTACAGCCAGAGCATTCTGCTCCACAGCTGGACTCCGCTCCGGCTACCTATACATATACGATGTCAGCGGTTCCGATGAACTTCTCGTACCGGAAGTCTAGTCAGAGGTCCTATCCACCACCACCACCACAACAAGAGCAACATGCTCCACTCAGCTTCAAATACATCCTACCATCAAATCCTGTAAACCCCTCCTACCGAAGGAGCAACAGAACATCCAAACCACCACTACCAAGGTCATCACGACCCTCGCAGCCACTCAAAAACCAAGTTGCCGAGCCACCTAATCTCACTCCAGTCGACCCCAACCTCATCGACTTCAAAGACCCAAAGTGGTCCAACAAATCCACCCCTGAACTCACTGCACTACCTTGGTCCTCCTTCTCCTTCCCCAGCCCCAGCGCCGCAGCCCTAAAAATATGGTCCTACTCCACCATGAGCCGTCTCGTGCTCCCCGAACCTCGCACAAAAGACCTTCCCTCAGAATACATAAAATCGCACCTCGAAACTGTAGCCCTCGAGTTCAAACACGCCACCGCCGTTCTCCGGCTTCAAGCTCTTGACTGCGACAAGCCGTGCGAGGACGACTTGGGGATGTCGCCGTTGTTCGGAGAAGTCATGTCGCTGATGGTGCAGGCGGCGGATTTCACGGAGCGATGCGATGAGTTGTGTGTCTGGTATGCGCGGGATAGTTGGTACCATGATTGTTTTTTTGTGCGATGCGGTGGCTGGGGATGAGAAGTTTTGGGAGGCGCTTTGTAGGTATTATGGACAAGGGAAGTATAAGCCACTTATGAAAGCGTGGAAGCAGGGGAGTGTGGAGTGGTTGTTGTTGGATACGGATTGTCCGAATGTTCAGGTTTGAAGGGTTCCTGGTCTACGATGATTATACATTTTTTTGTTTAGGAGTTTTTGTTTTCGTTCAGCGCATCTTGCTCTCATTGATTTTTAGTGCTCTTTACTGTTCGTTGTTGCTCTTCTTGTGTTGTTCCGTTGCTTGAACGATACCCCCCTTAGTCTCGTATTTTCATTTAGTAATCTAAAGGCCGTTTGATAATCAAAGTTGCTTAGTGTCTTCTCACATCGTGGTAAGGATGGTGTTTTGTTTAAACTGGAATGTGTAAGCAAAACTCCTAGATTGATTCGTTCTTACAAAGTGAAAAGGACATATCGCAACGCGCTGGACACTGTACTCTGCACAATGTCACCAAGCACATGAACAAGTCTCACTCAACGCATCACATCCCAGGCAAAAGCACCAAACTACTCATGTGAAACTTCAATTACAGTCTCACTGCTAACCCTATAGTCTCTCTAGAAAAATTTCAAAAAACAAAAATATTATACAACTTCCAAAAGCTACCCAACAAACACCGCAATCAGGTACTATACATTACTCGCGGGTTCTGAGGAACTCCGCGCTTAGGCAGCAGGAGCAGGGTTAACATCCGAGCAGATAAGCGCTTGACCGAGAATGGGGATCAGACAGCACTTGGCCTGCTGGCCCTGTGCAGCGCAGCCATCGATGAACTCGTTGACGCCAGCGGGGGTGACGCGAGCTGTGTGGGGCGTTAGTTTCCAAAGGAAGGCGAGAGAAGGATTGAGGGAAACGTACGAGGAGCGCAGTCCAAATCGGCGAGGTCCAGGACGTCAGTTGCGCAGCAGACGGGGTTGCCCGAGGAGCAGAGGCCGACCTGGCGCTCTTCGAGGGGAGCAGCGAAGGCAGCGGTGGCAGCGAAGGCGAGGATGGTGGTAATAGAGAACTGCATTTTGATTGTTGGCGGAGAGAGTTGATATATTCTTAAGACAAAGGTGATTGATTGTTTGGTTGGAAAAGTGAAGGTCGCGGTTTGTTTGTGAATGTGTGGAGTTGGATGTGATGGTATGTTTTTGTTGAGGACTTGCGTGCTCTCTTTATACCTTTTCTTTTGACTACTGATTGATACGAGTATTCATTTTCAGGGTCTGTTCCAAGGTATACGCAACTCTTACTCGCAGCGTTCATCGTCATTAGACATTGCCACTTCACGGAAGACGATCGTCATCGGCAGGGGAGGAACGGGGAACGCACGTCCATAATCAGTCGATGATAAAGGTACAGATCCACCTGTTTACTCCTAACTTAGTCGTGGTATGTCTGACCCTAGTAAGGAGTGACGTCGATCTCAAATCATCCTAGCACTCTTGTACCTGGCGGATCGTCTTGACTGGTTGCTACCGAGCGCGGAGACTCCGTTGGGGCTGTTGACCTTGAAACGTGCCGGTTAAAATGTCCTTTGCATTCAGAGAGTGAATAGCCACAAAATGTAGATCTATGCCGGACGTTTAGCTGCACACGGTATGGATATGACATTTAGCACGGCATTCTTTACACATTAAGCATCTTTTGGCTGCGCGCCGGCGCGTAGACTTGCCACAGTGTATGCATACGCCATGTATGACCGTATTGACAGCCGTGTAGAGGAATCATGGTATTCTCAATGCCCTCTCATAGGACAGCGGGGAACCATCTAGATACTGTGGCTATGGCCTTGGTGACGTCGATGGAGCCGAGAATCGGCTAAGTACATGGTCTACAAGGCCGCATAGTACTCATCTCCGGCAACTTGACCAAGTCAAACTTGTACAAAAAGCATTGTTCGAAGCCCATGTTCATGGCAAACACGGCTGTATACCTAGTGAATGCATCAATGCGACATGGAATGTGGAATCGTATCGTGATCACCCCCTTTGTGAATCCAAGGGTCAAGCATGTGGACACGAGACCCAGTATTAACCCGCATCATAGGGTCAAATGAGCGTAAACTTTCTTTCTTTAGCAATTGGTAGATCTTCGGGAGATGATTGTTGACAACGGTGGAAAGTGGCGAAAGTAGTGCTGTCTAGCATTGTCGACACCTCACTGAACCATGCAAGTGGCGGTGATAGGGGTGCATCCAGAACATGACGGGAAACGTGAAGCTAGAGGAGCTCCGGCCCATTGACGAATAGGATCTAAGAGCTGGCTTTCAAACAAAATGCAGAACATCAGTAAAACCTGGTAGGGATTCGGTAGCCGAGCGGTATAGCAAGGATGAGGTCTTATAGGTACTTGCAAGCGTCACTGAGCTTGTGGATGATGTGAAGCGCCATTGACTTCATGCTGTGTAACCTGGGACTGTATGCCATCAATTGTGATTGTTATTCCGCTTCGAATGTCCCAAAATAAATTCTAGGATGTGGTCAGCATGAACAGGGCCGTCTCAGGGACCGTTGTGCACAAGGAGGAGGGAGTGGAGCGTTGCATGCCCAGCCAGACGTTGCGCCCCACCGGTCTACCACGCTAGCCTTTTTAAAGTCTGACAGCCCTTGCTCGCTTGCACCTATCTACGTCACGCCTCAATCCTGTTCCTGGATAGCGCAGCAGGATCTCAACAATTTCATCATTATAGTCACTTTGACCAATGGTTTCTTTCAATTTAGCAACTTAACAGCCTTTTTATCCTGGGCACTCACGCCACAGAAGTAGCCGAGGGCGAGTCATGAGTTTACTCGCGCCGCTGTCTACGCGAGGATAGGATCATACCTTGTGGTGGCGCACGGTCTAAAGAAACTTGGAGCGGACGATCTGGAGGTGGAGACAGTTGACATGTTGGAGGCTTTGCGACGTGGAAACTTGATATTGCTTGGCCAATTGTGCTCCTGCATCATCGTCAAAGAAGGTCATGCCCAAGCTGTGCTGCACCAAGGGCAAATTAAGGAAGCCTCGTCATCGATAACTAAGTACGTGTCGTCTATTACGATCGTCTTCCAACGGATCATTTGGTGGAAGGTGTCGCGTGGGCAAAGAGTCGCTGACCATTACGCTCACATCAGCAATATTTATTGATTTCCGCCATCATCCGATTTGGTTGCCATCGAAAACAAGGATACTCATGGAACATTTCGGGCGAAACTGAACGGGGTGGAAGGTACATGTGGTCTGACATGACAGCTGTTGGCGAATTATGTAACAGACACAATAAGCACTTCCTAACTATCATTATATTGGGCTCATACATGGAGTATGTGCATGAACCTCCTCACAGCAAAACCATCTGCGCATATGCTGACTTTAACTTTTGTATATATTCAGCTATTAGAGTACGGCCCTTCCATAGTGCCCATGTATGTCCCAGCTTACTTTCCACCGGGAAAACGTCGGTGCTACTTCTTTTGACCATATCGATAGCGTAGGTTTCTTGCCCAAGCTCAACATGTTGAGCACACTGTTGTATGGAGCTATGAACAACAACTGGTAGTCTAATTTCGTGTCAATTACATTTGATGATTGGATCCAGTCTTCATTCAGCGCTTACTGAAAGGGGGCTGACGAAAACAGCGTATAAAGATGCAGTGTGGCCTCTCAAACTTGTTCCTTCCCCGTTTTCACATCTTGTACGAGTGATACTTTCTCGAAAAAGACATCAAGTTGAGGTCTTTCATACAGCTCGCGTAGTTCAATTCAGCATGGGTGAGGTTCAACTCGACTAATTTCAGTCCTGACCATACTTTCGTCAGACGTTCCCCGTAAACACAGGCATCACTAAATAAGGCATGTAAACTTCTGGCTTAGGTATTCATACTTTCTCCAAATCACGATCGCTAGTCCTGAGTGTAATCTTCAGTCGATGTTTTCGACTCGTCTGAGGTGTGCTCTGCAACACTGTATTACTCCAATCACACGTACTGGACGCATATTGACTTAGTGATTTAACTTAACACGAACATCATGGTGTCAATATATCCATGTAAAAAAGCTCTTTTTCAGTTAACATCTCCATTGAGCAGGCTATAGGATGTTTGCCCGGTAAACCGACTAGCTGTGCCCAATGTCTGTTGGCAAATTATCGCGTGTACTATGGCCATAGTCACATATCAGTAATCAGGAAATCCATTTGTATGCTCCTATGATTGGTCAGTATCTATAACAATATTCAATGTTGAGAAGAGATGGTGGCGACACGCACTGGTTTGAGGCGAGGACGCAAGCAATTTAGCTAGCAGAACTAATGCACAAACCCCAGGTTTCTCCAGAACACATGCAGATACCAAGTGATCCCCAGATTGAGCACCGACAGGTTGGGCGGGTGCGGCGAGTTTTCGGCTGCGAATCAGCCTCAGTGCACCAGCCGCACTGCACTTCCTGGGGTTGAGTCCGTACAATCTGGGGACTAGTCTACACTACAGTCAATCTATGACTAAGAGCTAACATTTTCTCCAGATCTTGAGAAAGTGGAGGCTACGTATGGCCTCTATTACCAACGCGTACCTGAGATGTTGATTCCGTAGGAGGAATATGGTCAGGTAACGATTCCTCAAACCCCTTTACAGTTAGCATGTTCTAAAACTTGATCACCTTAGCGAGGCCCTCATAACGGATCCCGTTTCTTCAAATGCTGGAAGACTTCGTGTCCCTTAGCTAGATTCATCTTCGCCAACTTGCACATGGCTCAAAGGTAAGAGATTACATCACATAACAAGCTCAACGTTGTATCAGAAGTGGCCGTGGGATGTTGCATGAAAATTTTGTGCGAGAAAAGGATTCTCATCAGGCTTCCAACACTGATAGTGAGTCAAATCGATTGAAAACATATCCCCTGAAATGTCGTGATAGAGTCAACATCATGTTCGAATAGAGTAGCATCTGATTCGCGCACCGCCAAGGCCCTCATCCGACAAAGGCCCGGCCCTCACGCTAAACCCAAAGGCATTCAGCCGCCACCGCATTCCCCGACGTTGACACAGCTAAACTGCAGATTTTTCCAGCTAGGAACCGTCGGGACCTGGGCGGGCCACATTTCCGTCGTTAATCCCGTAGATAAGCAACGCACTTGTACGTTCGTGTGCAAGCTAGATACAAAATAGGAGCCGCAGACCCGCTCGTAGCCGTCTCGAAAATTTCGATCATGCTACTGTCACGGTTCAACCTGCGCGCAAATGCAACCAAGTCGCCCCCCATGTGGACCTAGGATGAAAATTTAGACAGTCGACGGGTTTTCCAGAGCGTGGAGTATGCCGACGGCTAACGAGATGGGTCATTGGAGTGTCCCACGATGACTCCACTGTTGGGGTCGTCAATTTTGATTGAAATATTGTCCATGGTCCTGGCTTCTTTGCGCTTCATCCTGATCGAATACATTGCAATTCTTTCGTTGTTGTCTTTCCACAGTCAAGCCCAAGCGCCGGGTCCACCGCTGACGCATCAACAACATCATGGCATCCGCTGCTGACCAAATAACGCCCAAGATGGACCAGCGGTCAGAGAAGTCGCTTTCTCACTCAGGAAGCGATGTCGAGAAGCAGGCTGCCCCGCCCAAGGAGGAGTTGCAGCGCAAGCTGTCCTCCCGGCACTTGCAGTTCGTCGCTATCGGTGGAACAGTAGGAACTGGTGTCTTCATCGCCAGTGGAGGCTCAATTGCAACTGCTGGCCCTGCTGGAGCACTCTTAGCTTATGTCTTCGTCGGTACCCTGGTCTACTCTGTTATGCTCAGCTTGGCTGAGATGGCTACCTACCTACCCATCTCCGGTGCATTCACTCAGTATGCTGCTCGATTCGTTGATCCCTCGCTCGGCTTCTCCATGGGATGGATCTACTGGTTTTCTTGGTCAATCACCTATGCGCTCGAGCTCACAGCTGCCGGCCTCATCATCCAATGGTGGAACTCTGACCTCAGTATCGGCATTTTCATCACGATCTTCTGGGTTCCGATCACCGCTGTGAACTTCTTGCCAGTCGACATCTTCGGAGAGTTCGAGTTTTGGTTTGCTCTGATTAAAGTCGTCGCCCTTGTTGGATTCTGGATTTACGCCATCTGCATGAACGCTGGTGTAGGCGCCCAAGGCTACATTGGCTTCAAATACTGGAACTCACCTGGCGCTTTCGCCCCGTACATTGCTGAGGGACCCGTTGCGAAGTTTGTTGGTTTCTGGGCTGTTCTTATCCAAGCTGGTTTTGCCTACCAAGGTACCGAGCTCTGCGCCATCGGTGCGGGCGAGTCAGCCAACCCACGTGTGACCATGCCCAAGGCCATTCGCAAGACTTTCTGGAGCATCTTCATCCTCTTCGTCTTCACCATCTTCTTTATCGGTATCTTGATACCCTATGACAATGAATCTCTCCAAATCGGCGACACCAACGCTGGATCTTCGCCAATGGTCATCGCTTTCCAGCTCGCCGGTGTATCCGCTCTTCCCGACATCTTCAATGCTGTCTTGCTCACTGTCGTTCTTTCCGCCGCCAGCTCCAACGTTTACTCTGGAAGCCGCATTCTCGTAGGTCTTGCAGAGGAAAAGTGTGCTCCCGCTTTCCTCAAGGCCACCAGCAAGCGCGGAGTTCCATACTGGGCAACCACAGTAACCGCCGCCATGGGTCTGCTAGCCTACATGAACCTCAGCTCCAACGGCAAGCAAGCCTTCAACTGGCTCTTGAACATTGTCTCCGTCGCCGGTTTCATTGCCTGGACATGTGTCTTGATCTGCCACATCGCCTTCATGCGTGCACTCAAGGCTCAGAACATTGGCCGCGACACCCTTCCATTCAAGTCTTGGGGAGGCCGCCCTCTCGCCATCTACGGTGTTACCTTCTGTGCCATCATCACCATCACTCAAGGTTTCACCGCATTCGTTCCCTGGAGTACCGAGGATTTCTTCATCGCATACATCAGTTTGATCCTCTTCGCTGTCCTCTACACCGGACACAAGATCATTACTCGAAGTAAATTCATCAACCCCGCGGACGCCGACATCCACACTGGAAAGTTCGAGGATGAGATCTCCGAGACCTGGGAGGAGTCCTCTGCCAGCGGATGGAAGAAAATTATGAATAAGTTTCTTTAATTTCAGATGTCTTTGTATAACCTAAATGTTGGGCTTGAAGAACAAAAGTGCTTTTTGGAAGCGTTTATCGAGGACCACATGGCGCAGCGTTAGGGGGCGTATGATTGCATTGCTTGGCGTTTATTTTGCTTTTTCTTAACTTCGTTAAACCGATACCAATGTTAATGTTTTGAAAGTCTTCACAACAACTTCTTCATCTCGCCTGATTCATGTGCCTACAAGAGTTAAAGGTTACTAGTACTATTCCATGTTAAGTATTGGACTTACAAAGCGCTTATAATCTTAGGAGAAAAACATTAGATAGCCAACAGGGGATCGTATCACAAGAGCCTAATGGTACATCACGATTTTGGAAGCGCCACCTCCTTCCTCAGCCTCCTCGTTTCGCCAGTTGAACAGCCACCACAGCACGGCTATGCACCGCCACACGATGAGGCTCAGCCATCTCGGTACTGAAAAATCTCTTCACAAACACCAGGTCAGCTTGGGATGAGCGAAGCATAATCGCTGCATAATCTGCCACTCAGGACGAGAACCCCATGGCTTTAACATAACGTGAGTTACACAAAGGGATCACTGACGTCTCTATCGCCATCAAGCAGCATGATCGCAGAAACGAAATACATTACACCGCTAGTATCGTGCAAAACTACCAAAAACCCATCAAAACACGGGGATATCATGAACAATCCATCATTAGCAACCATCCACCGATTCATTTACAATAATCTCAGCAGCAGAAAAACCACACACACATCACATCACAACCATTTCGCATGAACAATTAGATCCTTTCCCCCTACGCCCCCCTCTTTTTATTTCCCAAAAAATGTCACCCCCCCCCC